TAATGATAACATATTAAAACTAACTAGGGATACTTCTCCATATACATCCAGCATGGAATTGCGCAAGGAAATTGCATTCGAAGAGATGTGACGGCAATTCGCTTGTTAGTTGTTTCCATTCGATTCTTTTCTCGTTTTCTCTCTGCTTGTCGATTAGATTGAATTTTATTGAATGCAATTTGCAGTTTTCGCAATTTTCTCAAGACATGCGCAGGAAACCGGTGTAATTGACTTGTGTTGTTTGCGTACTCCAACCACCAACATTTATATGTTATTTACACGATTTTGATTGAATTCAAGTTAGATTTTTGTTTCTTCCGAGCGTAAAATGCAAAAATCTTTGAGATTTTGTAAAAAAATTTTCAAAGTTGTAATTTCATGCAGATGTTGCGTTCCAGCACGTTTTCTTTATTTACTTTTGTTCAGTTGGGTGCCTGTGTGTGGGGAAAACGTGCTTTTATGCAGAATTACGCTCGCTTTAGACCGCATTATGCAGATAATTATGCACAATTTACAAGAGCAGTTATTCGCCGTGCAATTAGTTAGCAATTAAAGCGGTGCAGGCCCAAAGAAAAACGGCGCTTATTTTAAATAAAAATAAATTCTCGTCTTTGCTGTATCTCCATTCTTACATTTTCACATTCAGCATATTCAACATATGTTTTATGAATACAAATAAATAATATAAAATCATCTAGGAAGTGATGGACTTGATGTACTTGATGTAGTCACTATCAGAGATTCCGTTATAATCGTTACACATATTCGTCAATTTGTTGCTCTTGCGCGTACAATCCTCATACATTATTAATGCAATCGATTTATATTTACATCTTTGAGTCGATGTTTATAAAAAATTAAATTGCGATACATTAATGTCGATGGGATTTAGCGAATGGATAAATATATGCGAATAGGTTTGGTTATGTTATGTTATGCATGCTGACATGTTAACACCCGGGTAGATGAAGTAGTCTACATAAAAGGCGCGTGCGCATCATTAAAATCTTCTAACTGTGGAATTCAGAGCAATGCAAATGTCTGAATTTGCAAATTGATGGTTTAATGTAAATTAATGTCGGCATCTTATTCAAATATGCATTTAGATGCATCAAGATTTATTTTGCACATCAACATTAACTTCCGCAATGTATTTTTATCAATAAAAATCAAAAATATCAAAAATTTTTTTTTAATAAAAAAATAAATAAATATTACTTACGTTAATATAAACAGTTTAAATATTTAATTTTTATTTATCCAAAATCACGATATTGCACCATGTTGATTTACCGAATGAATTACAACACAATGCGCTCCCGTTGTGAATGCTTAGCGCTTTGTTAAAAGCCACGCACTTGTCTTCACGCTGCGCACGAAGCGCATCACTGACTTAAGTCAGCCGTTGGCCACGCATGGCTACCGGCGAGACACTGAGACCCACCGGCGGAAGATGATGCCTTCGAGGTCTGGCCGATGGTAGGCGCGCACGGCCAGCAGAGGCAGAAATTAAACACTCAAGATACAAGCCTCTACATCTACAAGGTCGAAGAAGGCGTGCTACAAGCCACGACCCAAAATATTAATCATAAACTGCTTAGGATTTACGTTAACCTTCAATCTACAATATTTTAAACTCAAAAAAAGATTTTTTTTATTTGTGTTTAAAAAAATGTAACAGACAAGACTTAAGTCAAGTTTTAAGCACTTGTAAACCATTAAAAACCACTTAAAACATACTTAAACATAAAATAAAAATAGCACAGAAATAATACGTTTACCCACCGATAGATGGCGTTAGTAGTGGAGAAATGATTTTGTAAGAACAGAAAATTACAGTAAAGGAAGCGGAAAAATAAAATAAAATACAAAAATGACGTCCGATTGCTCCTGCGTTTGCATCAGCGTAGCAAAAGAAATGTAACGATTTCCGTTTTAATAAAAGCCCATCAAAAATCGTAATTGTAAAGGAAACGACGCGAGCGTTGTTAGAACGCATTAAAGACTCGCCCGAGTCTCACAAGAAAATTGAATGACTGCGGATATTACATTATTCGATACGATCGCGTTATACAAAGTGTTTGTTTCAAATCAGATGCATTCTACAAGTCGCAATCAATTAAATGGTCATTCAAGGTCGATCACGAAGCAATTTGGGGCCGTATCAGGCGATTAATCGTTAGGCAAACGAACATCCACTTAATGCACACGCTCACTAATTAACTGATTGCCTTCCTGCATTAGATTAACTCCTCTAACCTCAAAATTTCTTCCATTCCGTTAGATGGCGCTGGTTGTCAAAATCATACGTACGTGATATTTCCCAATCAAACTACTTATTTCCTCATCGGGGAAACTTCAATGAAAGGAAAACGTCGCGTAGTAATTAATGCGAAACATTGTAATTAGTGAAAATTTGCACATCGTTTCTACCTTCGTCATAACCTCACTAGTTTCGGCTTGATACACACGCGTCGATGTGAAAAGTGACGCAGCGCGCTGCTCGTTAATTTAATTAGTTAATTAACGAGCGGCGCAAGATAGTTTCGAACTCGTCTCTCCTGTATCTATCGGAAAAGCTTTCAAATTATTAAAACGTCGCATCGATCGACGATTCGTCATCGCACGGCGCTGGGAGAGCAGAGAGATGCTGTTGTTTTAAGGAGTAAAGTTTCAGGGGTGCTGGCTGGGCTAAAAATTGCGTGCTTAAGCGAAAAATGATTACCCCCCGCGTTTCGGGAATAATTCGTGCGCGAAATTGGATATTTGAGAGGCACACAGTGCGCGCTCCAGTTTCCACCCTTACCCTTGGTGTTAGAAAAAATAAAAACGGTGGAAATTTAATAAAGTTTCATTTTTGACGTTAGATGGCGTTACTTGTGCAAAACAATCAAAAAACGTTATATTTTTAATATTTATTTATATATTTATGTAAATATATATAAAATCATAATTGAGGTTATGTTATACTGTCAAATTTACTATCATAACCTCAAAAATTTAATTTTTAATTTTTTTTTTTTAGAAAATTTTATTTTTTGAACTTTTAGTCTGTTTTAAACGACGATTATGATGATTAAGCCCTGTGACCGGTTTGTTTAGGACCCCAGGCCGACCTTTTGTACTTAATCATCCCGCATTTGTCTTTCATATTCATATATTTGCACGCGCTTGTATACCCGCTGCCTGGGAGTGAATTTTTCACCGGATGTGCGCCGCTTTCGCACGCATATTGTGCCGCATGCGGTCTGGAAGCTCAAAAGCCCGACTGCGCTTGTCTATACATATTTTATACCGGATTATATACATGCTGGCGTTGGTTGAGTGTGTGATGAAATCAGTGTCGATCTTCTTTTGTTCGTGCGGCAGTGTTGGGTTTCAAGGACGCGTCTTCTGCTTGTTTTTTATCAAATCAAGTAAGCTTCCTTTCTTTTACCTAGGAGATACACGATGTAAGATGTAAGATGTTGAAGTGGTGCGGGAAATAAAATTCGTTTAGAGGGGAAAGTTTGCAGCAATATGAAAAGCGGAAAACGCGGACAAAGGCACCGAATATCACCCGGTGTTGTTAAGCCGACACCTTATAAAATAGTTTAACGTCTTTAATGTCTTCATTTTGGGCGTTTTTCGTGGAATTCGGGGTGGATGGGCGCGAAGTTTTGCAGTTTTCGCTCCAACGGCTGTTTTCTGAAAGTTGGGGAAACTTTCCGGGGCAGTTACAAGTGTTTGCGCATTGTTTTATTGCGAACATTTCTTGTTAAAGCTTTTAGATATCGATTACGCTATAAAAACGTTGTTTTAGCTACAAAAAATCTCAGCTTTTTTGCTTCAATCTCAAAAAATAAGAAAAAAATTTTATGATTAATGTTTTACTCGTCCGTTGAGTTCATGTTCAACTTTTCGTAAACTATAATTTAAATCCCTGGTTGCTGCGGTTAAAACACAAAAATAAAAATAAAAAATAAAAAACTTCTTTGAACACGCTGATCTCGTGACTGCGCGTTGTTTGAATCCGAACACGAATTTGCTATAAACGCGAGTCTACTCGTAAACGTGATTAAAATTCATATTCTGTGGATTTTTTCTGTACGCGCATGGAATGTGCACATTTCCACCCAAAAATTCAATAAAGTCGCACAATGAAAAACGAAAAATCCAACAAAACCTTTCATACATTTTGAATTCCACCAAAAATTCGGAAATATCTCCGTTTATATAGAGTTAAACAAGTTTCATCATATTCATCATACTCGTATTGTTGCATTGTGGTTGATGGTTGAAACATCAAACAATCTGTTATAACATGCAAGTGCAAAACACCAGTTGCATGTGCTTGTATTGGCACTGGGTCAGCATTGAGAACAAGAAACTTAGACACCGAATGGTTTCGACTTTAAAGCATTCACGCTTCGTCGAGTGAAAGCATTGAACATTATTATGTGAGGTTATGTGCGAGTATTCAGTTCTGCTTTGATCATTATTCTCATGAATTGTACACATGACGCTCGGCGAAAAAAAAATATTAACAAGAAAAGCCACAAAAAGTTGTTTTGCATATGGTGTGTTCGGTAAAGCACGTCACATATGCATGCTGTCACCCTACTAATACATATTCATGATTGAATATTCATAAAATAAAACGATAAAATCAAAAAAATATATTTTTAAGAAAAAATACAAAAAAATAATTTTTTTCTACTTTCACTTTTAAATTGTCAGTTTTTACACTGTTTTGAGACATAAAAAGTGATATTTTAAACACGGTTGGTCAAAGTCATGACTAAAGTACTTTAGTCACGGGTTTTAGTCACGGGGTGATGTTTGCGCATGCGCATTGCGAGCAAATTTCAAAAATTTAAAATAAAAAGTTCAAATACACAAACTAAACGTTAAAATAAAGTGAAAGTAAAAAAAAACATGACTAAACATTATTAAACACTCATTTCATTAAACGCTCGTGACTAAAACTCACTTTTAACCACTTGATACTTAATCTACTACTAATAATGACCATGTGATTCATAATGCTCAGGATGATGAGCATGTCCGGAATAAGTGACATGCGCGTTGAACCCAGCGTGTTTATCAGAAGTGTAATGCACATGACGAGTACGTCCATCCGGTTGCACCAGCGTGTATTCCCCTTTGACGACATCCCCATCACGATGCTCATTCGCCGACTTCACATCATGCGTGTGTTTATCTTCCACACCGTATTTATACACATAATTTGGATGATGCTATCACAAAAAAACAAAAAAAAAATATTTATTTCAACTCATTCACGTCGAAAATTTAATGATAATAGGCGTATTCATGCACGCTGAGAAGCAAACAATGTCTTAACGGTAGAATCACTTTCGCACGCGCAGTGAAGCGTGAGCATGATTGGAACGAAACACGCAGCGACATCTTATAGACGCTGTCGGAACCAAACAAGATGAAAAATATCATTTACCTTCGGTTCATGATGGTGATGCTCGTCATGATGTCCATGAACTGGAATGATATGACTGTGTACCGATGCGTATGAGGAAGCGTGATGCTCACCGTGCACAAACAGCAACATTGTGCACAAAATAAATATCTAAACAAAGAAATGTAAACAAAATGGGAGATATTCAGTTACACGACTCACTTTTATGATCATTTCGGATATTATTTCACTTTTTGATGCGAATTTATTACTTTGCGTGATTTCTGCATGTGCACACACTTTAAATACCAACTTTTTATCCCTGCCACATCCCCGTCAAGAAATGCACTTGTTGCAATAATAATAATAACAAGTAACAGAAAGCGCAGAGTTGGGAAAAGAAAACATTGCTCAACTCGCGGAAATTATTTCGATCAATAATAATTAAAGTTTTGAAGTTCAACTTTTATTACGCACGTTTGCCAACTCAAGCGTGCTGCATTATGCCATCACAATGTATAATATATCCAAACAAGAACACAAGAAACACAAGAATGTTTTTTCAAGCTGTAATCGTTTAGTAAGCGATTAAAAACTTAGAAAAAGTGATTAATCTCTGTCCGAGTGAAAATATATACAATTTTTTTGTGATTTGGAATTCGATTACATGTGTTACATAACGTTTCACGCTGGATTGTTTAATTAATTAGATAAAAACGTGCACAAAACACGAAAATAATGTCTACACGTGCTGTGGGTAATCAGAGCATAGAGAAAATTTAATCAAAATATTTTATTTTTTCATTTGAATAAAAAATTTGAAAAAATTTTTTTTTTTTTTTTTTTTTTTGTTTTGTTATATAATATGTTCACGCAATATTTAATACTAGATATTTGGTTAGGGTAATATGAAAAATCAATACCCATCGAATAATAATATTAATTACAGTCGTTCCGGTGCATGTCGCACGCATGTTGCAATTTTCGACCGACTATCATTGTTTGCTGGAAAGCTCGCTCAAGTGGAAAGAACTGTGCTTCGCTTTCACTTCGCTTCGTCATCGTCCTCCTCACATATTGACCAATTTCTAACACAAAAACACCATTTGAATATTCCACGGCATAAATTTAATCAAATTAGATTGAATTATTCGAGTGTGATCAAGTGTGATATCAAAATGTGGAAAATTAGTAACAATAACAATTATTTCATGCATAGATACACACGTATTAAATTATCATAAAATAAAATATTTAGTCACTAGTGGGTAAAGTGGACTTTTAGTCACGAGCGTTTATTCAATCGAGTGTATAATAATGTTTAGTCATGTGTTGCTTGCATTCTTTTTTCTACTTCTACTTTATTTCTATTTATGCTGGCGCATGCTCCACCCTGAGACTAAAACCGTGACTAAAGTACTTTAGTCACTGCTATGGCTGGCCATGCACCAAATTTCCACTTTCGTGTCATAAAATCAAGGAAAAAAATACGTTTTTAATGTAAAAATTGAAAAAGGTCAATCCTGTGACTAAAACCCGTGACTAAAGTACTTTACTCACGGTTATGGCTGGCCATGCAACCAAATTACTACTTTTTGTGACTTAAACTCATGGAAAAATTGCGTTTTAAAGATAAAAACAGAAAATGCTGCACCTTGTGACTAAAACCCGTGACTAAAGTATTTTACCTGCAACTTTAGTTTTCCATGTATAAAATACTACTTTTTGTACATTAAAACCATGGAAACAGACATTTTAAAGGTAAAAGTAGATAAAAATTTAATAAATGTAATGTTATATTACTAAAAACTAAAAAAATGAATTTTTATATTTATAGTTTATAGCTCTTCCATATTTTGCATTACACTTTGTGCGTTATCCCGGTCGTTTCGAGATAATCCGAAAGCAATAAATGCCCGCAGCTAGCACCTGTGCATTCGTCCTCTTTCAGGCTCATCGCGTCCTCGCCGCGATAGCGCTCATAAAACGAGCAATCGATCGGAAGCTCGCGCCGCCTAAACTTTTCATTGTCTCTCCCTCCTGGACAAAAAACGACGAGAACGAGTGGAAGTAGATATACGACGCCAGCATGAGTATCATTCTGATGAATCGAAGGGCTTTGCTTTCACTTCGATTTCGGTTCCTTCCGGCGATATATTTTTTCTTGAACAGCGAAATTTCGCGATACAATCGCACATAAAAATCGTAGAAATAAAACGAATTGTTGACTTGTCTCTTCACAGTTATAGAAATTACATCATTTTGTGTAAAATAATATCAAAAATATATTTACATTTTCCACGATTTGTGGAATTGATTTTTTTTACATTTTCCAATGCTGAACACTTAATAAATGCAGACGAGTCGCAGATAATTTAATAATAGTGATGATAGGTGGGATGATGCACAACCGGATGATCGGCATGTCCGGAATAGGTGACGTGCGCCGTGAAACCGTTGTGCTTGTCGGCGGTGTAATGGACGATGCGTGTCCTGCCGTCGGGCTGGACGAGCGTGTAATGTCCTTTCACCACGTCACCGTCACGTTCCTCCGCCGCTGATTTCTTATCATGCGTGTGCTCATCCTCCACGCCGTATTTGTATTGATATTTCGGATGATGCTAACAATAAAAAAAAAAACATAAAAATTAAAAAAAATAAAATTTTTCAAAGGCGCCTCCACCATTTATTTTTAGAAAAATTTGCTTACGTCAGGATAATAATGTTTATGATGGTCGTAGTGTTCTCCTCCGTCAGAGTGGATGTATTGTGAGGCGTAGGACTCAGCATGCTGTCAGAAAATAAAATTAAACATGAATAAAACGAGTTTTAGTAGAATGTAGAAGTTGAATGCTGACAATGCGAAAATTAATGATGGAAAGATCATTAACAACAAAAAATTGAGTATTACGTGGGGGTAGTAGGCGACGTGATGTCCGCCGTCTCCGCCGCCGCCTCCAGCGTGTCCATCGACGTGATTTGTGACCGACTGATATGAAGTTGCGTAACTTTCAACGTAAACCGCCAAGGAAACCAACAAAACTATCTAAAAATACAAAAAAATGAATAAAAATTATTAAACACTCTGTGTATTTTTATTTTAATGATTGTTTTGATTTAAAATTAATAAATATTTATTTTTGTTTATTTTTATTTGTTTTTTATTGATTTTTATTGATTTTTAAGCGTTTTTTATTACTTTTGCAAACATTTTGTTGCACTTTATTGCTTTTTGTAATCGTAAATAGCACTTTACTTCACTTGTCACTGGCGGTAATGGCGCGTCGCGAATCTATTTATACATTTATTTGCGCGTCCCTTCCTTCGGGTGTTATTTCCTTCGAAATCGCGATGTTGCGCCAAATTGCAAATTTCCATTTCGAGTTGAACGCTGCTCATGATTGCGAGCGTTTCCTTTGCGATTTGCAAGAACGCCCGACATTGTTATAACTTAAATTTAATTAATAATCTAACTGCGCATGCATAGGTAACAACAGTCACGATTTATTACCATCCAGTTCAAGTTCAATAATATAATTATAAATTTAAATAATTAATAATTAATATTAAATCAAAGAAAAAAACCAATTTTTATAGAAATGATTTTTTTATTGGAATAAATAATGGGTTCAAGTATAAGGAAGCAGAATAATAAATAAAAGCGAAGAGGCGCTTGCAAAACGACGGAAAAAACACACAAACGTTGAGAACGCAGTCGAGTGTGAATGTATCGATTAGCTTGATTTGCGTCCATTTCCTTCGCTTTACATTTCGCTGGGTATTTCATGTTTTTTTGCGTGCGTTCTATTTTTGCGAAATAATCGCGCTTGTAATCGCGATCGACAGCTCGCAACCATCAATCGCGTGCTTCGAAGCAAATCAACAGAAAACATTATGGAAAATGAAATCAATCAATTAGCTAATTGACTTATTGCCCTCCATGACAAAAGACACACTTCAATTTAACTCTTATGTAATGTTTCATTTACTAATGGTGACCGTGGAAAAAATAAAAATAAAAAAAAAAAATGTTTTTTGGAATTTTTTTTTGATGATGAAATTCAATGTTTATTACAAAAATAAATCTCTACAAAAATATAACAATCTCAAACTCAAGAAAAACATTTAATAATGGTGTTTGGGAGCTGGGTGTTCAGCATGTCCGGAATATTGCACATCAGCGTTGAATCCATTGTGTTTATCGGAGGTGTAATGAACAATGCGGGTCCTGCCATCTGGCTGTGCGAGTTTATACCATCCTTTGACAACATCGCCATCACGTTGCTCCTCCGCTGATTTCATATCGTGAGTGTGATGATCCTCCACGCCGTACTTGTACTCATACTTGGGATGATGATGAGGATAATGCTCTTCGTGGTGACCTCCATGTCCGCCATGTTGGACGTGGTTATTGAAGGAAGCATACGAAGTAGCTTTGTGGGCCACAGCGCAGGCAACCAACACAGCAATGATCAAAACTTTAGAAAACATTTTTAAGAATTTTTAAGTTTTTCGTGGTTTTAGTTGGTTGTTGATCGGTAGATGAACAAAATTGATTTGTGATTAACTTGGTAGTTACTGCGGGTTTTATACTAGTTGTACGCTTGGTTTACTTTGCATTTTTTGTGGTATTTCGGGTGCGTAAATCGGTAAATGGGTAAACACGGTGAGTTATTGGCGACACGCGGATGATGTAACTCGATTGATTAGTAAATTCGCTGGAGGTTTGCTGGCGTTCGGCTGACACCACCCGAGCACTTGAAATTTATGAGCATTGAACCATTTCATCAATTGCGTGATGGGCGTTACTGAATTCAGTGTAATTGTTGCTTAAATATTTGTTTTACGCAAAAATCTGCTGATATTTAGGTTTAATTTATGTTTTTTGAGTTTTATGTAATTTTTATGAATAATTTAATTAATTACTCTATAAAATAAATAGATTATGAATGTTTTATTAGGTTTTTAGCTATTGGTGATGAAAATTTTAATTGCAATGATTTAATAATGAAATTTTATTTACAAATGCAATTTGTAGATGTAATTTATTGATTTTTTGTTTCATTTGACAAACAGTGAAAAGTTTTTATTGAGAATTCATTTTTTATGAGTTTTTATTGATTTCGTTTAATTGATTTATTTCTTTAGATTTTTATGCAATTTAAATGAATATTACTCTAAAATCTAAAAAAAAATTAAATTTTTGATTGCAAATGCAGTTTTTGGGAATATTAAATAAAGAGGACATTATTCGGTTTAATTTAAATATTTGTTTAGTATTCTATAATTAATTGCTAATTAATTACTCTAAAAATAAATAAACTATGATTATAATTAATATTTGTATCAATTTTTAGTGTTCATCATCATTTTTTTCAAATTAATTTGACAGTTTTTTCTAAAATCTCGAAAAAGGCAACAAATTTACAATTTCAAATTCAATTTTTATGAATTTTAATAAACTAGGAAATTAATTAAGTAATATATCTCGTAATTTACCCAATTACACAACAATTAACCAAATATTTCTGTATTACTATTCATGAATTAAAAATTTTAACATTTTTTGGGTGAACAATCACAATGATGTAATGCAAATATGTAAAATACTTTCATAGTATTACAATGTCCACTGCCCAGTGCCCACCACTCTAAATAATTTGAGTATTTGAGCATGACTATATAAGACTTACTTAGTTCCATACTCAGCATCAGTTCTACAACTACAACTATCTCTTGTTGTAATTAAAACAAAGCAAACCACCAAAAATAACATTAAAAATGTCTTTCAAAGTATTGATCCTTGCTGCCGTTGTGGCCTGCGCTATGGCTGACCATTACAAAGCGTCTTCGTATGCATCTTTCCATAACCCAGCTTATGGTGGTCATTATGATCAACACGAGCATTATCCTACTGTAAGTATCAATGTAGAGTTTAATTTTGTTGATTGATTGATTGATTCTTATTGTTATTGTTATTGTTATTGTTTTTGTATGTTTAGCATCATCCCAAGTATGAATTCAAATATGGTGTTGAAGACCAACATACTCATGATCAAAAGTCTCAGCATGAGGAGCGTGATGGTGATGTTGTCAAGGGATGGTACAAATTGGAACAACCTGATGGCAGAACTCGTATTGTTCATTACACTGCTGATAAGCACAATGGATTCAACGCTGATGTGCAATACTCAGGACATGCTGCTCATCCCTACCATCATTAAATTTATGTTTATTTGTTTCTTATGTGATTGACTACTGTTTACTTCTCAAATTTCTATATTTTCTAATAAAATTGAATGAATTATACATATATTGAGTATTTGTTATTTTGGATATTTTGTTTCATAAGAGCTAAATAAGGCTTTTTCAACATACAAACTTTGTTCACTTAGTATACCCCATTGAAAATTAAATAATTCAAAATTTATATGCTTATTTTATACTCATAGAAGCCTTTTTTAAGATGCACCTTTTTCCAACCCTTAAACACTTTGGAAAATACTTCAAATTAGTGTCCAAACAATGATCTTAGTTTTCAATTTCTAAAAATTAATAAACACCTTGTATCTCTTGCACCTATAGTCAAATCTAGAAATTCTTATGACTGTGTTATTGACAATGAGTTTTTTAATAAGACTTATACATTTAAATCTCTTAAATTTATTTGAAAAGCCCTAAAACCTCAATTTAGAATTGTACTATTTACAAATTTTAAAAAATCTTGGTATCTTTGAAATTAATGAACCAATTTTCAATTTTTCAAAATTATTGAATAGCTGTGAAGGCTATCTAAAGAAACGTGTGCTATTTCAATTCTCTGGACCTTTGCAAAACGCTCTCAACTTAAAAATTCCTCTTAAATTCTGCTTAAAATTTAATCAAAAGTAACAAATATTATAGATAATCAGAAAAATAATTTTATATGGTTTTTATTAGAAAAATAAACATTTGAAATACAAAATGTTATAAATATTCACAGACTATAGAAGAAAAAAGGTTTAATGATGATGCACTTGTGGGTGATCAGCATGTCCAGAATATTTCACATCAGCGTTGAAACCATTGTGTTTATCAGCAGTGTAATGGACAGTACGGATCCTACCATCAGGTTGGACCAATGTGTAGTATCCCTTGACAACATCACCATCACGTTCCTCATGTTGTGACTTGATATCATGGGTGTGTTTGTCTTCGACGCCATATTTGAATTCATACTTGGGATGATGATGTGGGTAGTGTTCTTCGTGATGACCATGATGTCCACCTTCCTGGGCCTGTCCTAATCCTTCGCCACCATGATGATAGCCATGAACAACATGGTTGCTTACGGAAGCATATGAAGTTGCGTGGTGTTGCGCCACAACGCAGGCAACCAAACAAGCAAGAATGCAAACTTTAGCGAACATATTGATGGATTAATTTGTTTTGTATATCTTTACAGATTACTAGACAACGGTGAACTGTGCTGTCTTATCACATCCAGCTACTTTTTATACTACCGTATCACCATCTCCACAAATATTAAAATTACTTACATTCACAATACTATTATATATTGTTACCATATCTGTGATGCAATTAATATAAAAAATATAGTGTGGCAGGCGGCCAATGTCCGCTCAACTTCAAGCCTCCGAATTTTAATTTATTCAAACACTTACTACGTTTATGTCCGCTCATTGATCGTACAACAAGTCTGGCGATAGTCTAGCAGGTAAAAGTAGCATTGCCAAAGCCGGGCACGGGCGCCATCGGTGAAGTAATCAAAAAGAATGCGGCACCGAAATATGCAAATTTTTCGAATCTCCCGATATGTGTCAATCTAACGCGGGGACCACTTTTTAACGCTCTATTAAACAATAATTAATGAAAGCAAATGGAGCATATGCTTAGTTTACCCAGCAACTAAACAATGTTGTAACAAATTAGATAACAAATAATAAGAAAAATAATCAAATTTTTTAAAACAAATTTATTGCATATAAAGACATAAATATATACAATAATTAACAATAACAACACTTGAGAGTATAAACAACACAGGAAGATGAGTTTAAAATATTTATACAAAAACTTTAACACGACCCAAAGCAATAAACCACAAGAAATATTAATTTTGTTGAAGATATTTTTGAATGAATTTTGATTTGATTTAGTTTAGTAATGATGAGTGTCAGTGTAGTGCACTTCAGCCTTGAATCCGTTGTGTTTATCAGCAGTGTAATGGACAATACGAGTCTTTCCATCGGGTTGTACCACACTGTAATATCCTTTGACAACATCACCATCTCGTTCTTCTTCAGCGGACTTCATATCATGAGTGTGTGGGTCTTCTACGCCATATTTATAAACATATTTTGGGTGATGCTAAAATAAACAATCAATAATATAATTCTTTTATTAACACCTTAAAGACTCTCGTTTTTTCACGGTTTTAATATACAAAAAAGTGGTATTTTAAACACGGATGACTAAGGCCGTGACTAAAGTATTTTAATCACGAGCTTTAGTCACGAATTTGAAAGATTTAAAATACAAAAGTTTAAATACAAAAACGCAAAAGTGGAAGAAGACGGGAAAAAATAATGTAAGCATCACGTGGCTAAACGTTGTTAAACACTCGATTGATTAAACGCTCGTGACTAAAACTCCACTTTAGCCACTTGATACTTAATATACTATAAAAACAAAAGTAAAAAAAAATTATTCTTACAAAATATTCTTTGTGTCCGTGTTCATCCTCCCCATGATGATAACTATGTTCAACATGATTATCATATGATGCATAGGATGAAGCATGATGATGATCAGCAAACACACAACTAAGCACAGCTAAAATGATCAAAACTTTGAACACCATTTTTATTTATTTTTTAAAATTTAGTTTTGATTGTTGTTTATACTTTGATGGTACAAATTGATTTGTACTGACCATCTTCCCATCCTGGCTATTTATACTCCTTTCTTGGAATGTTCGAGATCACGTAATGTGCATGTAACACACAGGAATTGCATTGCGATGCACTGGTCAGTAATGCAAGAGTAAATCTGAATAAACATCCAAGATTAAACTGTTGATTACTGCGCTGCGTGAACAATCGATGCATTACATTTTAATTTATATAGTAGAGGTATCTACCTAGTAACAAAATAAAAAAAGAAAAAAAAAAGAATGCGGTAATTGAGTAATTGGCTTCCAAAACTGATTAACATGTAAAAGTGTGTAAAACGCTCTGATAACCACCAACAAACTTGGTTTTATTTGTTTTAATTTACATATTAAACGATTAAACATTACAACATATATTTTTATATGAATTTTATTAGAAAAATAATTTGTTTAGATAAATATATACAAATTTTCACAGGTAAATATCAGAAAACTTAATGTTTGTATTCTGGGTGATCAGCATGTCCAGAATATTTTACATCAGCGTTGAATCCATTGTGTTTATCAGCAGTGTAATGAACAGTGCGGATCCTACCATCGGGTTGGACCAATGTGTAGTATCCCTTGACAACATCACCATCACGTTCCTCATGTTGTGACTTGATATCATGGGTGTGTTTGTCTTCAACGCCATATTTGAATTCATACTTGGGATGATGATGTGGGTAGTGTTCTTCGTGATGACCATGATGTCCACCTTCCTGGGCCTGTCCTAATCCTTCACCTCCATGATGATCGCCATGAACAACATGGTTACTCACAGATGCATATGAAGTTGCGTGGTGTTGCGCTACGGCGCATGCGACAACCGCAGCGAGGATGCAAACTTTGACGAACATTTTGATTGGAATTAATTACTGCTGAAATGCAAGCGTGGCTGAATATTGGATGTGTTGCTGCTTGGCAGAGGGCCGAATGTGTTTTGTGGTTTGTGGACTTGCATTTGGTGGTTTTATACTGGCGGCCGAGTTGTGGCCAGTGGATTACGATTAATTTGCGTTTGGTTTATGGCCTGGTGACTGTCCCCTTCCTGCCTGTTCCGTTCACCCAAAAATTGAGTAAAATAGATGAATATGTCTGTTGGTATAATGACGGTCGGATTTTAGAGCAGTTATCACATCATGCTGCATGCAACGATTTTGTGACGTAATTCCGTTTTGCGATTCAGGCAAAACGTTGAATACGCGCCGAAATTATGTACGTGTAGTTTGAGTTGGATTTACAAATTTGCATAAATTTATTCGCATAAAACCATGCGGCAAATGCGAATCTGTATCTGATTCGGGATTGTAAAATCAAATATTGCGATTTATGTGGTTACAAACAACTGCAATCAGTCATATTTTTATTGTGAACAATATTATTTACTTTTTTATGTTTCAAAGCGACCCTAGCGCCACCTAACCTCACATAACCTAACAAAATCTAACATAACCTAAATTAACGAAAAAAAAACTCACATTTTTAACAAGAAAACACTACTAATATTATAAATGCGAAAGTCCTGATGTTTGTTACACTTTCACGCAAAAACTACTTAATCGATCATCATGAAAATTTGTACACATATTCTTAGTGGTCCCCGAATGGTTATAGGCTACTTTTTATTTAATAAAAAAAATTATTTTTAAAATAAAATAAAGAAATTGGTTCGCCAATAATACCTCTGCAACTGGCTATTTGACTACTTTAAAGCCATCTAGCATTCCAGCAATGAAGCTCAAACCTAAGTACAATAGTACCATCACACTGTATTATCACACTGTATTACCGACAGCTACGTCAACATCAAATCCAATTGACTACACTATGGAGACTGTACACTATACTTCCATAGACTATACTTTCAGCCATTTTAAACTTCCCGCCATTCTACTTCATTGTTACTTCTTCTGTGACTACTGACGCGTACGGAAGCAACTTCATTATTTTAGTACTTTAATAATTTGAATGAAATAAAATCTAAGTGTGAATTTAATTAAATTTTGATTTATCTTTGAAATTTATGACGATGTCTAAGCAATAATATATCAGATAATTGCTTACTATTTCCTGGCATCTAACAAGCCCGAAGCATTAGACACAGTACCACAGGCATTCGTTATAATTCCACAACATAAACTCAGCATCCACAAAGGAGTAATTGCCACGTGGGTATCACCACCACGCTACTCCATTACCTGCATACGAGCAAGCAATTATGCGATGTTAAATTATACAACCAACTTACTGTCAATTATTCACACTCTCGTAAACACTACATTATCATCATGTTTTAAGGTAAATATTACCATCAAAGGATAATAATTAGTCAAAACAACTCAAATACATTTTCAATAGCGTAGGTTTTATTAGAAAAATAGATTTTTGATACAAAAACAAAAAATTATAAGAAATTTATAAGAATTAATAATGATGTGGTTTGTATTCTGGGTGATCAGCATGTCCAGAATATTTCACATCAGCGTTGAATCCATTGTGTTTATCAGCAGTGTAATGAACAGTGCGGGTCCTACCATCGGGTTGGACCAATGTGTAGTATCCCTTGACAACATCACCATCACGTTCCTCATGTTGTGACTTGATATCATGGGTGTGTTTGTCTTCGACGCCATATTTGAATTCATACTTGGGATGATGATGTGGGTAGTGTTCTTCGTGATGACCATGATGTCCACCTTCCTGGGCCTGTCCTAATCCTTCACCGCCATGATGATAGTCATGAACAACATGGTTGCTTACGGAAGCATATGAAGTTGCGTGGTGTTGCGCTGCAACATAGGCAACCAAACAAGCAAGAATGCAAACTTTAGCGAACATTTTTAGTGATTTTTGTGTTGTTTGTTAGAACACTGAATGTATTATGATTCTTTACCAAACATACAACCAATTTATACTAAATTTCATGACTGTTACTTCTCCCTACTATTTTTAAGTAATAATAATCAAAATATAACACATTTTTAGGCATGTGTTGTGTAATTAATTAATAAACGCTCTCGATATATCAATATATGTAACAATTGTTAGATAATTATTGCTCCTGACAAAAAACATGTGTTTGTGTGCAGGCATTTGTTCACGCATGAGTGTGTTTTGATCTTGTTTGCATGCTGTGAGAATAATCGTCGACACAATGACCAAAATCTGGTGAGCGGACAAATCCATTCGGACTTTTACTTTTTTATTAAAACTGTGCGTGACCAGAGATGAAATATGGCGATTGTTGTCAATCATAAATAACGCGCTTTCGATAATACTAATAATTGAGTAATTATGATTGATGATAATATTGATCTTTGAATGATTATGCATTCAATAATTACAAATGCACTCGGTTTAATACTGATAACTGAAGTGCGCATCAACACATTTCCGCTATCCATCACTTCCGACTGCTTGAATATTCGATAAAGTGACAGTGGCAGTGGGTGCGTGCCGTGATATGCGAGATTGGAGTTTCGACATTCGCACCTACATTAATTTATAAACCGTAGGAAGCGCCCGTGATTTACATCTGCAAAGTAGAGGAGGAATGCGAGGAGGAAATTTGATTGAAATAAATCAACCTGTCTCATAACTGACGCAGAGTTTCGTGCATCCCTACTAATATTATAAATGCGGAAGTCCGGATGTTTGTTACACTTTCACGCAAAAACTACTTAACCGATCATCATGAAAATTTGAACACATATTCTTAGTGGTCCCCGAATGGTTATAGGCTACGTTTTATATAATAAAAAATTATTTTTAAATAAAATAAAGAAATTGTTTAGCCAATAATAATTCTGCATCTGGCTATTTGACTACTTTAACGCCATCTAGCATTCCAGCAATGAAGCTCAAACCTAAGTACTATAGTACCATCACACTGTATTATCACACTGTATTACCGACAGCTACGTCAACATCAAATCCAATTGACTACACTATGGAGACTGTACATTATACTTCCATAGACTATACTTTCAGCCATTTTAAACTTCCCGCCATTCTACTTCATTGTTACTTCTTCTGTGACTACAGACGTGTACGGAAGCAACTTCATTATTTTAGATATTCGCGAGCGAAGCCGCGGGTTAAAACTAGTTTCATATAAATAGAGAAATTAATTTGAATATATTTAAGTTTTAGTGGTATTAATAGAATGTTTTGGAAATAAATCAGTTTGAATTGCGTTTAGAGTTTTTATTACAAAAATAAATCATTTTACAGAGTATTTAAATATAAACATAGTGAATCACAGTTTTATAAATATCATATTTAATGATGTTGTGGGTGATCAGCATGTCCAGAATATTTCACATCAGCGTTGAATCCATTGTGTTTATCAGCCGTGTAATGAACAGTGCGGGTCCTACCATCGGGTTGGACCAATGTGTAGTATCCCTTGACAACATCACCATCACGTTCCTCATGTTGTGACTTGATATCATGGGTGTGTTTGTCTTCGACGCCATATTTGAATTCATACTTGGGATGATGATGTGGGTAGTGTTCTTCGTGATGACCATGATGTCCACCTTCCTGGGCCTGTCCTAATCCTTCACTTCCATGATGATAATCATGAACAACATGATTACTCACAGAAGCATATGAAGTTGCGTGGTGTTGCGCCAAAGCGCAGACAACCACAGCAGCAAGAATGCAAGCTTTGAACAACATTTTTTGGTTTTGGTTTTGTTGGTTTGTTCTTGAGTAGAAACAAATGTTGAGTGTGATTATACTGAAAGAATGTTTGGCTTTTATACACAATTTAATTTTGTCCCACTTCTCATCTGTTTTAAATTTTGACTGTGATGTTGTGTAAGCCTTTATGCAGTAGCACGATATGTTTATAGTCGTAGTTTGCTTGCTTTTACATTTTTTATGTTATTATGCAAAATTTGTCGTGTTGACCGAATTAAATCAATCATAATTTTAATATTGGAATTGTCTATCAAAATCAACAATTAAAAACTAAAAAATTGTTTAATTATTTACATAAATCATAAATTATAAATTTTTCTGCCAATATTTTAACGCAAAACTGCAAAATTTATTGTTTTTCAAACCTTTTCTGCGTTTTCATTATTTTTTCTTCTTCTGTTTTTAAAGCGCCAGTTTTTTCATGGTTTGGGGGCACAAAAAGTGGCATTTTAAACATGGACGGCTAAAGCTGTGACTAAAGTACTTTAGTCACGGGCTTTAGTCACGGGGTGGAGCTTGCGCATGCGCATTTGCCTACGGTGCTGCACAAAACCATATGAAATGCCATTCGCCGTTAGTCATGTGCTGATACTGCTCGGGTCGTCGCGGCATTTATAACCTTACATTTTCCAATAGTGTGCAAGCAAGTTCTGAAAATTTAAAAATAAAAAGTTTAAATGCAAAAACTAAACATGGAAATAATGTTGAAGTAGAAGAAATAGCGTAAGCATCACGTGACTAAACGTTGTTAAACATTCAATTAATCAATCTCGTGACTAAAACTCCCATTTATCCACTTGATACTTAATATCCTATAATAAAAACAAAATATTTACTTTAACCATTTAAGTATTTAAAATTAAGTCTATTTCTAATTAATCCAACTTAAACAGTAAAAGTTTTAACCCAAAATAAATAAAGTGTTGACAGAACTCCGTACGATAAATAACTCCATGATGTAACTCCACAATCCGCGTTTCATTAACTAATTAATCTTGACAGCTACAACTTTTTTCACCAACAACTGACCATCAACCACACTCTAGTATGCCATAAATCGATCACAGCTACTGTTACACATATTACGCATTAATACCAATATTTAATAAATTTAACGTTAAACAAATGCATCCGAGTGTAAAAGCAATAAACGACCTGATTAGATAAAACAAATTCCATTTGATTACGTACCAAGTACAACAAACAGGTGTAACTTAACACTGTATCATTAATTACGCTCAGTTATTAAGCCATAAATCATTAACACACTTAAACATATTTGGGCGTATACCAAATATAATAAACTACTATTAATAAGTTTATCTACAAGATATTAATTTGTTATCCAATCGAATAAATTGCTTTCACTCTAGACTCTAAAGTCTAGAGAAATGTTTGTCCGCGTGACAGAATTCGAAAAAAAAGCGTGAAATTTAATCAGGAAGTAGCTCAAGTTCAAATATTACACGAATTTAATTGAATAATTTAATTATTAAACTTATAGAGGTGATTTTTGTGTGCACTTGTTCAATTTTCGCGCTGAAAGCTTTGTGCCGCCGTGGAAAAGTTCAAGCTTTGCATAATCGAAGTTTTAATTAATTTCCGAGTTGGATTACACGTCGAGCTGACATAATTGTATGCCTGATGTGTTTCAGGCAGATGTTTTAAATTATTCTCCAGAAAATAATCAGATTTTTCACTGTTTTAAACGAAATTAAAAAAATTTTTTTTCATTTTTGGATAGAAATATGTTGTATCTTTGTATCTGTACATATGTGAATTTAATATAAATATTTTATATGCGTTACATGAGGGTAGACATCAAGTTGGTGTCTTTGATGTGAAGATTCAGTGTTGAAGCATACTCAAAGCTTGTTTCGTTCGGTTTCGCGTTTCCCAGCGCTCTTGAAACCGCTCGAAGCGTTAACATATTGCCGAGGTGGCTTTACCATGGCCGACCGATAGAGATTGCTGCGGTTTTCCACCCGCAGGTGTAGCGTTACGTTGATCGAGCCCCCGAATGGCAGGTTTGCATTCGGGGCTAATAACGACGGCGTTGTGTACAAACATGTCGATGTAAATTTCCCGACATCATGTTTGCTGCGTGCGGTGTGAGCTAGTATTTCACAGCCGCGAGCCGCAAATACTGCGGTTTATTTTTAGTGTCGGCTGGAAAGAGTGTGATTGAACTGTGGGAAATGTTTAAGTTCAACATCAATCCGCAAGTTCACGTCTTACTCACTGGTCAGTTTCAAAGAGCTTAACCGAATAGAAATTGATATAAAATTCGTTCTTTTTAAAAGTTGTGGGAGTTGTAGATGTGAGCTAAAATTATAGAATGTATAATATTTATATTGACGGTAACAAGTGAATTTGGAATCAGGAGCACGTGGCGGCATTACATCACGCATGCCATGATATATCCCTGTTTATGTTAGAAACATTAGGAAACGTTTTACGCGATGCGGGATTTTAGCTTTCGGTTTTATTTTTGGACACACATGAATGTGTAAGTCCCACTACAACTTTTGTTGCAGCACACGAGCTATAAATATATCAAATCGCACGCCAATCAAACATAACTCATTTGTCTATCAAACAAATAACAACTCAATCAACTATCAAGCTCTATTTTTATTCCGAATAAAAATGTTTAAGCTTTTGGTTATTGCTGCAGTTGTGGCTTGCGCTGTTGCTCGCCCTCAAGACCACCACGCTACTTCATATGCTTCTGTGAGTAATCATGTTGTTCATGATTATCATCATGGAGGTGAAGGATTAGGACAGGCCCAGGAAGGTGGACATCATGGTCATCACGAAGAACACTATCCACATCATCATCCCAAGTATGAATTCAAATATGGCGTCGAAGACAAACACACCCATGATATCAAGTCACAACATGAGGAACGTGATGGTGATGTTGTCAAGGGATACTACACATTGGTCCAACCCGATGGTAGAACCCGCACTGTTCATTACACTGCTGATAAACACAATGGATTCAATGCTGATGTGAAATACTCTGGACATGCTGATCACCCACAGGTCCATCATCATTAAACCCTTTTTTGCTATAGTCTGTGAATATTTATAACCTTTTGTATTTCAAATGTTTATTTTTCTAATAAAACCATTGAAAATTATAATTTTGTTCAATATTTAACAATTTTCAACAAATATTACAATAATTTGTAATATAACAATATGGTTTTGTTTAGAATTTAGTCAAGCGTCTGTATTCCTCAGCAAGGTTGTCAAGAGCGTGTTTGTGGGCAGCGAAGTGTTCAGCCCTGGCGGCTTCCAACTCAGCGGTGTTGTCAATATGTCTGCTTTCATGCACGGGGTGGTGATGAACAGGCAGAGTTGGGATGTAGACAATTTCTCGGGTCTCATGGTATGGTTCTTCCTTAAGTGGAGGAAGAGCAGCACGCTCTTTCTCTACAGTAGCCAAATGCACACGGCGGGCGGCAGCAACCTCTGGGGTTTCCTGGACCTGTTGTGGGACATCTCCAGAAGCAACAAAACCACCATTGGGGGAAGCAACATAGTTCACTTTGTGGTGTTGACCTTCCTTGTCGGTGTAGCTGTAGGAACCAACTACTTTACCACCTTGGAAACCTTGTTCATCACGGTCAACATCTTCGGTTGCGAATTTGAGGTTGTAATTACCAAGAGTATCTTGGCTGAGGGATACTCCCTGGTGAGCAGGTTTACTGCAGGCGATTGCTACAAGAGCAGTGATGATAATCTAAAGAAATAAAAACTTATTTTAAAATCTGAAATATTGTTATTGTTGTTATTTTGGACTTACCAATCGGAACATCTTGATAGAAGTTTTGTTGTGGTGGTGTGTATGAAGCAACAAAGAAGAGAATGATTTCTGGGAAGTGACCAAAATTGTATTTATACTAAAACAGTGATGGTCATTTATATATGAAGCAGCACGTCACTACCTAAGTACTTTTACGGTAATTGAAAGTGCATTCATAAAAATTTGAATGTCTCCTAATGATTATAATATTTGTAGTAAAAGTAATTGTTCAAAGTTTACTCCAAAAATAAAACTTGGAGAAAGAAAATGGTCTAAAATCTTTTGATAAAAATAAATATAGACAGACAATAATTTATAAGCAATTAGAAATGCAACATGCAATTTTATATAATCTAATTGTTTTTGCCGGAGTATAAATATCAAAGTTGTTTTATTGAAAGCAACAGTTCTTGTTAGCTTACAGTGCAGTACAAAGAATTACATCAAAATGTACAAATTGGTAAGACCCTAAAACCAAGGCCCTAGTAAGTCTATAATCTAAAATTATTATTTATGTACCTAGGTCATCATCACTGCTTTAGCCACCATGGCTTTTGCTAAACCAGCCCATCAGGGAGTGTCCCTCAGCCAAGATACCCTTGGTAACTACAACCTGAAGTTCGCTACCACAGATGTTGACCGTGATGAACAAGGCTTCGAAGGTGGTAAAGTAGTTGGATCCTACAGCTACACCGACAAGGAAGGTCAACACCACAAAGTGAACTATGTTGCTTCCCCCAATGGTGGTTTTGTTGCTTCTGGAGATGTCCCACAACAGGTCCAGGAAACCCCAGAGGTTGCTGCTGCTCGTCGTGTGCATCTAGCTACTGTAGAGAAGGAGCGTGCTTCTCTTCCTCCACTTCGCGAAGAACACTCCCGCACATTCCATGAGGAGGTCTACGTCCCAACTCAGTTCGTTCATCACAATGTGCATGAACATAAACAGGTTGACAACACCGCTGAGTTGGAGGCTGCCAAGGCTGAGCACTTTGCTGCCCATAAAGAGGCTCTTGCCAACCTTGCTGAGGAATACAGACGTTTGGCCAAATTCTAAATCAAACCATATTGATACTACAAAATGTTATAATGTTTGTTGAAAATTGTTAAATATTGGACAAAATTATAGTTTTATATGGTTTTTATTAGAAAAAGAAACATTTGAAATACAAAATGCTATAAATATTCACAGACTATAGCAAAAAAGGGTTTAATGATGATGGACCTGTGGGTGATCAGCATGTCCAGAGTATTTCACATCAGCGTTGAATCCATTGTGTTTATCAGCAGTGTAATGAACAGTGCGGGTCCTACCATCGGGTTGGACCAATGTGTAGTATCCCTTGACAACATCACCATCACGTTCCTCATGTTGTGACTTGATATCATGGGTGTGTTTGTCTTCGACGCCATATTTGAATTCATACTTGGGATGATGATGTGGGTAGTGTTCTTCATGATGACCATGATGTCCACCTTCCTGGGCCTGTCCTAATCCTTCACCTCCATGATGATAATCATGAACAACATGATTACTCACAGAGGCATATGAAGTAGCGTGGTGGTCTTGAGGGCGAGCAACAGCGCAAGCCACAACTGCAGCAATAACCAAAAGCTTAAACATTTTTATTCGGAACAAAAATAGAGCTTGATAGTTGATTGAGTTGTTATTTGTTTGATAGACAAATGAATTATGTTTGATTGGCGTTTTGATACAGTATTTATACCTGGCGGGTTATAGAGTAGTGGAACACGAAAGTAAAAATTCAACTTTGAGTAAAGCATTATGTGTTATAACATAAACAAAGAATGTACGAGTATCAACCGTATGAGTAACACCAGATTGCCAAAATGCGTTTAATTCATTATGCAATCAACAGATTAATCAATAGATTAATCTAAATTAACATTCTTGCAATAAAAAATAATAATTATTAAAATTTCAACGTTTTATTAACTTTTTCAATCTCAATCTCAACAACATGATCAACACATAACAAAACAATACGATCAGTTATTTAATTTAGAAAGAAGCCAAGCGTCTGTATTCCTGGGCAAGGTTGTCCAGAGCATGCTTATGGGCAGCGAAGTGCTCAGCCCTGGCAGCTTCCAACTCAGCGGTGTTATCAACATATCTGCTCTCATGCACACTATGATGAACAGGCAGAGTTGGCACATAGACAACCTCATGGACCTCATGGTAAGGTTCTTCCCTGAGTGGAGGAAGAGAAGCACGCTCCTTCTCTACTGTAGCCAAATGCACACGGCGAGCAGCAGCAACCTCTGGGGTTTCCTGGACCTGTTGTGGGACATCTCCAGAAGCAACAAAACCACCATTGGGAGAAGCAACATAGTTCACTTTGTGGTGTTGACCTTCTTTGTCAGTGTAGCTGTAGGAACCAACTACTTTACCACCTTGGAAGCCTTGTTCATCACGGTCAACATCATCGGTATTGAACTTCAGGTTGTAGTTACCAAGAGTATCTTGGCTGAGGGAGACTCCCTGGTGAGCGGGTTTAGCGCAGGCTACTGCGACAATAGCAGCAAGAATAACCTAAAAATTTGATGAGTTTTGATCAAAATAAGTAAAATTTACTTAAGTGAAGAGTTTGACTTACAATTCTGTACATTTTGGATGGATACTTAGTTTGCAGAGGGCACAAATAAAGTGATAACATTCAATGACCACAATCAGTATTTATACTTCCAAATAAACCAAAAAAAAAAAACAATTACACTTAATATCCATACATTAATTACTTTAAAGAATGTAAAATGTACTTTCACACTTCTAACAATTAGTCTTAATGATTAATATCATAAAAAATCAATTAAAAGCTAAACCCATAGTTGTTTTCCATTTCAAACTAACAAAACAACCGAAAAAAGACAAAGAAATCATTCGGTTAATGTTCTTTTCATCGCAATAAACAAAATTTACGCGCGATGGAAAAGTAATGACGACACACTTAAAAACCGTTGATTCCTAAATATATAGATCAATAAACCTGTCGCAACATGGCGAATTCCATAATGCAAGCCACATTAAAGTCGTAAAAAGCTGCGCCACCACGTGTTCAACCAGAAAGACACATTTCCAAAGCAAAACTTCGTAAATTTCCGCGTGTAACATCTGCCAAAGTTAGCCAAGTCTGCTCGTACACTTAATCATATCCGCAAGCGATGCGAAACATGTTTACCTACGTAGCGAGCGCGCTACCAAAATTAAAACATAAAATATTCAAGCTTAAATATCAGCTGTCTATGCGAAGATTGAATACACGCCAAGAGTATTTTTATTACACGATTAATGAGCGCGCATAAAACGCATCAAACTCTCCGGGTAATTTGCGATGCTTTTATTACAAAAATAAAGTTGTTATAGGACAGATAAATATTTACAATTGGGTATTTAGCGGTTTGCGTGACGCGTTTAATGATGATGGACTTCTGGGTGATCCGCATGTCCAGAGTATTTCACATCAGCGTTGAATCCATTGTGTTTATCAGCAGTGTAATGAACAGTGCGGGTCCTACCATCGGGTTGGACCAATGTGTAGTATCCCTTGACAACATCACCATCACGTTCCTCATGTTGTGACTTGATATCATGGGTGTGTTTGTCTTCGACGCCATATTTGAATTCATACTTGGGATGATGATGGGGGTAGTGTTCTTCGTGATGACCATGATGTCCACCTTCCTGGGCCTGTCCTAATCCTTCACCTCCATGATGATAGCCATGAACAACATGGTTGCTTACTGATGCATATGAAGTTGCGTGGTGTTGCGCTGCAACGTAGGCAACCAAACAAGCAAAAAATACAAATTTATACATTTTTATGATTTTTAGGTTGTTCTGTTGAACTTCTGATGAATTGTGATATCGATCCAGACTCAATCAGTCTTTTTATATGAAATTAATGTGTTAGGTAGCCAAATTTGTTGGTTGATGTGCGATAACACAACCCACTTTACCTTTATTTATAAACGCTATACGAGTAGGTACATTATGCAAGCAAACATTCTATCTGCTCGTACAACAAGTGTTCCATTCTATTAATCGCATAATAGACTCAATAAAAATAAAAGTATATCACTCGAAAAAATGCAAATTAATTGATGTAATGTGACCGAGTTAATTTGTTTCCTCATTCGTTAATCTCAACCAAATTTATTATTATGATTATGATTATTATGTGCATGTGTCGTTGAAATGTGGATTTGTGAGTTTGTGTAACTCGGCTATAAACTCGGTTTATTATGCCACCAATGCAACATTCTAACAAGTTCAAGTTGCAGACTTGGTCGCGAGTCTAATTGCGCGAAATTGGTTTCGAACAATTATGCGCGCCGCAAGTATGCAATTACAATTTCATTAAATTGAGTAAATATTTACCAAGGCGTGTGTACGAAACGGTAAATATTTGCGTTATTGTTGCGGTTGTTCTTAGCTACACTTACGTGGACTGAGAATTCGGAAGTTACTAAATTAATTAATTTAAATAAATATTTTATGTTTTTTTTTTATTTTATTTTAGAAATACTCGTAGTAATAGTTATGTAGTAAAATTCGTTTTTGAGCAGTAAATTAACTTTACGTTTGCGGGAATATTCCGAAACAAAGTCTACACGTGAGTTGGCGTAATAAAGTTAGGTAGGTAATATTCGTAATTCTGCGAATTTAATTTCAGCGGAATGACGCTGCGAAAAGTTTTCATCTGTCGCGCTTGAATGCACTACAAAGTGCACGTTTTGCAGTGAAATTTATTACGAAATCACTTCGTTTGTTTAGGTTATGTTTCATATATTTAATGTACACGTTCACAACTTTCAATTTATGAATTAATTTATGGTTTAATAACTATTTTCGGGTTTAATTATTGATTTTACTAAAATTTTTACCAAAATTTCTTCGTAAAACAGTTTTTTTTCGCGTTTTTTGAGTAAAAAAAGTAAAAAAAAAACAGTGTATTAAGTAACAAGTGGCGAAATTGTTGTTTTTGCGCAGGCGCAAATCTTACCCGTGACTAAAGTGCGTGACTAAAGTACTTTAGCCACGGCCATGTATAAAGTATCACTTTTCATCTAAAAACTAAGAAAAAATAGAAAAAAATATTTTTAGAAAATATTAGATGAGATTATAAATTTTTTCCTGATTCAAAACAAAATAAAAAATTCCCTAGCTAAGAATAAACCCTGGTCTAAGTTAAAATGACAGCTAAACATGCATTGTTAATAAGATTACCAAAAAAACAAAATTCTTTTTCTTTTCTCTGAAAATACTCCATTGTTATATTGATTGCGAATTTCGTGCGCTTAAAATCGGAAAATCAAATAAAAGAAAAAACTGCAAACAAACAAACAATTCGTCGCGTGATTTGCTGCAAAGCTGCAATAAAATAAAATGCAAATAAACCTCATTCACTCACTCACAAACGAAAAAAAAAATCCGCATTTAATTTTTTATTGCCTCGCGCCGGTTTATTGGCACTTCTCTCCGTAAATTACAGCGTGCGCTTAAATTTTTAATAAATTGCAGCCGAAGAATTCCAATTTGTTTCAACCTGAACCAGATATATCAAAAAGATTGAGACATAAAACGCCAATATTTACGCTGTATATTTATTTATAGCTGCGTAGTATTTGTCGACAAACAGAAAACGCATTCGTTTGTGATTTCGCTCCTCAGACGTTTTCACTTTAACGAAGCCCAGTATTTTTCACAATTCTATAAATACACTTAAAGTTTATCGAGCGGTACAATTCTCCGAAAACACAAAATAAAATTTTAGCGTGTATAAAGTCTAGTATTGCAGATAAAGTATTTTTGAGTATATAATAGTATATTTAGTAACAAGTGACTAAACGAGGGTATTAACAATGTTTAGCCACGAGGTGCTTAAGATATTTATTCTACTTCCACTCTTGTTGCACGTTGCGGTTTTTGTATTTCAACTTTTTATTTTAAACGAGCTGTTGCCCGCGACTTCGTTCCGGCAGTGTTTAATAAAAATGTAATTCGTTATTACTCTCTTGTTCTAGACATACTCGTAGTAAGAGTCAATTCTATCAATAAGATTAGCAATTTTAATTTAAAGAAATTAATTATATAAAGTTTTGTCAATAATGCACTTCAGCGCGCCATCTCGAATTCAACTATTTAACTATAACTATGATTGAATTTCAATGTCAAATTTTATTCAATAGAAAAGAGCTGTTTTGCGGATTTTCCCGGCAATTATTCGAATTTTTCTCACCTTTTAAACCTTCCCTAGACCTCCACGAATAATTCAAGACCAAGATAAGATAAATCCGTTCAGTCGTTCTCGAGTTATAGCGAGACTAACGAACAGCAATTCATTTATATATAGATCATCGTAATTTGCTCACATACTCGTACTTAAACTGTAAGGTTATAAGTGCCATGCCGCAGCAGCAGCGCCTGCGTTGACGTGTTTGAATGACGTCGCATGACATTTCATACCGGTTTGTGCTGCTCCGTAGGCAAATGCGCAGGCGCGTGCTCCGTCCCGTGCATTAATACGGATACATAATGAAAATGATGCACGGCTTGGTCGTTCGTATATAAAGCACCACGTTTTGGGTCAAAATACCATGAATAAACTGGCGTTTTATAGGTGAAAGTAGAAAAATACACTTAAAGTTTTTATCAAAAATATTTTATCTTCAATACTGCACTTTATACACCCTAAAAAAATTTATTATGTGTTTTTGGGGAATTTTGGGGGTTACTAATTCCCAAAAACACATTATAAATTTTTAGCGTGTATAAAGTACAGTATTAAAGATAAAGTATTTTTGAGTTTATAAAACTTAAAAAAGCGTGGGTAATGTTTATGTGCACTGAAGTAGTGGATGATATAGTGTGAGATAACACACCGGTGGTGAAACACACGCTTGGAAATTGAACGAAAAACGCAACTAAATAACGGCGGTGGCGGCGGCGCTCGCGAGGGTTATTATCGAGCGACCCAGAAACCTATATCGGGAAAGCGGTCGCCACCAGGAAACTTTCCTCTCCGTTCACCTGCGTGGCAAACCGGAAACTCAATGAGCCGAAAATATGTTCGCAGAAATTTACAACCGAAAAGTTTGCATTCAATTAATAAACGTAAAACTAGCATACCAAACCGTTAAAGTAAAAAAAATGAGTAGATTTATGCCTCTGGTATATTGTCAGGATTAAAATAAAGTCGCATGTTGGCAGGTTGAGTGCTCCACCCACGAAATGCATGAGTTGCGTGCGTGGTTTTCATGTAACTTCGCTAAACTTCCACGTCGGACATAAAATTTTTAACTCAACAACAAAAAAGCAATAAAATTTACATAAAACAATTGCCGCGCGCTTTGAAGCGATAAATTATTATTAAAAATAATTTATTTTAAATGTGTAGAACAAGTTTTGTGTCTAAATATAAATAAAGAATAATTTTTTACTTTTTTTACTTTTTTCACTTTTTTATGACTCTGGACAGAAAAAATAAACGCAGAGTTCGTTTTGTTCATCAACTACAATAAAACTTTTCTTTTTGATATGCAAAACATTGCTGGAAGTACAATAGCCTATATTTTTTATAAAAAAAAACTTAAATTTGCATTTTATTAATACTTATACACATAAAATGAACAAAAACAATTGAAATAAATATTTTTGTAAACTTTTGTGTTTTTTTTTCTTTTTCTGTGGTTTTTGCAGTTTAGTTCGATAAAAACTTAAACTTTGTTTGATTTTTGTTTGCCAGTTGACAATTTATACGTTTTCTTGTCTGCTACGCTTGAAATCTTTATCGAATTTGTGCGAAATTTGCTTTATAAACTTCCATATCAAGATTCTCATCTTTCCCGCTAAATTTTCCTCTTTCCATCCTCTGTTTTTTCACGGAATTGAAATTTTTGAGTTGGAATAAAATGTCGATTTGTTTCGAAATTACTTTCACCAATTTTCCTCTTTCTAACTCAAAAAATACAGCGTACAGAAACGAATTTAATTCCTTTACTATAAATCATCATCAAAAGTGTTAAATATTGCTTTGCAGAGGTAATAAACTCATAACTATAAATAATGTTCGTGTTATAACCTAATAACCGTTCTAATTTTTCTTTGTTTTCCGTGCATTAAATTCTAATTACTCAAAAGTCGTGTACTTTACTTCCTAAATTATTAACATAAATATAGATATAAATGTCGATCGTAAAAAGCAAGAGAGATAAATTGTAGAAGCAGAGAATGAAGAATGAAGAAGAACACTGGGATGAGTAAGGTGAGGGAACGCAGCGATAAGAAAGGACTCGGCGAAGGACGATGGAAGGACTCCGGACTGCGTCGTCACGTGGAGCGGCATAATGAACGGGCGAGAGAGAAGGAAATCGATATTTAGAGAGACGCGTGCCGCCAGGATTCACACAGGACTCAGGACAACTTGCAAAACTCAAAGCAAACTAACGCACTACTACTACTACAGTAAATTAAAAATTTATTTATGTTAAAATTAATTATTTTAACAAAAAATCACAAATTTGGTAAAAAAAATTTTTTTTTTTGAGGAAAATTTTATAAAAATGTTTAAATTTATTGTGTAATATGATAAATTAATATAAACTCAGTTCTCTCAAAGGATTCATTTTCTAATACGCGCATTATTCGACCGCGACGAACGCCGCCAACGCATGCGTTGCTCCGACGTCGCTAGCTCGCTGGCGGCGGCGGCGGCGGCGGCCGCCAGTTGACGTCGGTCCGCCTTGACTCGCGCACGGTGTCTGTGCTGTGTAAAACACTAAAAACACGGCGTCAGCATTGAAAAAAAACAAGAAAAACCAACAAAAATTACAAAACTGTGCGAAAAACCATCAAATTCTTCAAAAAAATCGCCCGAAAAATTATTAAGGATACATGTAATCATAAAGTGCATACCAAGTGGCATCTCCCAATACAAAATCAATCATCGCAGCATGTGTTTTATTTCTTTCTTATTATAATTATTTGTTGAATTTTGTTGTTTTGCAATAATTTCAAGCGTTTTTGCTCGCAATAAAATTTTAATTTAGTGTTTACCTTGAAACCGCGCTGCTATCTAGCATTTCTCGTCTAATTTCCCAAACGTTTCATACCTTACATAACCAACGCAGTTGAAAATCGCGTCGTGTGGCGATCGAATGTGCGTTACATATTCATTCTACTCGTAAGATTCACGCTTACGCATCGTCGGCCTTCAGTGCGCTAATCGTCGTTTAAACAAATCCATCGTGAGACTTGCGAGTTGTGGTCACACGTGCGCAACATAAATTACCACCCAAGAAAAAAGTGTGCATTCATTGCTTATTTGGATCGGAAAAAAATAAAATAAAAAAATTGTTTGGTTTGTGGTTGAATTCGAAATGGATGATGAGTAAAACGGATGTGCACGAAATAAGGAGATAATTCATAATCGCTGTATGTGTAATCAGCCGAATCCAAATCGGAAACGTACCTCACTCAACCAATGCCAGTGGTGATGACATAATGTTCTAAAACGCGTGCTGTGTGCAGTTCTTTCGACGCCTGGTACTCTCGTGAGTGTTGTGTGTGTGTGTGGGTGTGTGTGGGTGGGACAATTTGGAAAATAATGGGTTGCAAATTGGGGAAGTTGGCGCGCAGTGGAGGTGGCGGCGGTGCGGGCGGCACGTCCAAGCAGGAAGAGCCGCCGCCGCCGGCACCGTGCGACCCGCGGCTGCCGCTCACCGCCAGACAGAAGTACAACATTGCTGCCTCGTGGAAGGGCATCTCAAGGGCGATGGAATCCACAGGGGTCTTAATGTTTCTCAAGTAAGTTGATTTTCGTTTTGTGTTAACAAACTGTATTCATATATCCATGGAAAATTGTCATCCACCCACGCTGCGTGCTTTGTATGTGGGCAGAAAGCACGACGGGAATCTTTAAATGTCAAAAATATACAGTATGTATACAAAAACATTCAAAACTAAACAAAAATCCTGTTTTTTGAAATGAACACAAACGCATAATGAGAATGGTCTTTTGTTTTACGGAACGATATCTCACACATGATATTTTCATGCAGGATTTACTGAATATTTAGTCAAGATTGTGTGGGAGTGGGTGAGTGTGTTGTGTGTGGCCTAGTTTGCGCAATACTCTTTCAGCTCCTGCGGATATCCATCCGAGCGCGGATTTGCAAATATTTCTTTCGATTTTGTGCGCCCTCGCTTTCATCGCCTCGAATGCGAGAGAGTCGTGAAGAAGTGGCATCGACATTCTTCAACTTTCCGCAAATCTTTCAGCGTTCCTCGTTTATTTCCATTTACTTCGAAGCGAAATATTAAATCTCCAATTTGTGTTTTACAGATTGTTATCGTTATTAAAGTTTAACGAACCGCACATGGATAAATCCATTGACAACATGCAATTAAATTCATCAAAACTGAATGTCTACATTTTCTTCTAAATAAAAATATTGATTTTTATGTAGTTGACAGCTTAAAATTGAGGTTATGTCACTTATTTCACTTCAAAAATGAAAAATAAATGAAATATTTTTGTGACACATTCTGTAGAAGCTGACACATGTTCTACAAGTATTAAAAACACATTTGTTTCTTTCCTTGGTAAAACATATTGTATTGCAACTACTGATACAACAGAAAATGGATGAGATAATGGAGAAATGATGTGAACACATGTAAAACTCTTTTTGATTGCTTTCCCTATCTGCGCATGCGCGTTATATGATTTGTAGGTTATCTGAAATTGGTTATGAATTGCCTACGCCATTCATAATTCCCGTTTCTGTAGTTATTGCTGCCGTGGGTGCTAGAAAAACAATGGAAACACAGATAAAAGCAACTTTGCGCTGCAGATATTTATAGCGGCGATTAATGAACCCCCAGATAAGCGTGCATCAACATAATAAAACTATAAATAACCAGGCACTAATTGCATTTGCTTTTTGTTTCCGTGTTTCCGTGAAATACGCAATGTGAACGCAGCATTTTTTCCAAATTGAGTGAATTTACCAGTTTTCGCATTTCCTTTCAACAGGCTCATTCGTGCTTGTATGTTTCTTGTCAACGTTGCAGAAAGCAAGTGTTTGCAATTATCCTGCATTATTTCCCGAAACAAAATGTTTGTTTCTTTTTTTATGTTGGCAAACAAACATTTGTAGATGATAATGACTTTGGGAATGCAGTCAATAGTTTTGTAGTTAATGGCGGCGTGCCGACATTTTCACTGTCGCAGAGTAATCCTTGAAATGGCGGACGAGTGCTACGCAAATATTGAGTTCGGTGTTGTGATGGTGTTCTCGTGATATTAAATTTGTGTTAGTTTAGGATTGTGAGCATCGATGCGTGGAAATTTACTTGTGTATAATTAATATTGCAATAATAATAATAATAATAATAATAATCTATCTATATATATATAAAAATGAATTGCTGTTCGTTTGTCTCGCTAAAACTCGAGAACGGCTGAACGGATTTATCTTATCTCGGTCTTGAATTATTCGTGGAGGTCTAGGGAAGGTATAAAAGGTGAGAAAAATTCGAATAATTGCCGGGAAAATCCTCAAAACAGCTCTTTTCTATAGAATAAAATTTGTCATTGAGATTCAATCATAGTTATAGTTAAATAGTTGAATTCGAGATGGCGCGCTGAAGTGCATTATTGACAAAACTTTATATAATTAATTTCTTGAAATTAAAATTGCTAATCTTATTGATAGAATTGACTCTTACTACGAGTATGTCTAGAACAAGAGAGTAAAAACGAATTACATTTTTATTAAACACTGCCGGAACGAAGTCGCGGGCAGCAGCTAGTAATAATATAAGAATAAATTATTTTTGAATATTTTGATGACAAGAACAATCACGGTTTTTGGCAGGAACACAAACTAAAAATATATAAATTACATTAAAATTTATTAAATTAGTAAAAATTTGAAATATTTTAGTATTACCTGGACAATCAACGCGTTTAATACAATCAAACGTGTTTAAATTTGGACGGATTGAATCAGAATCACAGAAACATCCTGGTTGTTTAATGAGAGCACATCGAACGCATCTGGTATTTTCACAAGTGTTACAATTGATACCAGTTGATGTCCATTCTTGATTAGGTCCACACAGAGCAGGATTTAAATTTGTTTGCATTTGTATTGAATTATACACGTTTAACAATAAAATACAAAGTACAAACATGGATTTCATGGTTAAAAATCTTATTTTCTGACTTAGCTCCGGCACAATTAGTTTATACTCTAATTAAAAGCAAGTTTATGTTTAGTTTTATATGTAGTACATTTCTAATCAGTTGGAATTACGTCAGACACGTTTTTTTTATCACTTTAGATAATACTATGCATGTTTACATTAAATTATTTCGAAACAAAAATGTAAACAAAATTTGTAATGTAAATTACATAGAAATTCCACGGTTTAGAAACATAAAAAATGATATATTAAACATGGATAACCAAAGCCGTGACTAAAGTACTTTAGTTACGAGTTTTAGCCATGGGGCGGAGTTTGCGTCTGCGCATTTGCCTACGGTGTAGCCCAAAGTGATATGAAACGTCATGCGCTGATGCTACTGTCGACGCGGCACGCCATTTATAACCTTACATTTCCCAGTAATATTATATGTGAGCGAATTTCAAAAATTTAAAATATAAAAAATTGAATATAAATACTAAAAGTAGAAAAAATAGCGTTGGCATTACGTGACTAAACGTTGTTAAACACTCGATTGATTGAACGCTCGTGACAAAAAATCCAGTTTAGCCACATGATACTTAATATACTACTCGTATTAAACATTTACTTAGTAATTTTACTTAGTAATATTTAATGAGTTGGCTGCACAACCACAATTGTTGGATGATGATGGAATGCAAACTAAATAATAAAAAATCAAAATTAACAAAATTTTGTTTATATTTTCCATAAAAAAATATTCACCTGGACAATCTTCCCGTCTGACACATTCTTGTTTTTGAGAATTAAGATACACTGAGTCAGGATTGCAATAACATCCTGGTTTCTCAATAAATGCACAACGCACGCATCTTTCGTTGTTACAAGTTAAACAATCAAAACCAGATTGTGCCCAAACTGAATTCTTTGGACATTTAGTCTGTGAGGATACTGCTACCATCACTATTACTAGAGTGCTAAAAAAATATATTTCCACATGATTAAATTAACTGTAAACTGAATAAAATTTAAAATTAATGAAATGTGTCTCTATGCGTCGAGAATTTATCCCAGAATAGTTCTTTGTTGTTTGGTTTATTTATTCTTCTTTATTACAAAGTTTATTATAGAATAATTTATTAATTAAATAAATATTACTTATGTTAACATGCCACAACCTTCAGGTAAATGATAATACATATAGGTAGAAACTAAAATTAAAAAGTGAATCTAAAATTGGGAAAATTATACGGATATTGCCTGCACTGGTTCTGCGGAATACAGTCGCCATTATCGTTACGCACCTGCCCAGTAGGGCAATAACAAACCTCGCAGGCGGGCCGGCAAAAGAAGCGTCCCGGCCCGAAGAAACCAAAGTCACGCCGGCGGCACGTTGGGACACATTCGGGATTACAGCCGACGCTCCAGGGATCTCGGCAGCTCGCGCCAGCTGTGAAAAGTCCGAAGCGCACATAAAACTCAATTCGATTTCGGCCTTAATTTACTGTTTGTTTCCTTCCCCTTCTTTTCCCACTCTGTTTTTACTCACCTGGCAGATCCACAGCTCGTGCACAATCCTGAGGTTGCACGCAATCTCCACTCACCGTGCGGACGTATCCATTAAGACAGTAACATTTAGTTAGATTTATTGGACTACAGGATGCTGCTGGATTCGCACAGGTTGCGCAATCATAACCATAATTTGCAAGTGTTTGATTCACAGAACAATCTTCATCTTAAAATTTAAAAAAGAAAAAAATTAAATTTTTTCTAAAAAATTTTTTTTGGTATTTTATTTTAAACTTACTGATATCACTAGGACAATCCTGTTGTCTAATACATCTTTGTGTGCGTACCTCACGCACAAATCCAACATTACAGTAACACCTCGCTTGATAGCTGACGAAGCACTCTCGATTCGTTTGGTAATTGGCACACGTGTCACAGTCATAGCCTCTATCACTAAAAGTCTGATTGGCTCTGCATTGACCAGCTACAAATGATCAATTAGTTTAATTTTCTATTTCTACTTTTAAAATGTCAGTTTTTTCATGTTTTGAGACACAAAATGTGATATTTTAAACATAGTTGGCTAAAACTATGACTAAAGTACTTTAGTCACGGGCTTTAGTCACGGTCTCATAGATATAAAATAAAAAAATCAAATACACACACTCAACGTTGAAATTCAGTATAAGTTGAAAATATAGTGTAAGTAACACTTGACTTAAAGTTATTAAACACTCGATTCATTAAACGCTCGTGACTAAAACTCCCGTTTAGCCTTTTGATACTTAATATGCTATTACATACCTGCATATACAGGACAGTCAACTGGATAGACACAGCGTTGATTATCTATATCCGAAACGTATCCATCATTGCAATAACATCTCCGACTCGTAGATAATGGACAACTAGCTGTTCTATAATTATCACACGTAAAACAATTTGAACTCATTGAAGATAAAGTTGAATTTGCATAGCATCCAGCTAAAAATAAAAAAAATGAAAATTTTAAAAATAATTTTAGTAAATTTTGTAATAAATATTTACCAGTAGATTCAGCTGAGCAATACGCTGGTAATATACAAGCATTCGTCGTATTCCTCACATATCCTGAATTGCAATAACATCTTGCTTCGTTGATCAAAGGACAACTTGCGGTTTGTGTTGCGCATGTTAAGCAATCCTGTCCGGACTGTGCGAGAGTTTCATTCGCGCTGCAATCTTAAACAACATAACCTATATTATATTAAAACTTGCAGATTTCTGTAATTTTATGATTTTTAGTATCGCCATCTATATTTTTATGGCTTACATCCCTACTAATATTATAAATGCGAATGTCCTGATGTTTGTTACACTTTCACGCAAAAACTACTTAACCGATCATCATGAAAATTTGTACACATATTCTTCGTGGTCCCCGAATGGTTATAGGCTACTTTTTATTTAATAAAAAAAATTATTTTTAAAATAAAATAAAGAAATAGTTCAGCCAATAATATCTCTGCATCTGGCTATTTGACTACTTTAACGCCATCTAGCATTCCAGCAATGAAGCTCAAACCTAAGTACTATAGTACCATCACACTGTATTATCACACTGTATTACCGACTACGTCAACATCAAATCCAATTGACTACACTATGGAGACTGAACACTATACTTCCATAGACTATACTTTCAGCCATTTTAAACTTCCCGCCATTCTACTTCATTGTTTCTTCTTCTGTGACTACAGACGCGTACGGAAGCAACTTCATTGATTTCTAATATTTATTTGATGGATTCAACGCGAGCGAAGCTAGTATGACCATAAATCACGTTGGGAATGATGTCACGTCTGTATGAAATTTGACAAAAACTTGGTGCGCGTCAATCGTGAGATAAAGCAATTCCGTTAAAAGTTTGCCCATTTTCGCATCGAAAGTTTCGCGTTGCATGCGAAAGGGGACAAAGGACAAACATAAACAGCAGCTAATAAATTTTCGGCGCGCGTCTTTCACGCGCGCCCTCGTCCCCCCATGACGACAACGTGATGTTTGTGAACACGTTGATAAAATATAAAGTAGCGCGCGCAGCGGGCGACATAACGTAATTTTCAAATATTTGCGCTTTTTATGCGGCGTTATTAAATTTCCACACGGTGCGTGCCAGGATGAAACAGGACGAAACTCACTTAAATTAGCCGTCGTCGTCGTTGTTGTATTGTTGGTTGCTGCAAATTATACAGTGCTAAAAACAAAAGGAGAAAAATTAATAAAAATGAAACGTACTTGTTGTATTAGTGCCTGTTTGTCCATTTGTAAATGAAAAGAATATGAAAGCGGTGAAAATCACGAGGACAAAATGCTGGGGATTCATGTTTGCGCTGCGCGAATGTCAACTGAGTATTATTATTAACGAAAATGCGTTTATATAGATATATCGGCATTTGCGTTTTGCGACGTGACAATATTCAGGCGTTATCGCTGCGTTTTATTCAAATGAACATTGTGAGGTGTTAAAAATGCCCTTCGGAAAACACCTATAAACACAACATACCAAATTTTATGATTTTTAACAACACAAGTAAATAGTATATTAAACATCAAGTGAGTAAACGTGAGTTTTAGTCACGGAATTGATTGAAAGTGAACGTAGCGAACGTTTAATTAATCGGGTGTATAATAACGTTTAGTCACGAGATGCTTGCACTATTTTTTTACATCTACTTTATTTTCTATGGTCTTATGCTGCACCGTAAACCAATGCGCAGGCGCAAGCTCCACCCCGTGACTAAAACCCGTGACTAAAGTACTTTAAGCACGGCTTTGGCTTAAAATCATGGAAAAAATGCGTTTTAAAGGTAAAAGTAAAAAAAGCTCCATCCCATGACTTAAGCCCGTGACTAAAGTTCTTTACTCACAATTTTAGCTTTCTAAGCTAAAATATCACTTTTTATGTCTCAAAACCTTTAAAAAACTGATTTTTAAAATGAGGAAGTAAATTATTTTATTTTAGTTTATTCTTCAAGCAACATCTGCAATATCTTAAGGAAACAATAACGATAAAAGCGTTATCCACTGCATAAAACAGATTTTATCCACGCTAATAAAAATTAACGAAGCAGTAAATCCGCACAGACACAATACCAACCGGAATATTATTAGATTTAATAAGTGTGTGGCTGCACTAATGCCACATCGTTAGAAAAATATTTCCGGGCGCGTTGACAGTAATGACAAGATTGATGTGCGGCATGATGGACGAATATAAAATCTACAGGGTCGTGTTTATTCCACAATGGCTGCTGGAACGCGGTGAAGTTTTACGTTATCGTTTATCGTGCGTTATCGCCGTTGCCGCCTCGCGCCATTTACGCAAGAAGCAATGCTTCCCATCAGGCCCGCATGGAATTGAATTATAAACACGCTGGAATATTTTCAAAGTAATAAATTCCGACGGTGATATTGACCGAGATGTTTTCAAGCACTTTAACGTTTTAATGCTTTACGGTTAGTGTGTCAGTAAAATATTATCATTTATGTTTATGTTTGTGTTTCTATTTTGGTATTATTCATAACAATGTGATAGTTTTCAATGGCGCCTCCACCATTTTTGGGTAAAAATTTAAAAATGGTGGAGGCGCCAAATAAAAACTATATTATTTGTTATATTTATATTAACTTATGATGTGTTTAAATATTTTGATGTTGCAGCATTAGATTCTGCTATTGTCACAGCTTCAATTAACTAAAATTAAACAAAAATTCATTTTTTAAGAATTTTAACATCAAAAACTTTAATATTCCTTACGTTTCTTGAAATATTTAAATAAAAAACTAGAAAAATGTAGATGATGAATTCACGGGATCGAAACATGTTGACTTCGTTAACAAATTTAAATGTTTATAGTTTTTACGAGGTTTATATACTTAAATCAAATAGAATTTATAACGGAACACGATATAATTGTTCTAAATTTACTTACAAAATTAATTAGTCTTGTGAAATGATTGAATTGTTTATTATTATCACCTATTATTTTATTTTTAATGTCCAAAGGTTTATTTATAACCCAATGAGAAGATAATTACTGTGATGTTTTATTCTTTGCACTCTGTAATTGCATTACATTTGAATTCACACATTTATAGTGTTCATAAGCGATGAATTTTGCATCTACTGTCAAATTATCACAACCTTTTAATACCTGATAAACCATTTCGTTTGTTTTGCTTTTCAATGCAACTTCTCGGAATTTTTAAATATTAATATTCTTACTGTTACACTCTGTATATCCTTATTCATTATATAAACCAATAAAATTCTTAAATTTTTGTTTTAGTTTTATATTTTTCTTAACTTCCTTAAATCAAAAATTTTTTAGTGAAAATAAAAAAAATGGTGGAGGCGCCGGGCAAAAGTGTATAATGAACATAATGTGCTTATAAAAGTGGTGAAACAAAAATTACACAATTTCAACGCGCTGAATTAAAAACCGGCAGGAAGTTGGAAAAATATTTTTATTTGAATTTCATTTTTCTTACGTTTGCGATTATTTAAATTTATCTTAGCGCTTCAGAAAGTTATCGCTGGCGTCGGTGGAAAATTTCGTAATTAATTTCAGCTTTGAATTGTTTTCCTTCCATTCCGTAGTTATTACTGCAGGGGCTGCGTGGGTGGCGCGAGTCGGACAGAGTGTTAGCGTTAATTAACACTCCTCCCGGCGGACGCACGCCCCCGCATGGCTGCGCACGTAGCCCTCCTTGCAGACGCAGACGCCGCGTCCCTTCGCGGCGCAATCCTTCGGGCAGGCCGGTTCGTCTTCATGGCACGTTGGCTCGCATACTTTGCACTCGCGGTACTCCTCGTTGGCGCGGCACAACGCTGCAACATTTTTCATCAATTTTCATGCAAATTTCCCGCGAAACAATGCGGAAGATTTATGACTAGCGGATGGCAAATATTAGGTTATGTTGTATTACTTGTGCATTGATCAACCTCAACGCATTGATCGGTTTCCTCATCCAGAACGTAGCCATCACGACAGAAACATCCGTGGGAACAATCCAAGGTGCATTGAATTGGATTTGGATTCGCGCAGGTTTTGATACATCCTGTAGATTGACAGGAGATGAACTCACGTAGCTGGTCCGTACATTTATGTGAGTGATTCTCGGTTTCTGCAACCAAATATACACGTAATACGTATTTACATAGAAAATTATCGTTGACCTTTGAATTTGTTATCACAATCAACAAATAACTATAAAAGCAAGAATTTTAGCAACAATTCATTAACTTAGAAGTCATAAACGTTAACGTAAACATGTATAAAGTGATTTGTATTTGTTTGTTTCTAAATTCACACTTTGTAAGTATAGTTTAACTTGAGAGTGTAAAATGATTAATTATTTAATAAAATTTTAGTTTTTTGAAGTTCTGGGTGATGACAATGGAGAACAATCAATATGTTTGAATGGAATAAACAAAGATTTTATTGTTAAAAGTTATGAAAATTTAAACAAAAATATAGAACCAGAAGAAACATTTAAAAATTTCATTGGGTGTTTATATAATGAAGCAGGATATACAGAGAGTAGCAGTAAGAATATTAATATTGAAAAATTCCGAGAAGTTGCATTGATAGGCAAAACAAACGAAATGGTAGATCAGATATTAAAAGGTTGTGATAATTTGACAGCAGATGCAAAATTCATCGCTTATGAACACTATAAATGTGTGAATTCGAATGTAATGCAATTACAGAGTGCAAAGAATAAAACATCACAGTAATTATCTTCTCATTGTGTTATTAACAAACTTTTGGACAATAAAATAAAATAATAGGTGATAATAATAAACAATTCAATCATTTCAATAGACTAATTAATTTTGTAAGTAAATTTAGAACAATAATATATCGTGTTCCGTTATAAATTCTATTTGATACAAGTATATAAACCTCGTAAAAAGTATAAACATTTAATTTTGTTAACAAAGTCAACATGTTTCGATCCTGTGAATTCATCATCTACACTTTTCTGGTTTTTTATTTAAATATTTCAAGAAATGTAAGTAATTATTAAGTTTTTTTATGTTAAAATTAGTAAAAAATATTTTTTGTATTATTTTAGTCAATAGTTGCTGCGACAATAGAAGAATCAAATGCTGCAACAACTAAATGCCTAAACATATCAAAAGTTGATGTAAATCTAGTAATAAACACGTTGTTAACTGGAAATATTACTTCCGATGCAAAATTTAAAAATTTCGTGCAATGTATTTACTTTGAACTAGAATATCAAGAGAAAAACAGTGCTAAAATAAATAGGGATAGAGTGTATAAATTTCAGTTACTGGTACATACAAAAGAAGAAGTTGATGCAATGTTGAAAGGCTGTGATGATCTGACTACGGATGTAAATCAAGCAGCGTTTGAGCATTTTAAATGTGTTGCAGAAAACAAAATTAAACTTAACGGCAAAAAATTCCTATTAATATTATAAATGCGAAAGTCCTGATGTTTGTTACACTTTGATGCAAAAACTACTTAACCGATCATCATGAAAATTTGTACACATATTCTTAGTGGTCCCCGAATGGTTATAGGCTACTTTTTATTTAATAAAATAAATTATTTTAAAAATAAAATAAAGAAATAGTTTAGCCAATAATACCTCTGCATCTGGCTATTTGACTACTTTAACGCCATCTAGCATTCCAGCAATGAAGCTCAAACCTAAGTACTATAGTACCATCACACTGTATTATCACACTGTATTACCGACAGCTACGTCAACATCAAATCCAATTGACTACACTATGGAGACTGTACACTATACTTCCATAGACTATACTTTCAGCCATTTTAAACTTCCCGCCATTCTACTTCATTGTTACTTCTTCTGTGACTACAAACGCGTACGGAAGCAACTTCATTATTTTAGATATTCGCGAGCGAAGCCGCGGGTTAATGCTAGTCATCAATAAAAATAAACAGAAATTATTGATCCGAAATCCAAAATATAACCTTTCATAACCTTGTTATCAACAATATTTAAGTATAAATAGTTATACGTAAACAAAATATCAATTAGTTAAGCAGTTACAGCGATGCAAAATGAGTAAATTCGCAATTTTAATTTTTGCATTTTTCGTTTATAATTCAGACGCAGTAAGTGTTCCAATTAATTTTATAAAATAATATTTATTTATGTTGAAATATTTAGGCAATTGGACGTAGGAACTACGATGAATTAACCGCGCAATGCATTAGAGAAACAAATGTGAATGTAGATTTATTACTGGCAGCTGGAGAAGGCAAGTTGGAGCCAGATGAGAATTTTAAACAATTTGTGAATTGTATGTATAAAGCATCAGATTTTATTGATGAAACTGGTCAGCTTATAATGAGTAACATTCGTGAGTTTTATAAAGCTACTAGGAAAGAAAAAGTGGATTTTATTTTAAATGGTTGTGATAATTTGACCACAGATGTCAACGAAGTGCCTTTTGAACATTTCAAGTGTGTTGTTACGCATAGAATTCAGTATGAAAAGCGAAATAATGTATAAATACTATCAAAATAGAAAATAGAATAAAAATTTAAATTTTTCCTAACAACGACCAAAAACTAGTTTATTATGTATCAAGTGGCTAAAGTGGAGTTTTAGTCACGAGCGTTTAATCAATTGAGTGTTTAACAATGTTTAGCTACTTGATGCTTACGTTATTTTTTCTACTTTCACTTTATTTCCACGTTTAGCTCCACCCCGTGACTAAAACCCGTGACTAAAATATTTTTGACCATCCGTGTTTAAAGTACCACTTTTTGTGTCTCAAAATTTTTCATATCAACGACCAAAAAAATAGTTTATTATGTATCAGGTGGCTAAACTGGAGTTTTAGTCACGAGCGTTTAATCAATCAAGTGTTTAACAATGTTTAGTTACTTGATATTTACGTTATTTTTTCTACTTTCACTTTATTTCCACGTTTAGCTCCACCCCGTGACTAAAACCCGTGACTAAACTACTTTAGTCACGGTTTTGACCATCCGTGTTTAAAATTACACGGTTTGTCACACAAAACCGTTGAAAAACTGACTTTTTAAAGTGGAAGTAGAAAAATAAAATAAAAATATCAATTTTCCATATCAATGACTAAAGAAAAACAAATTAAACCCGAAAATATGCTGAACATTACCCTCAACCTTTCAACCTTAATTTTTATCAAGATTAACTAAAGTATATATAGTTTATGAATCGAAATATTTATTTACTAATCAAAATGCATCGTCTAAGCGTGTTAATATTAACATTTAGTGTCTTCAACTTATACACAGTAAGTTTTTCAACAAATAAAATGAAATAAAATTTATTTTTGTTAATAAAATTAATAAAATTCAGGTTATTGCATTTAATGCTACCGAAGATGTCGTCGATAAGTGTGATGAAACAAATGTCAAACCAACAGTAATTGCGGCTTGCGTAAAAGGACAAATCAGTACCGACGAGAATTTTAAGCAATTTGTGCGTTGCATGTACAAACAATCAAATTATATAAATGCAACAACCGGATATCTTCTCACTGATAACATTCGTAAACAATTTCTACAAGGAAATTCAGAAGAACAAGTGAATACAATGTTAAACAATTGTGATAATTTAACAAAAGACATCAACACACTGCCTTTTGAACATTTCAAGTGTGTTATGACAAATCGAATGCAAAACAAAATGGATGAGTAGACAGTAATCCCTACTAATATTATAAATGGATGAAGTGGTCCCCGAATTGTTATATAATAATTAAACAATAAAATGCTTACCATCTGAAATTTCCTCATCAGCAAAAACACTTCCATTAATAAACAAAACAAAACAAATTACCATCAAAAAATGATCCATTATTAACAAAAACTCTTTGTTTTTTCACTTAGACAATGAATACGTTGATGCTTTGACCATTGTCCGCGGTTTTTTCCTATTTATATGCATAAACAATTAGGCCACGCGCTGTCGCAATATGCAGGTTTTAATTTTTCCGCGAAACGCGCGCAATTAACGCGATAAACCGCCGTTAATGTAAATTATTCATTCCACCGTTTAGCCCATATACAATGCGTGTTTTTGCCGGATTGCAAAAAGCGTTCCCAAGCGACCAAGACTCATAAATAAACCAGCATCTGTCGGCTCATACCAGAACAAAAAAAACACACACCAACAACAAAACATTATGTCATCATCATAATGATAGACATTTGTCAACTAAATATTTATTAATAAAACCATCAACTCTGTATGACTCGTAAATGTAATCACAATCACCGACTGCACTTTACATTTCCACGTTGGATATTTTTATTATAACCTACAAAAGCGTCGCAATTATTGCATGTAATTACACTTAAATGGCACGATGTGCTCGTTGAACTTTATGTGTCTTTTATGTCCAACAATCGCATGCAACAATAAAAAACGATTGAATTCAATTTTTATATTTGAGGTTAAAATTACCACACATAACCTCAAATGTGAATGAATATGAATTATCTTGTTCAAGTTGAAAAAAACAATTGAATTCGATTTTTATATTTGAGGTTAAAATTACCACACATAACCTCAAATATGAATGAATATGAATTATCTTGTTCAAGTTGAAAAAAAAACGATTGAATTCGATTTTTATATTTGAGGTTAAAATTATCACACATAACCTCAAATGTGAATGAATATGAATTATCTTGTTCAAGTTGAAAAAAAAAACGATTGAATTTGATTTTTATATTTGAGGTTAAAATGATCACAAAAAAAAAAAAATTGAATTCGATTTTTATATTTGAGGTTAAATTATCACACATAACCTCAAATGTGAATGAATATGAATTATCTTGTTCAAGTTGAAAAAAAAAAACGATTGAATTCGATTTTTATATTTGAGGTTAAAATTATCACACATAACCTCAAATGTGAATGAATATGAATTATCTTGTTCAAGTTGAAAAAAAAAACGATTGAATTTGATTTTTATATTTGAGGTTAAAATGATCACACATAACCTCAAATGTGAATGAATATGAATTATCTTGTTCAAGTTGAAAAAAAAAACGATTGAATTCGATTTTTATATTTGAGGTTAAAATTACCACACATAACCTCAAATGTGAATAAATATGATTATCTTGTTCAAGTTGAAAACCTAACATTTTCATTTGCATGCAGTGTAACACACGAAACACGCAAACAATAGATCGTTAACAAAAGGGCCGCGCAACTAAATTCAACTTAATAATACCACGGGGGCGGCGGCATGCACAGCTTACTTAATTCCAGCGCAAAGTGCCGGTATTAAAGCCATAAATCATGCCCGGCTTCTTGCCAGCCAACACCTAAAAGTTTATGCACTAACTGTGAGCCGGAAGCTGGAAACTCCTGCGAAAACACTTTTTATTCCTGCGTGGATTAAATTTTTTCAACACTTAACACGGAACTATGAGTACGAGTATGATTAACACCTTGTTGTTATTTTATTGATTTTCGGAATTCCCATCGGAAACCTGTTTCAATGTGGGATATCCAACGCGTAACAAGTAATCTGGTGTTGACCTTGGATCTTTACCACTTATTATGACCCCACAATAGCAATATACAAATGTGTTGACGTGACGCCGAATATAATTAGTTGTTTATAAACGGTCTCGAGAGAAACATTAAGATGACACGGACACGGACACGGGTTTTTGCAATCGGCGTTTTTCTGTGTGTGGTGTTAATATCAGCGAATGATGTAAGAAAATTTGAATTCTGTGTTTAAATTTTTTGGTGTTTATTTATTTTTGGATATTTTAGGCGTTTAAAGTGCTTTCCACTGATGGATTATCACAGTGTTTGAAGGAAGTAGGTTTAGAATCTACGGATGTGCATAAAACAGCTGATCCAGTCTACGAAAAAGATTTTCTAAGTTGTGCCTTTAAGAAACAAGGTGTTCAAGAAAAAGATGGGAAAATTCTCTATGACAAAATTAAGGATTACTTAAGTCAATATTACAAAGCAGATGATGTTGAATTTATCCTCAAGGATTGTAAAAATCTGACTCAGAATCCCAATGAAGCAGCTTTTCTGTGTAACAAGTGCATCTCCGAGAAAATTCTAGAACTACGCAAGAAGAATACCAAAACAACTAAGAATTAGTTAAATTTTTATATTCGTAATATAATTTTATTAAAATTTACAGAGTTGTTTTGTGTGTAATTCTAAGTCTAATTCTAAGTCCATTAAAAGTATATTAAAGTGATGTTTGGTAGTTCCTCATTTCGGACATTCGCTCCTCGGTATGCAAACATCTCGGTTATTCCGAACCCAACCCTTTGGACAAAAACAACCTTGAGCACAATCTGCAGGACAATAGGGTTCGGGGGTTTCACAGGTGCCATCGCATCTTCCACACTCGGACCATTCTGCATTCCCTTCACATTTACAGGCATCTAATACAAAGTGCATAGAAATAGAAAAAAGCAAAGGAATCAAGTGCAGTTTTTAATTTTTACCAGCTGGGCAGTCTTGTGGGTTTATGCATTTTCCTTTCCCATTATCTATCAACCAAGGTAGGCAGAAACATCCTTCAACACAAACAGCAGCACAACCAAAGTTTTGCAACGATTTGTGCAGGATTTTGGACATCTACTCCCACAATCAGTGTAATAGCGGTTTATGTCAGGGCAAGCTTAGAAATAGACGTAGAAAATTGAAAGTAGTGAAAAATAGGGTTTTGGGAGAGAATGAGATAACTTACTTGGGTTTGGGCATTTACTCCTGTCTATACAGTTACCATTCCCATCTTCTACTAATGGGGACTTACAGAAACAATCTGGGACACATTGCAAGGTGCAAATCCTGTTTGGGTTGTTGATGTTCTCACAGGAGTCTGGGCAAGATGACCCGCATTCGTTAAAGACACGGTTTTTGTCTTTGCAAACTAAAAACAAAAAAAACAAATCAATTCAAAAGTTTTCTTATGGGGTCCCAGAATAATTCTGTAAAAAGTAGGGTTATACCAGGTGTGGGACATTCATAGGACCCTATACAATTTCCCTCCCCATCTTCTACCAAACCATCTCTGCAAAAGCACCCGCGCACACATTGTTCAGTACAAACAACATGGTCATAATACCACCAGTTTTTACAGGAAATAGGGCAAGCGGAACCACAATCTGTATAATATCGGTTGGGATCTTCACATTCTATAAAGTTTTTGGATCAAAGTAAATATCATTACAAATTTAGAGGAAGTATTACTGTCGCAGTTTTCGGGAGCAATGCACTTTCCATACCCATCATCAATAAGACCCTTTTTACAGAAACAACCTTTTACACAAACATCAGCACAAGTGGTCCCTCTTTGACCATAGGTATCACAGGTTACAGGACAAGCACTCCCACATTGAAGGTACTCTTTATCAGGGTCCTCACAAAGACCTAAAATGGATTAATTTGAATAAGGTTCCAAATTGGGTTTAGAAAAGGTTAACTGCTGGAACAATCGCAGGGTTGGATACACTTTCCATTCTTGTCCTCAACAAGACCATCATTACAAAACATCCACTAACGCAATCATCGGTACAGATAATTTCGGTCCCAAGGTTTTCACAGGTTTCTGGGCATGCGGTCCCACAAGATTCATAATGGCGGTTGGGATCAGAGCAAACTAATAAGAAATTTTATGGATTTATTTGATTTTGGGATAAAAGAAAGTGATTTACCTGGTGTGGGACATTCACATGGATCCACACACTCCCCATTATCATCCTCCACGTATGGATATTTACAAAAACATCCACTGACACATTGATCCGTGCATATCACAGAGGTTTCATTGAGATTCTGACACGTGGGAGGACAAGCCGTGCCGCATTCATCATACTCACGTTTCGGGTCGTTACACTCTTTTGTTTGTGATGAAAAACGAGCAGAAAATTAATGACAAAATGGCGCTGCGACGCAAAATTCTAACACGCGCAATTAATGCGCCCCGGGAAAGAATTAATAAAGTAAAATGAGATTTGAAGAGAAGCGCGTAAATTTTTTGTTTGCATCGCTGAAAAATGCGACAATTACCTGGCACAGGACAGCATGAGGGATCGACGCAATTACCGTTGCCGTCTTCGAGCAGGCCCTTGCGGCAAAAGCAGCCGGCGACAAATTGGTACGTACAGTCACGGTCGTCGTTAACGCCCGGGCACGCCGGCGGACACACCGAACCGTACTCGGTGAACTCCCTGCGGGGATCCTCACAGACTGTCGGCAAGTTGGCAGGCGGGTGCAAAGTGATTTCATTAGGATTTTTGAGGATTTTCGCAAGCAATAAGTGTGCGAATTAAGGGTTACCTGGTTTAGGGCACTTGGACACTGGCACACAGCGGTTGTCCTTATTCAGGACGAGGTCACCTTTACACTTACAACCCGCGCGACATGCTTGACAGGTCACTGGGTTCCACCAGTTGGAACAAGTACGTGGACACACGGAGGCACAGTCAGAGTACTCCTGGTTAGGGTCTGGACACTTATGGTCATTACTATCACTACAAGAATCACTGGAGGATTCACTTGATGAGGACTCTGATGAGGACTATTCAGGAAAGGTTTCTTTTTAGATAAAATTTTTGGTTTTGACTTACCACATACATGATTGGGGTCAGAATCATTTGGGACAGCATCAGCTCTACTTCCACAATCTAAAATTAAAATTTTCAAACAAAAAAAAAATTTTTCAGAAAATTTTTTTCAGAAATTTTTTTTTTAACTTACGATCTGCCAATGTGATGCAAATCAAACCAACGAATACTAAAAAAATTAAACACTTGTGTTCCATGATGCAGTCGTCAATTAACACGTTGTTATTGTTACTACAGCCGTAAGAAAGCAAAACAATGTTTATATAACTCACGACATCGTGCCTTATCACGCGGAATTGTTCACAATTGCAAAATAAATTTAATGAGTTATTTATGCTGTTTCCCCGCACGCTTGACTTAATCATCCAGGCGCAATTTGTGCAAACAGAAATTAATAACACTCTACCGCGATTGATAAGAGGACAAACTTTCTTTGTGTTAATATTTTTGTATTGCGCAGTTGTTAAAATATTTATTCGTGATCAATAACGAGTATTACATTGTGCAAATGTAATTAAACGTATGTATTATTTATTTGAGACTTTAACATTGGTCATTTACGCATTTATTGGAACAATAACAATTTACGCGGGAGTATTAAGTCCACATTTTGTCCGCCATGCTTCACAACGTGCTTGGGTAATACACGCGCCTGATTTGGAACGGATGAATCCTTCTTTACAGAAACATCCTTGTACACACATGGTTATACATGCTCCTGGGGATGCTTGTCCACAAACAGCTGGGCAGGGGGAGCCACAGTTGTTGTGTTCTTCGTTTTCGCCAGTGCAAGATTGACCTGTTATAAATTTTAGGTTAGAATAGGTTAAACACATGAATATAACCTCAACTTACATAAAACTTGAGTGGCAAAGACAGCAACTAATACACAAAGAATGATTTTCGTCATTTTGATGATTATTAAGTACAATACTAAACAAAATTTAACAAAATACGCTTTTATACCTATTGAGGCACGTCATTGTTATGTTTTGAATTTCCTAATCTATAATTATGCGCATGTAAATTCCTTATCGATATTTTTTTGTTCGTGGGAATGCCTTTCATATCATAACAATGAATATTCCGTATTATAATGTTGTTAGTGATTTTATTAACAATTCACATTGCATATAATTATTTATTTAGTACAGTTTGAAACAGTCTGATCTTGGGATGCATTCTCCATCTTCAGTTATTCGTAAGTGGTTGTCCATACATTCACATCGTGGAACACACATCCGAATGCAGGTTTTAAGTGGTTGAAGACATGTGCGTTGACAGGGTGATCCACAGGGTCTGAATACTTCATTGCTTGGACACACTGTGTCTATTTTCTGTGGTGTGGCGTGATTATACTGAAGAATGACCAAAATAATCAAAAGATTTTCCAGGCGAATCATTTTTTTATTTTTTGAAATAAAAAAGTTTAAGTTTTATCAGAAGTTCGGTTGTTAACTATTTGTTAACAAAATTTTCCTAATATTTATATAGAATTTTTGACATAGATACCAAAGTCATGCGACTGTAATGATAATTTTATGCTGAAATGATAAGAAAACATGTTTTGCGATTTTTCAGATAGTATAAATTAAAATATTTTGAAATATTTATTTTACGAAAAAAATAACAATATTTTTTCTGTTTCTGGTGTATATTAGGTACAATTATAATATTTTTAGGTTAAAATATTATTTTGGGCACTGGTGGAAGTGAATACATTCATTCTGCTCATTCCTGACGTGTTCACGTTTGCAGAAGCAGTCGTAATGTAGATTAAGTTGCAGATTGCAGGATTCAATCACTCCGAGCAGGTGAAATCGCAGAGGCCGAAAACCCACTCTTGGTTAACACCAAGTTCACACTTCTGAATGAGGTCTAGTTCTTCTTCTTCTTCTTTTGGAGGTGTTGGTGGTTCTGGGTTGAATATATCGTCGTTTACGTTGTATGTGTCATCTCCTTCAGGTTGGTTTGCTTCGTTGTTTTCGGTGTTGTTGTTGTTTTCTTCATTTTCTGGAATTGCTGGGCTTTCTTCTAATCCTTCTCCGGTTTCCCCATTAGGGATAGAGTTATTGTTGGTTTCTTCGTTGTTTTCAACGTTGTTGTGGTCTTCTTCATCTTCTGGAATTTCAGGGCCTTCTCCTAATCCTTCTCCGGTTTCTCCGGCAGGGATAGAGTTATTGTTGGTTTCTTCGTTGTTTTCAGCGTTGTTGGGGTCTTCTTCATCTTCTGGAATTGCTGGGCCTTCTTCTAATCCTTCTCCCGTTTCCCCATTAGGGATCGAGTTATTATTGGTTTCTTCATTGTTTTCGGCGTTGTTGGGGTCTTCCTCATCTTCTGGACATACTTCATCATCTTCATTAACATCTTCGTTGTCGTTGTTGTTAGTTTCTTCGTTGTTTTCGGCGATGTTGTTGTTTTCTTCATCTGCTGGAATTTCTGGGCCTTCTTCTAATCCTTCTTCGGTTTCTCCGGCAGGGATAGAGTTATTGTTGGTTTCTTCGTTGTTTTCGGCGATGTTGGGGTCTTCTTCATCTTCTGGAATTGCTGGGCCTTCTTCTAATTCTTCGCCAGTTTCTCCGGCAGGGATAGAGTTATTGTTGGTTTCTTCGTTGTTTTCAACGTTGTTGTGGTCTTCTTCATCTTCTGGAATTTCAGGGCCTTCTTCTAATCCTTCTCCGGTTTCTCCGGCAGGGATAGAGTTATTGTTGGTTTCTTCGTTGTTTTCGGCGATGTTGGGGTCTTCTTCATCTTCTGGAATTGCTGGGCCTTCTTCTAATTCTTCGCCAGTTTCTCCGGCAGGGATAGAGTTATTGTTGATTTCTTCGTTGTTTTCGGCGTTGTTGGGGTCTTCTTCATCTTCTGGACATACTTCATCATCTTCATTAACAACTTCGATGTCGTTGTTGTTGGTTTCTTCGTTGTTTTCGGCGATGTTGGGGTCTTCTTCATCTTCAGGAATTGCTGGGCCTTCTTCTAATCCTTCTCCAGTTTCCCCATTAGGGTTCGAGTTATTGTTGGTTTCTTCGTTGTTTTCGGCGTTGTTAGGGTCTTCTTCATCTTCTGGACATTCTTCATCATCTTCATTAACAACTTCGTTGTCGTTGTCGTTAGTTTCTTCGTTGTTTTCAGCGGTGTTGTTATCTTCTACATCCTCTGGACATTCTTCATCATCATCTTCTTCTTCTTCTTCATCTTCTTCTTCTTCATTTTCTTCTTCTTCCTCAGGACATTCTTCATCATCCCCTTCTTCGCTATTACCTTCATGATTTTCTTCAGAATTTTCAACAGTGTCTATCTCACTATCCTCCTCTTCTTCTTCCTCTTCTTCTTCTTCTTCTTCTTCTTCAGGACATTCTTCATCATCTTCTTCGCTATTGCCTTCATGATTTTCCTCAGAATTTTCAACAGTATCTATCTCACTATCCTCCTCTTCTTCTTCTTCCTCTTCGGGACCTTCTTCACTACTTTCGCTAGAAGACGATTCTTCACTAGAAAATCCTGGCATTTCCGGGAAATCAGAATCATTTGACTCTCCTTCTTGGGCAGAATCAGGCCAAATAATGTCATCATCTTCTTCACTACTACTTTCACTACTTTGGCTACTTTCACTACTCTCAACAGATGTTGAATTTGCTTCATGTTCCTCATCAGTGTTTTCAACAGTGTCAATAGGCACAACTACAGGAGTCTCAATCAAGTCACATTCTTCATTTGTAATACATTCATCATTATAACGTGCGAAACCATCCTTGCATCCACAACCCCAGCCACATTTTTGGGCATTAGTTGGATTATCCTTGATCGTGCAAAGCCTTTCTCGGAGACACAAACGTACTTCTTCATTCTTCTTCACATGGCAGAAACGTGGTAGGTTAGCGTTGACAATTATTCCAAGACCGCCAGTCCACGTACAACGTTCAGTTGGGATACATTGTCCTGTTTGGTTAATACGGGTATATCCATCCTTACAAAACCATCCTTCAACGCATTGTGGTCTTTGTTGTAAGCATCTCCTTACGGCCATGGCATTGGAGTAGCATGTGTGGATACAAGCAGGTCCACATTTCCATTCTTCATCCACTAAATTTTAATTTAAAAAATTAAATTTGATGTTTATTATTTTAAAATTTTACTTGCCCGTCAATTGGGAGGACCCAAAATGTGATGGTAAAATAACGCATAGCGTTAGGATGAGTCCTTGAAGAATCGCCTTCATCATTGATAGTTTTGTACGTCAACAAACAAAACTAATTTGCGCACGCAAGGTCTTCGCTTTTTTATACACCACATGGCTTATGAATATCGTGATAAGCTTAGAAATGCAAATTTCTGCATATCAAATATCTTTTATCGAGCAATATGAAAATTTCGCATGGGAACCTTGAAAATTTACAAAAATATGTGCTCACACGCTATGGATGATAAGAAAACAAATCAGGTACAAAATGTTTATTGCTGAGGTACTAATGACATTATAACATTCAAAATATTCAAAATAATTTGCAAGATTTTTGAAATATCTGAAAATATTTGATTACAAATGTACCTAGGAGGTATATTTATCTCTCACCAGCATTACTGGGACATTTTGTTGATGGGATACATTGACCATTGTGTGCGACAAATCCTTCGTTACATCCACAGCCGGGAACACATTGCATTGTACAAATCATTGGCCCAGGATTCTGGCAAGTCTTTGGACATGCAGAATTACAAGGGTTGTATGATGCATTGGGACCGCATGAAGATGATGGATAGGCAACACACATTTCTTTAATTTCAAAATATAAAATGTGAATAAGGTTATATCGTTGATATTTCGTTTGTTGTTGACTTTAGAAATTGTTTTGCATACTTACGTGTGATAACAAGGATAACGACAAGCAAGAATATTATTTTGGACATTGTGATAAGTTTTAATTATGCGCACGCTTCAAAAATACGCAATCTGCTTATATATGCGAAAAATAAATCTTATTCACGTCATGGCAGAAATATTCTTAAGTAAATATTACATTAACTTTAAAATAAAACCCGAGGATTAGAAAAATGCAAAAAATATTTACAAACAGATTTATTTCGTCAATTGTAGATTATTTCATTTTTTCGGGCAAGATTCCACAGCAACACAATCACGTGATTTGTTCAGGACATAACCATTCTTGCAGAAACATCCGCTTTGACAATCGGCGGTGACCAGCCTCGGGTTGGGATTATCACAAGTCGGTTGTGTAGAAGACTGGCAATTTTTGAATGTTGTATTGGACTTTGTACATTGCCCAACGCCTAAAATAAAATAAAATGTTTAAATTTAAATTCATAAATAAATAAATAAATAAATAACGCATAAGTTTATAGAATAAAATCAATACTTACTAGCTGCATGAGTTGTGTAAATCACAGCGATCAGCAACAGCGCAAAAATGGTGAATTTCATGTTTAGGATAAATTTTAATTTACTCTTAATACAATCAGTAACGAAATGAATTAATTACTGGACACATAAAATTATATCGGTTATATTTATAGGCACTGACCGGAGTATTCGGAGTAATCATACCCATTGGCCTTGTTTGTCTTATCAGCAACATACAATAACATTAATTCAACGCAATGGGATCAGCAGATTAGGATGAATTAATTCGAATGTTTACTGACACGTAATCATAACGTAACGAAGCAAAATATTTATTTCACATGTTTTGGGCAATCTTCCAAAGCAACACAATCCTTAGCTTTGTTCAGAACGTAGCCATCCTTGCAGAAACATCCGATGTTGCAATTTAGGGTAGAAAACGCTGGTTTTGGATTAGTACAAGTTGGTTGACTCGCCGATTGGCAAGTTTTGAATATTGTATTTGGTTTTACACATTCTTCACCAATACCTGGGAATTTTAAAATAATAAAAATTAATTTATGAATGACTAGCTGTTGCCCGCGACTTCGTTCCGGCAGTGTTTAATAAAAATGTAATTCGTTTTTACTCTCTTGTTCTCGACATACTCGTAGTAAGAGTCAATTCTGCCAATAAGATTAGCAATTTTAATTTAAAGAAATTAATTATATAAAGTTTTGTCAATAATGCACTTCAGCGCGCCATCTCGAATTCAACTATTTAACTGTAACTATGATTGAATCTCAATGTCAAATTTTATTCTATAGAAAAGAGCTGTTTTGAGGATTTTCCCGGCAATTATTCGAATTTTTCTCACCTTTTAAACCATCCCTAGACCTCCACGAATAATTCAAGACCAAGATAAGATAAATCCGTTCAGCCGTTCTCGAGTTTTAGCGAGACTAACGAACAGCAATTCATTTATATATATATAGACTAGCTTTAACCCGCGGCATCGCTCGCGAATATCAAAAATAATGAAGTTGCTTCCGTACGCGTCTGTAGTCACAGAAGAAGTAACAATGAAGTAGAATGGCGGGAAGTTTAAAATGGCTGAAAGTATAGTCTATGGAAGTATAGTGTACAGTCTCCATAGTGTAGTCAATAGGATTTGATGTTGACGTAGCTGTCGGTAATACAGTGTGATAATACAGTGTGATGATACTATAGTACTTAGGTTTGAGCTTCATTGCTGGAATGCTAGATGGCGTTAAAGTAGTTAAATAACCAGATGCAGAGGTATTATTGACTAAACAATTTCTTTATTTTATTTAAAAAATATTTTTTTTATTAAATAAAAAGTAGCATATAACCATTCGGGGACCACTAAGAATATGTGTACAAATTTTCATGATGATCGGTTAAGTAGTTTTTGCGTGAAAGTGTAACAAACATCAGGACTTTCGCATTTATAATATTAGTAGGGATGAATAGTTACTAGCTGACTGAGTTGTACAAACCACAGCGATCAACAAAAAACAAAAAAATAAGAATTTCATTTTGAATTTTTGTTATTGATTGCAAAACAAACACGATATTAATAGGCTCTGACCGGAAGTAATCATAGTGGGACTCATAACAATAAAATTAATTTTTACCAATTAAAAAATTAATCATAACGTAATGACCCAGCAAAATATTTATTTCTGAGATGATATAACAAATACATTTATTACACATATCTCATGTTTATCATGTTCTTTTGATGAGAAATTGAGTTTACAGCGTGTTTACTCAGAGATGTCTTCATTTTCGTTCTCATCGGGATCTAGATCCTCTTCCACTCGCTGCGCCGAGCGTCTCTCGCAATCCCGTAGCAAAACACACTGGTTGTTGGCGTTGTAATAATATCCCTCAATGCAGAAGCAGCCATCTTCGCAATGCGCTGCGAATTCGTCGGAATTCGGCTCGGGAACAAGGCACGTCGCACGCGTTGAGAATTCACAGCGTCGGAATTCAGTGTTCGGTTGATTACACTCACGGCCGAGGACTTTAATCAACATTTAAATATAAAACCACGCAGAGCAAATAACGTAAATATATGTATTCTTACTTTGGCTTTGTGGTGCTGCATTTATACCCGCAAATAAAACAATTAAAAGGACGGGTAGACACTTCATTATGATGCTGTTGATGTTGATGCTGCTAACGAGAGCGATTTATTACTGAGTTCACTAACTTTACTCAGGTTGGCAAACGCTAGATTAAAATAACTCATGTCATTAAGTGATCGTTAAATTATTTTCTGGTCAGTCGACTGGATTAATCTCTCTCTTATCTAATAATTCCATGAATACAAAACTGGTTTTAGGCGATTTTACACTTTTATTTATTTTATTATTTAGTATATTCGTAGAATAAATTAATGATTGCGATATTGCGTTGTATTATGAACAGTTTTCGAATTTTACGCAGTCGCCATGACTGTTCTGTAAATATCCTCGCCTGCAATAACAACCAGGTTCTCCGTCGTGATCCAAATTGCCGTCACATGTCATTTCGTTGTGTTTGCAACGGTTGAAACGCTTGTTTTCCGGACATTTTACAACTAAAAATAAATGTTAATATAAATATTTGTTTTTTTTTTCATATTCCACCTTTAAAACGTCATTTTTTTTCAAGACTTTGAGATATAAAAAGTTGTAATTTAAACACGGATGGCTAAAGTCGTGAATAAAGTACTTTAGTCACGGGTTTTTCTTACGGGGTGGAGGTTGCGCCTGCGCATTGCCAAATTTGCCCAAAATTTAAAATACAAGACAAATTTTGAAGATTTAAAAGAAACAAAAGTTCAAATACATAACCTAAACGTCGAAATAAAGTGGAAGTAGAAAATATAGCGTAAGTATTACGTGGCTAAACGTTGTTAAACACTCGATTGATTAAACGCTCGTGACAAAAACTCCCGTTTACCCACTTGATACTTAATATACTATTATTTTATATGATGTCTAATACCTTTATAGCTACATTCATTTGGATGTATGCATTCTTTCCCGTTGGGTTTATCACGAATGTATCCTTCTTCGCATTCGCATCCTGGCGCTCCTCTGCATTCGTAATAAACGTGATTGAATGCGTTTTCGCAAGACATTTCACACCGTTTGGCGACGTCAGAGTATTTTTGATGAGAACCACATTCTTGTGAGATTGCAGTACGATTATAAGTGACGTTACCATTAACTAATGCTAACATTATGCCAAAAAATACAAACATAACTGACATTTTTACTTAGTTAATCTTCAATTTTCAAGAATGAATAATTTTTAAATAAAATTCTGTGGTATTTATACTTAGTAGAGTGTTTTCCTGTGTATGAACAATAGCAAAACATTATAACAGTAAAAATATGGCAAATAAACTTGTTTTTACTCAAATTTCATTGAAGTTATTGATGATAATGAGGTTTATTGCTTTGTTAATTGCAATTTTATGTATAGAATTGAATTATTTTGGACACATAGTAGGTTGTACGCATTTCTGTGATGTTTCATCAAAGACAAATCCTGGTTTACATTCGCATCTGTTTTCACAAATCGTAGGGACAAAAAAATCGATGAATTCTGGTCTATCTGGTATGGTTAAATCTTTTAGGTTGTAATTATTGCATGTTATGCGTGTTCCACAACGATTTCTATATTCTGAGTTTGGATCTTGAGCAATACAAGCTGTAATATATCAAATTTATAAAAAAATTATCAAAAAATATAAAAATTTTAGAAAACAAATAAACTTACCTGCATTTTCTGGGCATTCTTCATGTCTTATACATTTATTTTCATCGTTTAATATATAAGCACTTGCACATGCACAATAATCGCTGCAATCATGAGTTTGATACATTGGTCTTGGTTCTTTGCATGTTGGTTGCGTAGATGAGCGACATTTGACAAAAACAGTGTTAGGTATTTTTGCACAGTCTAAAAATAATATTTTATGATTAATAAAACGTTTATTTTCATTTTAACTTTGTGTTGTGTTACAATATATTTTAAAACTAAATACAAATAAATCGTTTGTTTATATAATAAAATTAATTGTTTACCTGATGGTTTAATAATGTTAATTTCACCAAAATCTTCGAATACGTATTTTGATACTGCGTCGTTAATAAATACAGCAGTGAATAGAAGTTGTAAAAGTTGTTTCATTTTGTTTCGTCTTGATTCGTTTGAAAAAAATGGTTGAAGTGAAGGATATACTAAACTAAATATCTAAATATCTACAAAAACTATTTATGAACAATTTTTTTGTATTCAAATTTGAAAAACCCCCAAATTGCTCATTATACATGTTTAAATATATGCATATATGAAATAGTTTCTATTTACATTTATAATTATTTGCGTCACACATTTTTTAAATTGATTTTAGGTTAGAATTAAAACTATATTAATCAATAAATTAATCTATAAAATATTCTTTTGTTTCAGGTAAGTTTAAAGATAATAATCAAATTTATTCATCAATAAAACGTAAGTTTATTTATTTTCTTAACTTGAAGAACAATCTTCTAATAAAACACATTTTCCAACTTCTTCATCGTATACATGTCCTTCTTTACACACACATCCTTGACGACAGTCGGATGTAGTAGGACCATCCGGATTCTTGCAGGTGAAAATTGTTGAAGAATGGCAACTGCTGTACTCGCTATTTGCATCCTTCATATTACATTCTGCAACTAATAAAAAATTTAAAGTTTGAAGAAAAGTTTAATAAATATAATTAATATTTACTGCGTTGGGGACAGTCCTTCTCCCGAACACAAGTATCATCATCTTCATTAAGTAAGAAGCCATCTGCGCAGCTGCAGTAGTTCTGACTATCTTTTACCCATCCAAGCGGATTTGGATCTTTGCACGTACGACGAGTTGACGATTGTTCATAAACGTATTTCGTGTTAGCACGTTGGGAACATTGAATTTCTTTAAAATAATAAAGTAATAATTAATGAAAATTGTTTATATTTAATTATTACTTACCATCTAGTTCTGAAATAGTTGCTGCGTAACATTTTGTTAGGTAAAAAACGATGCAAAGGATAATTACTGATTTCATGGTTGGCACTTTTTGTAAAGCACGAGAAAACAAAGTAAATAGTTTATTTGCGTGGGTTTTATAGTTTATCAGACTGAAAAAATGTGTGTTATGTCAGTTTTATCTCGGTATTCGTGATTGGAAAACACATTATAAAAATACTAGTGGAAAATAAGTGATAAATAATGTTGATTTTTTGAATGCTTGGCATAGTATTATAGAGTTTATTTAAAATTCTCACGTGAATATGAATTAAACAAATAATTACACTTTTGCTAATAGTTTTTTAATAACTATATCAACGTGTTTTAATGTTTTAATAGGATATCATTACGCAGTCCCCCAGAAGTAACAACAGTGAAAAAGTTAGCTATTTTTTAGTTTCTAAAACTTGCTGTAGAAAACACCTTATATTTTGGCTATCAATAAAGCAATTTGTGATATCTTACCTTCATATAAAAGATAAAGAGCCCTTATATAAGATGGATGCTATCCTAACTTTCTAAACCTTTCGGAACTGCCCTAAAATAGCCGTTAAAAATAGTCTATTTTTTAGGTTTCAAAAAGTTGCAGTGAAGAACACCCTATATCTTTGGAAGCAATATAGCAAGTTTAGTTATCTCACTGGCATGAACTAGATATAAAACTCTCTCATAAGATAGATACAATTTTAACCTTCTAAACGTTCCGGAAGTGTCTCAAAATGATTGTCAAATGTAAACTTTTTTCATAATTACTACAAAAATCCTTTGAAAATACCCTATATTTTGGGAACCAATAAAGCAATTTCAGATATCTTAACGTCATATTAAAGGTATAGAGTCCTTTTATAAAATACATATTTTCCTGATCCTGTATCCTATCCGAAAGTGCTCTAAAATGCCAATTAAAAATTGCTTTTCCTTCTTTAAAAGTGGGAGTGGAAAACACCCGGTATCTCGGTAATTAATTGCGTAATTAAGATCATCTTATTATCATATGAAAGATTACGAGTTTCTTTACAAGATGCATGTATTTTCGACCCTATATACTTTAAGGAAGTGCCCCAAAATATGCATTAAAAATTGCCATTTTTTAATTTTTCAAAAAATATCTGTGAAACCATAGGAGTAATTTAAGCTTGTTCATCGTCATATGTTAGTTAAAGAGTTCCTCTTTAAGATGAGTATCATGACGACCCTTCGAACCCGCAGGAAGTGCCTTAAAATAGCCGTCAAAGATAGCCTATTTTTCTCATTTTTCTGTAAATTAATCCGTTGAAATTAATTTTGGTCGATAGAGGGCGATCAACCTAATGAAGAAAAATATTTTATGCTGAAAGACAGGGTCGAACTTTTTTTAATGAAAATATTACCTGATGAACAACAGGGTCGAACTGATTTCTTAAATTTTTTCAGGTCGAAACATGGCAAAGGTTAAAATAATAAATGCTAATTATCTCAAGAACTATAAGGGCTAGGAAAGAAAAAACTACATATTCTTCTTCCTTAAAAAATTCTTTACAAGATAGTATATTTTTTGTAAAACCAATAAATGGGTATAAAAAAAGTTAAGAAAAGATTTTGTTATAAAAAAGGCAAAATATTTATCTTTTTTATGTTGAACATTAAATTTGGAATTTTTAAATTCTGATTTCGGATTCTAAAAGAAAATTTAATTCTACATCGAATATTTAAGTAATGTTTTTTCATAACATTGACCATTTAGGCCCTATTTTTAATTTATTAATAATCAAAATTTTAAAAAATCTAGCGGAAATTGTATACTCCCATGTTCTGCGTTCCTAATATTACACAATTATTTCCAGCACTTCTTCCACAAAATTTCGTTCAAAAATCAATGAAATTTATACATTGAAATACAATGGTAGTACGAGAGGGTGAGTATAAGCTAAGTAAAGTTAAGTAAACACTTACTGTACGCTAAATCGTACGCTGTACGTTTTGGCGATATTGTGAGGGTATAGCGTACAGTAAGTGTTTACTTAACTTTACTTAGAAATTTATACACAAAATACTTTTGGATATTAGGATCACAGAAAGAGCAGAAGGTTAAACTTATAGTAACATTTAGTAGCGGCGTAGTTTAGTTTTTAAGAGACAGGTTGCACTAGTGACTGGTTTTCAAATTTAAATTAAAAATTGATTTTAAATTGATACTAGTGAACGTGCTCATTATATATAATTTTTAATTAATAAAATTTTAAAATTAATCTATTACATACATAATAATTACAAATTAATTAACTATTTCATTGGGAATTGCAATTACTGGTCTATCAATGCCAATAATAGGGTTACCAATGGTAAACCTGCGACAACGACTTCTCAGAATACAAATACCATCATTTAAAATGTATCCAGGTTTGCACACACACAAATCCCTGCATTCATGGAACCAAATAATCGGATTGGGATTGTCACAAGTCGGTTGTACTGATGATTCACAAGACTTCAACTCACTGTTTGCTATATTTGAACAATCTAAACAAAAACTACATTCAATTTGAATTCTAAGTTACCCCCAGAAAGCTTTACCGGGTGTAGGGCATGAATTCCTTGGAACACAGTCATTTCCATTTAATAAGAAACCAGATTTGCATACACACATATTTTTACAGTCCATCAGTTGAATTTCTGGGTTTGGGTTTTCACATGTTGGTTGTGTTGAGGATTGACATGTCATAAACTGAGTATTAGCTCTCGCAGAACAATCTTAAAACATTTCAAAATTAATTTTTTATATTGTTTTTAGGGATGAAAACTTACCTGGTATAAAATTAATCTGGGGTTTTGTTTGGGCAAAGGACATTAAGCCCAAAAATATTAAAACGAGGAATTTCATAATGATTTTGTTTGAAGTCACGAAGTTTGAAGCTCATGTCTCTTTTTATAAGTATTTGTAAGTGGGTTAACATGTAAATTTTATGAATTTTAAAATAGGCTTGAAAGTAAATTAGTTGATTAGAATTTGTTTAAGATAACAAAAAAACCTGTTTTTTACATTCAGCGTTTTACATACGTCAAACAAGAATTATTGCGCATCTTTTGCAATTCTAGAATATTTGAGATAGTTTTAACATAACATGGTTTTGCAATAATCCAGAAAACAATAATTACTTATGTGTTATTCATGGTATTTTAATAAATTTTAAAAACTTACTCAACAAAATTAAGTTTTGGAAGAAAATTCCAAGGTTCAATACAAAAAAAGTTGATTATACGTTTGCAGCGGTAACATATTAAATTATTTTTTACTTTATTTTTAAAGTGTCAATTTTTCTACTGTTTTGAGACAGAAAAAGTGATATTTTAAACACGGACGACCAAAGCTGTGACTAAAATACTTTAGTCACGGGTTTTAGTCACGGGGTGGAGCTTGCGCCTGCGCATTTGCCTACGGTGCAGCACAAGACCATATAAAATTTCATGCGCCGTTAGTTAAACGTGGAAATAAAGTGGAAGTAGAAAAACAAGATAAGCCTCACGTGGCTAAAAGTTATTGACAAAAATTAAAATAAAAATACCACAAAAATAAAATTTCCAGATACTATTTTTTAATTAATTTAATAGTAAAAATACGTGACAAACATGTTTATATCTAAATATAATAAATAATTACTGACTACACAATTTATACATGAGATTTTTCCAGAATAAAAATATATAAATCCATTGTTATGAATTACACGTGCTTGGCGTTACACAACGATTCAGTTTTTTGTAGTAAACATATCCATCGTTGCACACACATCCTTTTCGACACTTTTCCTACGATTTGCTCCATTGGGATCCGAACAACTACGTCGGACATATTGACACTCTTCATAATGTGAATTTACATCAGATTTTTGACATTCTAAGAAAATAAACAAAAATTAATCAATTTTTATTAAAATTATACCGAAATATTAAACATACTTCTATTTTCTGATGAATTTGTACATTCTCCCGGATATATACAGCGGCCATTTGCATTCTGAACCATATCATCTCTACAAAAACATCCTCGAAGACATGTATCTTCATTTGTTATATTCGTAGAACAAGTTTTAATAACATGCTCACAACTTTTATATTGTCTATCAGAAGGGCACAATATTTCTGAAAGTTTTGTAAATAACAAACAAAGAAAGCACATTCAAAGCATTTGATAACTAGTAATTTTAGTTAAAAGTTAAAACAGCAACCAACCTTGTTCAGGACAGTCTTTGATAAGCACACAACGTTTATCTTTTGTACGCAGATAGTTTGGTTTACATTCGCACCCTTCATAGCAAGCCATACAAGTAGCCAGCGCCATTTTGTTACCGTAAGCATTCGCGCATGTTTTGGGACATGCACTGGCACACACACTGTATGTGGAGTTGGAATCGCAACTACTCATTGATGATTTGTGGTCAACTTTTAATATTATAACAATTCGTTGTACATTTTTGTTTGATTTCACTGTTTAGGTTAATTACTTACCACAGTCTTCCAAAGTCATGCATTTTTCTGTTTTTTCATTGAATACATAACCTTCTTTACAACGACATTCACTGCGACAGTCTTTGTTTATTGCAAGTGGGTTGGGATCTGTACATGTGGCTTTTGTAGATGATTGACAGACTCTAAATTCAGATTTTGGATCGTCTTTAGAACAAACTAAAAAAAATTAGAAAAAAATTTCAAAAAATTTCAAAAAAAATTCAAAAATTTTTGAAAAAAAATAAAAATTTTCAAAACTTACTTTGATTCTCCTTAGAATTTTGACATTCAGTAGGATAAACACACTTTTGAGTCTCTGCATCCCAGATAAATGGCCCATCACAGAAACAACCCGAAAGACATTCAATCGATTCGATATCCCGGACCTTTTCCACTTGTTTGTCTTGACATGTACGAACAATATTTTTATAACATTCGTGGTATGATTGTCTAGGATCCACATTGCGCATTCGGACATTTTTCCGGCTTCATACAAGTCCTTGTATCTTCATCATAAACTAAACCATCATTACAGAAACATCCAGAGGTTTTGATTCCATTACCGCTTGGTTTCAGACAAGTTTTCCGCACTTCACTATCGCTGTAATATTGGGTACTCTGACATTTAGTATCTTCCCGAGTGCAATCTTCCGGTTTTACGCATTGTTTTTCATTATTATTTTTCCAGATGTAGCCGTCTTGGCATGCACAACCAGGTTGACAAGCACATTTGAACATTATATTGATGTATTGGGTTTCACATGATCGACCACAGAGGGAACAATCTTTAAAAGTTTGATTTCTGGGACAATCTGAAGAAAATTTTAAAAATTTATGAAAAATTAGTGGAACACTCGGTATATTTAATACCTTGTTCTTCTATTTCTTGTTTAGGGCAATTTTCTTTAAGTACACAGTTGTTATTATCATCCAAAACCCATCCATCTTCACAAAAACATCCAGAAGTACATTTTTTGTATAAAATTGGTCCTGTGCAGGTATCAACTGATGATTTGCATTTATTATAAACCTGATTCTCCGGGCATTTAACAACTGTAAATTAAAAATTGTAAAATTTAATTTTATAATAAATTTAATCTAATTTACTTTCTGGATCACAATCTTCCGGTCGTATACAAAATGAAGTACGATCCCTGACAAAACCCTCTAAACACTCACACCCAGGACTACATCTACACGCATATTCAGGAGTCAAATACTGGGTCATACAGTTTTTCTCACAAACATTAGCACACATACTAAACGTTGTATTTTGTGGACAAATTACTCCCGGACATGTTTCCGGAGGAATGCAATCACCCATTGGGTTTAACACAAAACCATCTTTACACAAACAACCTTCTATGCATTTACTAGGTACCCAAGCAGGTTCTGAGCATGTAGGTTGAGGAGTACACAACTGTTTAAATTCGGTATTTTGTTTAGTACAAACTACAATTTAAAATATTGAAATGAGTTAAGATGTTTAGTTTATATGAAGTTAATTAATTGAAGGTCATTTATACTAACTTGTTTGGTACTTTTCCGACGTCTGGTCAATAACGATTGGATCACCACTGACCAAACAAAAAACAATTGCAATTATGAAACACCGCGCGGTTTGCATCGTGACGCTCAGTTCGGAGGTCTGATGTTAACTAACAGATTACACCTTGCGTGTAAATGCAAACACCCACGGAGAATGACTGACGAAAACAAGTAATTATTTCATTTGACTATGTATACTATGTGGTATTTGTGCTTACGTTTGTAAATTGCTAGACACGATCAGCCAAACTCGTGGAATAAACAATAAACGAGTAATAATTGCAACATTCGCTACGAGTACTAGGAATCTCGATTGTTATCATTGATTTGTTTATAACTATATGGGAAAACCAGAAATATTTTGGATTTTTAAATGCGATTTATTCAATTCAAGTGACGTTGACCTTTTCAGGACCAACTGGGGGCTTTACATTTTACCAGATTAACATTTCTCAACACATTGTCCATGAGAGTTTAATTTATAACCTGGTTTGCAGTAGCAATCAGGTTTGCAAACTCCAGTTTGATAGACGTTACCAGAGCATGTTTCTATCACACCAGGTTGACAGGTTTTAAACTCAGAATTTGGTTTTATTTTCTGACACTTTTTGTTTTCCTTGGAATCTAGGCATTCTGCGGCATCTATACATGTTTTGTATCTTCATCAAAAACAAGGTCATCTTTACAGAAACATCCTGATGTTTTAACACCATTTTCCTGTGGATATTTACAGGTTTTTCTGACGTGGTTGTATTTAAACTTCTGAGTTTCTTGACAGATTGTTTCTTCCTTTATGCAGTCTTCAACAGCAACACATTCTCTCTTAGAGTTCCAAATGTAACCCTCATTGCAACCACATCCTGGTTTACAGGCACATTTATAGAAATAATTCACATAATAATCATAGCAATTTCGACCACAGTTTGCACATTCTGAATAGGTTTGATTTCCTGGGCATGCTGGAAGAATAACTTATTGATTTACAGGAACAGATTTTAAAGATAAAATTTGATACTTACTTGGTATTACTGGGCAATCCTTTTGGGGAATACAATTACCATTATTATCTTGTACGAAACCAAATTTACAGACACAACCTATTTGACAGGAGTTAAAGGTTTGTGTGCCATTGCAAGTGTCAACAGATACATAACATTCTGAATAATATTTGTTAGCTCCACATCGGGATGGGCATTCCTTTGTTGGTATACAAACCAATTCTGTTTTACTCTTTAGGATATATCCACTTTTACAGATACATTTGGGTTCACAGGTTGAAGGTATGAGACCTTTTGGATCATCACAGGTGAAGTTTTTAGTTAAACCACATTTGGTAAACTCAGAATTTGGATCATTATGACGACATAGACAATCTTCAGGTAGAATACATTGAAGGGTAGCTTCATCGTACACATAGGGTTCATCACAGAAACAACCTTTTTGGGTGATAGATTGTTGGTTATGACATCTTTACAGGTCTTGGGTCTTTTGCATTCTTCATAGTGGGTTATACTTGGACAAGCTAGTTCACTTTCAGTGCAGTCGTCAATAACAACACATTCTCCTTTGGTGTTCAGTACAAAACCTTCATTACAGTTGCAACCTGGTTCTTTGGAGGTGCAGGACACCTGATATAAGGTGCCATGTAGTAGGACCCACAGGTACGACTACAGGTATAGACAACTTCACTGTAAGTAGCGTTAGGTCCACAGTTTAAACAATCTTTGAAAGGTACACATTGCCCTTGGTCATTCCTTACAAATCCTGATTTGCAGACACATCCTGGACCACATAATGGTCTTGGTAAAGTACGAGTACATGTATCAGTACAAGGTCGCTCACATAGATGACTGGTAACATATTCTGTGTTGGGATCTTCTGCTTGACATTTTTGATTCTGATGTTCCAAACATTTTTCTGCAGTAACGCAAGTCCTACTATCCTCATCATATAGTAAACCCTCTTTACAGAAACAACCTGAAGTGACTACTCCGTTACCATTTGGATGCTCACAGGTCTTTTGCACTTGATTATAACAAAACTCTTGAGTTTCTTGGCATTTTGTTTCCTCCTTGGTGCAATCTTTAACCGCTACACATTCTTTCTTAGAATTCCAGATATAGCCCTCTTCACAAGCACATCCAGGTACACATTTGCATTTGAACATTATATTCTGATAATAGTTTCCACAACTGCGTCCACACAAAGAGCATTCCTTGTAGGTTTGGTTTACTGGACATTCAGGTTCGATGATTTTTGGACATTCACTTTTGGGTATACATTTTCCATTGTCATCTGTGACAAAACCTTCATCACAGACACAACCAGGTTGGCATGCAAAGTAGTAGATTGGTCCTGTGCAGGTGTTTCCTGTTATGCATTGTTGGTAGTGCATATTGGCCGGGCATTTTACAACCTCGGGGTTACAGTCTTTAGGTAGAATGCAGTTACCTTGGTTATCAGATATGTAACCAGGGTCACATTCACATCCAGGTTGGCAACGACAAGCAAATGCCAGGTCTAAATATTGGGTCTCACAAGTTTTGCGACAGACTTGGGCACATGCCTTGTAGGTTTGATTAGTTGGACAAGTAGGTTCAGGACAGGTATTTAATGGAATGCAGTTACCCAAAGTGTCTAGGACGTAACCATCTTTACAGAAACAACCATTGATGCACTTTTTAGGAACTGTAAGTGGGTGTGGTTCATCACAAGTTGGTTGAGGACCGCAGAGTTTTTTATGGACAGTGTTGGGTTTAGTACAAACTGGAAATATAAAATTAAGTATTAAGTATTAACAAGATTAAAGATGGTTATTCTCCAACTTACCAGGTTTTGGTGGTTTACATTGATCTGCAGGTATGCAGACCAATTCAGTTTTACTCTTATAGATGTATCCCTCTTTGCACACACACCTCTGACGACAATCTTTTGTTATGGGACCATTTGGATTCTCACAAGTGATGTTGGTTGAAGAAGCACAGCTTACAAACACAGAGTTGATATCTTGTGCCTGACAATCACGGTTTTGTTGATAAAAGCACATTTTTCAGGTGCTACACATTTAAATGCAACCTCATCATACACCTTGGCTTTGTCACAGAAACAACCCTTTTTGTTTTCATAGTTCTTGGTGTTAACATCATTGCAGGTCTTAGGTTTGTGACTCACTTCAAAGTGGGTTTTAGGTGGACAACCTAACTCTTCTCCGGTACAATCATCAATAACAACACATTGACCATTGGAATTCAAAACAAATCCTTCATTGCAGTTGCATCCAGGTACGGGCAGAGGTGGTTCGCATTGTATTAAATGCCTTAGGTTGTAGGTTCCACAGGTTCTACCACAGGTGTCAACAGAATCGGTGTAGGTTGCATTAGGTCCACATGTTAAGCATTCATTTTTAGGTACACATTCCCATTGGGCATTACGGACAAATCCTTCTTTACAAACACAACCTTTTCCACATCTTGTTTTAAGTAGAGGTGAGGTATCAGTACAGGACCTTTCACAGATATGACTGGTGACGTATTCAGAGTTGGGATCAAGCGATAAACAATCTGAAATTAATATTGATATTAAAAATTCAAATTCTGGTAAACCTTGTAGATATTACTTAGATTTTCTGGTGAGTTAGGACACAGTGCGCTATTCACACACTTCTTAAGTCCTTCATGGTATACCAAAGGTTCCTTACAGAAACATCCTTCAACCTCCTTTTTCCTTCCGATATCTTCACAGGTACGAGGCCGGGAACACTTTTCTTTGTGTGTATCAGGTGGGCATTCTATAAAAACACAATAACTTAGTAGTAAACCACATGTGGTTCACCATTTATTGTAAAATGTATACCTTCAGAAGGACAATCAGCAATCAACACACATTCACCAGTTTCTTCATTGGTGACATAATTTTCATCACAATCACAACCAGGATTCTTTAACAAAGCGCACAAAATATACGGGGCCATGTGATGGGTCTTACAGGTCCTACCACATTGGTTTACATATTCACGATAAGTTGAATTTGGACCACATTTAACTGGACATTCAGCAACTGGTATGCACTTGTTATCAATTCCCCTCACATAACCATCTTTGCAAATACACTCATTGGTACATTGCTCCAATGGGTTAGGTGTTAAATCAGTGCAGCATCTTTCACAGATATGAGATTTTGAGTAGACTGAATTAGGATCTTGTTTATGACATTGCGCTGATAATTCTGGACACACTGAACAATCATCTGCAGTCACGCATTGTTTCTTAACCGGGTCGAACACTAATGGACTTTTACAGAAGCATCCCTTTTTGTAATCCAAGGAATCCAATGTTAAGTCCTCACAGGTTTGTGGTCTGCTACTATTTTCATAGTGCAATCCAGGTAGGCATCTGGTATCATCAGAGGGGCAGTCCTTTGGTAGTACACATTGGTTGTGATTGTTCAAAACGTATCCTTTGTTGCAGTCACATCCAGGTTGGCACTTTTTGTTGGGAAGACATACGAACAGTTCCTTAAATTTACTTGGACATTTGCTAGGACATTGTTTCTTGCACTTGGTGGGTGTTGAATTGGGTGGGCACTTAATGGCTACGCCTAGGCAGTAAAGAAACCAGTGTTATTTATGCATTGTTAAATTTATTTTGAAACTTAAGAATTAAACAGAAATTAAGATTTCTTATTTTACCAGATTAGTTTTGTTTGAAATAGAGTTAGTTAATTGCCGCGGTCATTAGTATAGATTTGTCCGTCCTGTATGGTCTCGATGTTTAAGGTTTATCTTTTTGCCCGAGTTATCATTTTTTCCCTTTGATTTATCTTTTTTTGGATCGTCATTTTTGTTTGTTGGTTTGTCCTTTTTGTTCATGTCATCATTCTTTTGCTTTGAGGTGTTTTTCTTGCCGTCGTCATCATGTTTTGTTTTTGACATGTCCTTCTTTTTGGAATCATCCTTTTTAGGCGGAGATGGGTCCTTCTTGGGGTCATCTTTCTTGGGTTTAGATAGATCTTTCTTTGAATCATCTCCTTTTGGTTTAGATTTGTCCTTTTTTGGATCATCCGTTTTTGGTTTTGAAGGGTCTTTCTTTTTGGAATCATCCTTTTTAGGTGGTGACGGGTCTTTCTTGGGATCATCCTTCTTAGGCGGAGATGGGTCATCTTTTTTAGGTTTAGACTTGTCTTTCTTGGAGTCTCCATTTTTGGGCTTAGATTTGTCCTTCTTGGGATCATCAGTTTTTGGTTTTGATGGGTCTTTCTTTTTGGAGTCATCTTTTTTAGGTGGGTTTTTCTTGGAATCATCTTTCTTAGGCGGAGATGGGTCATCTTTCTTGGGTTTAGACTTGTCTTTCTTGGGGTCTTCGTTTTTGGGCTTTGATTTGTCCTTTTTGGGATCATCGTGTTTGGGTTTGCCGTTCTTGGAGTCGTCTTTTTTGGGATTAGATTTGTCCTTCTTAGGATCATCCGTTTTTGGTTTTGAAGGGTCCTTCTTTTTGGAGTCATCTTTTTTGGGTGGGTTCTTTTTGGAATCATCTTTCTTAGGTTCGGATTTGTCTTTCTTGGGGTCGTCGTTTTGGGCTTAGACTTGTCCTTTTTGGGGTCATCGTGTTTAGGTTTACTTGGATCTTTCTTGGAGTCATCTTTTTTAGGTTTGCCGTTCTTAGAGTCTTCTTTTTTGGGCTTGGATTTGTCATTTTTAGGATCATCGTGTTTGGGTTTAGATGGGTCATTCTTAGAATCATCTTTTTTAGGTTTGGACTTGTCCTTTTTGGGGTCATCATGTTTGGGTTTAGATGGATCTTTCTTGGAATCATCCTTCTTTGGTTTAGATTTGTCATCCTTTGGATCCTCTTTTTTGGGTTTTGATTTATCCTTTTTAGAATCATCTTTTTTAGGTTTAGATTTGTCTTTCTTGGGGTCATCATTTTTGGGCTTTGTTGGACAAGATTTCTCAAGAATGCATTTTCCATCTGGCTTGTCTAGTACGTAACCCTTCTTACAGAAGCATCCAATATGACATTTAGCGTCACAAATTGGTGTTTTATCATCGCAAATTCGCCTGCATGTTCCACAGACCGAGAATTCTGAATTAGGATCCAAACCATTACAGTTAATTTTAGAATCACAATTGGCTGGCAAGACACAGTCCCCATTGGCATTTTCAAGATATCCGTCACGACAAGCACAACCTGGCTTACAATTCTTTGGTACCGCCGACTGACAGCTAGTCTTAGAACATTGCTGATTAAATGCACATTCTTGATAAGTTGTATTTCCTGGACAAACAACTGGGTTTATTACTGGACAACTTGTTTCCGGAATACATTTTCCAGTCGTGCTGCTTATAACGTAGCCAGTTTTACATTCACATCCAGGTGTGCACATTGCATTACAGATTGGATGACGATTGCAACAGGTACGAGGACAAGCTTTGCAAGTTGAGAATTTAGTATTTGGATCTGCCTTTATGCAATCTTTGTTTTCCTTGGATTCAGTACACATGCTCTTATCAACACATTGGCCAGTTGCAGTATCAAATACCAGATTGTCAACACAATCACAACCATCTTTCATGGTGAAGGTTGGTTTTCCTGTAGATGGACACGTAGAGCATTTTGATTTGGTACCAGTATAAACCATGTTCACTCCACATTTAAGTTCTGAAATTAAATATTTTTATTAATTAAGATAATAATTAAGTTTTTGGATTATATTACCTGTTTGGGGGCATTTTGAAGGTTCTACGCAGACTTGTTTTTCATTTCTTACAAAACCACTCTTGCAATCGCATCCAGCGACACAAACTTCCTTACATATTTTTGGTTTGGATTGAGTCAACAGATTGCTGCAAGTTGCTGGTGTTAAAGACTTGCATTGTTTGTGTTCTTCGTTTGCTGGACATTTTGCTGGACAATCCTTAATAGGCACGCAGACGTTTTCAGAATTTAGGGCATGATCTTTGATACAGAAACAACCAACTTTGCATTCTTTAGTGCATACAGGATCCAAGTTATCGCATTGTTTTTCACAAGTATGACAAGTGCTGTATTCCATGTTTTGTGGACAACGAATTTCTTCAGGTTTGCATTCTTGAGGTAAAACACATTCTTGTTTGCTGTTCATAACATATCCTGGATTACAGACACATCGTTTGACTCCATCACAGAGTGCCTGAGCAAAGTTCAGATACATGTTGTCACAACGTTTAGATTCAATACATTTATCTGTGTATGTAGAATGCTGACAGCATTGTGGTTGTGGGCATTGCGATGGTAGAACACAGGTTGCGTTTTTCTCAGATATTTGCAACAAACCTTGTTTGCAATGACAACCTACGGTGCATTTCTTATTGCAGTAATCTGGGTATTGACTTTCACAAGTTGGCACACATTTATCTGATTTACAATCGTAATATTCAGTGTTTGGATCTTTCTTGTAGCATTCCAAATCTGCATCAGAGTAGGAGCAGTCACAGGGTTCCACACAGATAGACTTAATTCGGTCATAACGATATCCTGGGGGGCACACGCAGTTATTCTTCTTGTAGTCTGAATTTTTGTTGCCACAATAATATAATCGACCCTCGTCGGTGAATATCATTGTTTTCGGGCATGTTTTACTGGTGGTTTGCTTGGACAGTCTGCTGGAGCTACACAGGTTCTGTTTGTGTATGATACCTGTACTAAATGTTTCTGGCAGAAACAACCGCTAATGTAATCATCAGTACATGCACGTAAATTCAAATTATCACAAGTCAAGACGCAGCTAGATGACTGACGAGTTCGATATTCAGTATTGGGATCTTGTTTTTTGCAAAGAGCATCTTTTGATGATGTTGATCCGGATCCGTCATGTTTTGGTTTAGATTTGTCTTTCTTGGAATCATCTTTCTTGGGTTTTGATTTGTCCTTCTTTGAATCGTCATGTTTAGGTTTTGATGGGTTTTTCTTAGAATCATCTTTCTTGGGCTTTGATTTGTCCTTTTGGAATCATCCTTTTTAGGCTTAGACTTGTCTTTCTTAGAGTCATCATGTTTGGGTTTAGTCGGACAAGATTTTTCGGGAATACACTTTCCATCTGGCTTATCAAGAACGTATCCCTTTTTACAGAAGCATCCAATATGACATTTAGCATCACAAATTGGTGATTTATCATCGCAACTACGCCTGCATGTTCCACAAAGCGAGAATTCTGAATTAGGATCCAAACCACTGCAGTTAATTTTAGAATCACAATCAGCTGGCAAAACACAGTTCCCATTGGCATTTTCAAGATATCCGTCGCGACACGCACAACCTGGTTTACAATTCTTAGGTATTGCCGACTGACAGCTAGTCTTAGAACATTGCTGATTAAATGCACATTCCTGATAGGTTGTATTTCCCGGGCAAACAACTGGACTAATTATTGGACAACTTGTCTCCGGAATACATTTTCCTGTTGTGCTGCTAATAACATACCCAGATTTACATTCACATCCAGGTGTGCACATCATGTTACAGATTGGGTGACGATTGCAGCAGGTACGAGGGCAGGCTTTGCAAGTTGAGAATTTGAGTATTTGGATCTGATTTCAGACAATCTTTGTTTTCCTTTGATTCAGTACACATGCTCCTATCAACACATTGTCCAGTAACAGTATCAAACACAAGATTGTCAACACAATCACATCCATCCTTCATGGTGAAGATTGGCTTTCCTGTTGCTGGACAAGTAGAACATTTTGATTTTGTTCCAGTGTAGACCATGTTCACTCCACATTTAAGTTCTGAAAATAAATATTTGTTTAGAATAAACGTAAAAAAGTATTTTCTAATAGGTATTACCTGTTTGGGGACACTTTGAAGGTTCTACGCAGACTTGTTTTTCATTTCTTACGAAACCACTCTTGCAATCACACCCTGCGACGCAGACTTCCTTACATATCTTTGGTTTTGGATCAATTAACAGATTGCTGCAAGTTGCTGGAGTTAATGATTTGCATTGTTTGTGTTCTTCGTTTGCTGGACATTTTGCTGGACAGTCCTTAATGGGCACGCAAACGTTTTCAGCATTTAGCGCATAGTCTTTGATACAGAAACATCCAACTTTGCATTCTTTAGTGCATACAGGATCCAAGTTATCACATTGTTTTCGCAAGTATGACAGGTGCTGTATTCCATGTTTTGTGGACAACGAATTTCTTCAGGTTTGCATTCCTGTGGTAAGACACACTCCTGTTTGCTATTCATAACGTATCCATCATTACAGACACAGCGTTTAACTCCGTCACAAAGTGCCTGAGCAAAGTTCAGATACATGTTATCACAACGCTTAGATTCAATACATTTATCTGTGTATGTAGAATGTTGACAGCATTCTGGTTGTGGGCATTGCGATGGTAAAACACAGGTTGCGTTTTTCTCAGAAATCTGTAGCAAACCTTGTTTGCAGTGACAACCTACGGTGCATTTCTTGTTGCAGTAGTCTGGATATTGACTTTCACAAGTTGGCACACATTTATCTGATTTGCAGTCGTAATATTCCGTGTTTGGATCTTTCTTGTAGCACTCCAGATCTACATCAGAATATGAGCAATCACAGGGTTCCACACAGACGGATTTTATGCGATCGTAACGATATCCAGGTGGACATATGCAATCATTCTTTTTGTAATCTGAGTTTTTGTTGCCACAATAGTATAATCGTCCCTCATCGGTAAATATCTTTGTTTTCGGGCAAGTCTTTGTTGGTGGTTTGATTGGACAGTCTGCTGGAGCTACACATGTTTTGTTTGTGTATGATACTTGGACTAAATGTTTCTGGCAGAAACATCCGCTAATGTAATCATCAGTACATGCGCGTAAATTCAAATTATCACAAGTCAAGACGCAGCTAGATGACTGACGAGTTCTATATTCAGTATTGGGATCCTGTTTTTTGCAAAGAGCATCTTTTGATGATGTTGATCCGGATCCGTCATGTTTTGGTTTGGATTTGTCTTTCTTGGAATCATCTTTCTTGGGTTTTGATTTGTCCTTTTTTGAATCGTCATGTTTAGGTTTTGCTGGGTCTTTCTTGGAATCATCTTTCTTGGGCTTTGATTTGTCCTTTTTGGAATCATCCTTTTTAGGCTTAGATTTGTCTTTCTTGGAATCATCTTTCTTGGGTTTTGATTTGTCCTTCTTTGAATCGTCATGTTTAGGTTTTGATGGGTCTTTCTTGGAATCATCTTTTTGGGTTTGGATTTGTCCTTCTTGGAGTCATCATGTTTGGGTTTTGATGGGTCTTTCTTGGAATCATCCTTTTTGGGTTTTGATTTGTCCTTCTTAGGATTATCGTCTTTAGGTTTGGACGGGTCTTTCTTGGAATCATCCTTTTTGGGTTTTGATTTGTCCTTTTTAGGATTATCGTCTTTGGGTTTGGACGGGTCCTTCTTGGAGTCATCATGTTTGGGCTTAGCCGGATCTTTCTTTGAATCATCTTTCTTGGGCTTTGATTTATCCTTCTTGGAATCGTCATGTTTAGGTTTAGTTGGATCTTTCGATGAAGTATCTTTTTTAGGTTTTGATTTGTCCTTCTTTGAATCGTTATGTTTAGGCTTCGATGGATCTTTCTTTGAATCATCTTTCTTGGGTTTAGATTTGTCCTTCTTGGAATCATCTTTTTTAGGCTTTGATTTGTCCTTCTTGGGGTCATCATGTTTGGGCTTAGACGGATCCTTCTTTGAATCATCTTTCTTGGGTTTTGATTTATCTTTCTTGGAATCATCGTGTTTAGGCTTTGATGGATCTTTCTTTGAATCATCTTTCTTAGGTTTTGATTTATCTTTCTTTGAATCATCCTTTTTGGGTTTTGATTTGTCCTTCTTGGAATTATCTTTCTTAGGCTTCGACTTGTCCTTTTTAGAATCATCATGTTTTGGCTTGGATTTATGTTTGCTTGAACTATCTTTCTTATGCGGTTTTGAATCTGGTTCTACTTTTGGGCACTTCTTTTCAGCAATACATTTTCCATCGGTCTTATCTAGAACGTAACCCTTCTTGCAGAAACATCCAATATGACACTTTTTATCACAAACTGGTGTTTTATCAGCGCAAGTACGCCTACATGTGCCACAGAGCAAAAATTCTGAATTGGGATCCTTTTCTTTACAATCAATTTTCACATCGCAATCCGTTGGTAAAACACAATTACCATTGGAAGCCTCAAGATATCCTTCACGACATCCACAACCCGCTTTACAAATCTCTGGTACCGGTAATTGACAATTTGCATTCACACATTTCTGATTAAAAGCACACTCTTGATACGTTGTATTTCCTGAGCAAACAACTGGATCTACCATTGGACAACTTGTTTCTGGAATACATTTTCCTGTTGGACTACTCTTGACATATCCAGACAAACATTCACATCCAGGTGTGCACATCATGTTACAAATCGGGTGACGATTGCAACAAGTACGCGGACAAGCTTGGCATGTAGAGAACTTAGTATTTGGATCTAAATCTTTACAATCTTTGTTCTCCTTGGATTCTGTACACATTGTCTTGTCCACACATTCACCAGTTGCAGAATCAAATACCAGATTATCATTACAATCACATCCATCCTTCATAGTAAACTTTGGTTTTGTTGTTGATGGACAAATAGCACAAGAATATTTCTTACCAGTATAAACCATATTCACTCCACATTTGAATTCTGGAGGTGGGCATTGTGATGGACTCACACAAGTCTGATTATCATTTCTGACAAATCCACTCTTACAATCACACCCAGCAATACAAATTTCCTTATGTATCTTTGGTTTTGGATTAATCAAGAAGTTACGGCATGTATCTGGATTTAAAGATTTGCATGGTTTGTGTTCTTCGTTCTCTGGGCATTTTGCTGGACAATCCTTAATGGGTACACAAACTTTCTCTGCATTTAGGCATATCCCTCAATACAGAAACAACCAATTTTACATTCCTTCAGTGCAAATAGGATTTAAATTATCGCATTGTTTTTCACATCCATGACAAGTGCTATATTCCATGTTTTGTGGACAACGAATTTCTTCAGGTTTGCATTCCTGTGGTAAAACACATTCTTGTTTGCTATTCATAACGTATCCATCATTACAGACACATCGTTTAACCCCGTCGCAAAGTGCTTGAGAAAAGCTAAGGAACATATTGTCACAACGTTTGTTTACAGTACATTTATCAGTGTATGTCGATTGAATACAACAATTTCCTTTTGGACATTCTGATGGTACAACACAAGAAGTGTTTGTTTCTGAAACTTGCATCAAACCAGGCTTACAGTGACAACCTGTTGTGCATTTCTTATTACAATAATCTGGATATTGACTCTGGCATGTTGGTAGACAAGTATTCGACTTGCAATCGTAATATTCAGTATTAGGATCTTTCTTGAAACATTCCCAATCTTGTTCAGAGTAAGAGCAATCACAGGGTTCCACGCAGATTTTCTTTATGCGATCATAGCGATATCCAGGTGGGCACACACAATCATTCTTTTTATAATCAGAATCTTTGTTTCCGCAATAATACAAACGTCCTTCGTTAGTGAAAACCATTGTGGTTGAACATTCTTTTTCAATAGGTTTTGATGGACAATCTACAGGAGCTACACATGTTTTGTTTTTGTGTGATACCTGCACCAAATGTTTCTGACAGAAACATCCACTCATACAATCATCTGTACAAGCAATTGGGTTCAAATTATCACATCTTAAAACACAGCTTGATGATTGGCAGCTTCGGTATTCAGTAAGCGGGTCATGTTCCTTACAAAGTTGATCTTTTGTTGGTGTGGTTGGACCTCCAGTGCATGATTTAGCAGTAACGCATTTTTCTAATGTTGTGTCGTAGAATAAATCAACTGGACATACACAACCATTATGGATGAGTTTTTCTTTCTTATTGCATAGTTTCAAAATACCTTCTTGGACCCATATCAGGTTACTAGGACACTTACATTCACTGGGATTAACACAAGATTTTGTAATTTCATCATACCACTTTCCATTGAGGCATCCACAGGTGTTGTAAATAAAGGTAGCTGGTTTAGTGCAGTATTTCTGATAGGTCATTGCAAAATAGGTTTGACCCGAAGGGCAAGTAGGTTGTGTTACCACAGTACAATCTGATTTCTTCACACAGGTCTTAGCTTTTATGTCGTAACTCATTCCCTTTGGACATCCACATTTGTTGCTTAATTTCTCCGTGCATGCTCCACAATAATCCAAAACACCAGATTGGGTATAAACCATGTTACCAGGACAAGAACATTGTCCAGGAGCAACGCAAGTTCCAGCATATTCATCATACCAGTTTCCATTTAGACATCCACAGTCATTGTAAATCAAAACACCTTCTTGGTGACAGAACTTTTGGTAGGTCATTGCAAAGTATGCTTGTCCAGATGGACAACTTGGTTTAGGAGGTGTTGCACAATGAGCAGTTGGCACGCAGGTTTTGGAAGTGATATCATAACTCATACCTTTAGGACAGGCGCATTTGTAACTAATTGCTTCTGTTCCAAGCCCACAATAATACAAAAATCCAGATGTAGTGTAGACCATGTTTCCAGGGCATGAGCATTGTCCCGGATTAACACATTTACCAGCATATTCATCGTACCATTGCCCATTGGGACACGCACAGTCATTATAAATGAAAACCGGAGCTTGATTACAGAAAATTTGATAGGTCACAGCCGAAAACACTTGCCCAATAGGGCAAGTTGGTTTTGGGGGTTTGGTACATTCCACGGTCAAAACACAAGATTCAGATTTGATGTCATAACTCATTCCTTTGGGACATCCACATTGGTGTGTGATAGCCACACTTCCAATACCACAATAATCCAAAGATCCAGATAAAGTATATACCAAATTAGCAGGGCATGAACAATGTCCCGGGTCAACGCAGGTTTCCTTCCGTTCATCATACCATTGTCCATTTAGACATCCACAATCATTATAAATGAAGCTCCCTGGTTGATTACAGTACAATTGATAGGAAACAGAATGATATCCTTGGGTAGCAGGGCATTTTGGTGGTGTGGTACCAGAGCAATCCTTTGTCTTCACACAGGTTTGCAACTTGAGGTCATAACTTGTCCCTTTTGGACACACGCAGGTATTGCTCACTTCCACACTACTCAAACCACAATAATCCATGGTTCCCGAAGTTGTATAAACCAGGTTACCAGGACATGAACATTGACCAGCATCAACACAAGCCTTTGCATATTCATCATACCATTTCCCAGTTGGACATCCACAATCATTGTAAATGAAAACAGCTGGTTGGTTACAGAATAGTTGATATCTCACAGCAAAATATTGCTGACCCTTTGGACAAGTAGGCAGAGGAACCTTTGTACAATCCTTGGTCAATACACAGATCTTCAACTTGAGGTCATAACTCATTCCCTTGGGACATGCGCATTTGTTGGTAATACTCTCCGTACCAGCTCCACAGAAGTCCAAAGTACAAGAATCAGTATAAACCAAGTTCCCTGGACAAGAACACTGTCCTGGTTTAACACAGGTCTTCGTATTTTCATCATACCATAATCCATCACAGCATACACAACCATTTTGTATGGTAACATCCGGTTGGTTACAAAAATGTTGAACAGAACTCTTCGTAAACTCTTGACCAGCTGGGCATTTCTTAGGAGCATCACAATCCTCAATCAAAATACATTCCTTCTTAGAATTGAGGACATATCCAGCATTACATTCACATCCAGCTTGTTTTATAGCCATACAATGAGGTCCAGTCAAAGTTTCACAGGTTGGTGGGCATGCGGATACTCCCAAAGCAAAAGTAGCATTCCCCTGACATGGACAATGTTGTAAAGGTATACATTTACCAGATTTATCTCTGGCATACCCTTTGATACACTGACAACCATGTTTACATTCTGTATCTACACTGGTCAGGTCACAGCGGATGTCATTGACGCAAGCCACGTACTTTTCATTTCCTTTCTTTGCGCATTTCACTAACAATTTACGTAAGAAATTTAGTACAGATACTTACCTTTGATTAAACTTATAACTAAATCTTACCTTCACATGGTGTAGGTGGGCATTCTTTGAACGGAACACACACCTTATCATCATTGAGCGCATGACCATCCTTACAGATACAAGCCTTCCAGTTCTCCAAGCACATATCGTGTTTCTTGCTGTTTGAACGATGACTGCAAGTTTTGGGATATATGGGGACACAATCACTGTAGATTTGATTCTGACCAAAACAGGGACATTTTTGCCAGGGGATACAGGTATTAGTGGTTGTATCTAGGACAAATTTAGGGTTACAATAGCAACCTGGTTTGGTACTAGTGACAGGACGTGGTTTTAGACACGTGGCTTGACTTCCACCGTGAGGAGAATAAGCGGAATTATCAGGGCATGCTAAACAAATAAAAATAAAAATCACAATCAAAACACATGAATGGGTTTGAAACCTACGTATTGGGCATGACTTCTTTGGAATGCAGTTGCCATGCGCGTCACGTACGTAGTCCTCCTTACAGAAGCATCCCACGTTGCATTTCTTATCCATAGGAAGATGTTGTTCGTGATTATCACATGTGGGTTCAATTGATGGCCCACATGTCTTGTACTCTTCATTGGTCTCACATGACTTCCCCGCTGTGAGAAAGTTTTAGTTTTAAGTGAATTATATTTGCCATTTGTGAAAACTGCGCTAATTGGAAAAGTTTGCTCCCCGGGCAATGCAAATATTTGAATGTGCTTACCGTCGACGCTAATTAGGGCCGCGGCGAGGGCGAGGGCGAGTGGTAGTAGTCGGAACGACATTCTCACTGCTGGCACATGGTAATTATCTAGGTAAAACACTGGAGCCGCACGGAATTGTGTGATTGTAAGCAAAAAAGCTGCACTCTTATATAATAAATTCGTACACGCAGAGGGCACGAATCTGCGTGAGTTCGTGCCATTCCAAAAACTATGTTCTCGTCGAGAGAGAAAATCGATCGTGCAGAGCACATTATGCAGCTTTTGCGGAAAATTGATGTAATTTAGGTGAAACGCTCGCGAGATTAGCGAAATTATTATTTTGCATGTTCACTTATTTAATATACGTGGAGTTTCTCATGTCCTGGGAAATCATTGCAATAAATTGAAAATATATTGATAACATTATACATGTTAATTAAAATCAACGAAATCATAATTTACATACGCATATATTGCACATGTTTTCATATACGAGTATAAATACACCGAATTAAATTGAAATCACATCGATACATCGAAATAATCCATCCATCATGAAGTGGTTCATTCTGGCTGCAATTTGTTTCATTGCCTTTGTATTACAACGAATTGATAATGTCGAATCTCAAACAGCAGGTGATAGCAATCAACAAATACTAATATAATTGAATTGTATTGGGTTTGAATTTGAATTTGGGGATTATTTACTTTCAATTTTGATATTACTATTAGCAGGTCAGCAGTGTGGTCCCAATGCGACGTATTTAGCATGCGCGTGTCCTTTTACATGCTTTAATGTGAATCGAGGATGTGGAAATCGGTGTATTCCTGGATGTCAATGTGATGATGGGTTTGCTTATTTTGGACCTAATTGTATTCCGTTGGAAAATTGTCCTCAAAATGGATATTGAATAAATAAAATTTCAAAAATGAAAAAAATGTTTTTTATAAGTTTTATTAAATATATTAAAAATAATAATAATAATTAAGTATTTTATAAAATAAACAAAAAATAGTATATTATTGAATTTAAATTTTTTTATTTTAAATTTTTGAAATTTGCTCTTATACTATTGCTGCATCGACACAAACAGCATGGGATTTTATATGGTAGGAAATTGCGCAGGCGCAGGCTCCACCCCGTGACTAAAACCCGTGACTAAAGTATATTAATCACAGTTTTGGTAATTAATGTTTAAAATATCGTTTGTTGTGTCTCAAAACCGTGAAAAACTCACAATTTAAAAGTAGATGAAGAAAAAAATAATTATTTTATGAATTTAATTTATTTTAAATCAATTTTTGTTTACTTTTGTACATAACATAGTTTAGAGGACTTTAACTGATGCAATATGACCTTCTGGGCAATTTTTGACGCATTTTCCATCTTGGGTGCGTGTATAATGTTTTTTACAAAAACAACCTGGTGTACAACCAACGCAAATTCGAACTGGAAGGCCGCAGATTTCTGGACACTTTGGTCCACATGGGTTGTACACCTCATGATTTGCTGAATCACCTGAAAATTAAAAAATTTAAAAAATGCATATTTATTCAATAAATGCAAATAATTACTCCATTATTAACAAAATTAATATTCTCTATGATATCTATTAATTTTACTTACATTTTTCATGTGATGGTTTAGCAGAAACTAAAAAACCGAAAATAAAATAATGAAAAATACAAAAATTGGCTTCATGATTGCAAAACACAAAAATACAACCTGGCAAATATTCCTCTATATTTATACCCAATCAATACACGTAATTTATCACTAAAATTTTGTTTGAACAATCATTTGTGCAATAAAACGTGCAAAATCAAACTTTTTAGTCCCCATTTAAAACACACACTAAAATAAAACTAACAAAAAATAAAATAAACCGTAAAAATTCCACTCAACAAAAATTTTCCGCATCAGATAATTGAGTTTACGTGCTTTTATTGATAAAAACATAAATTTTATACAACTGCGTCAAACAATAGCAACTCTGATGAATGCAATTTCATTATATGACGAGTTATATAAAACGATAACCAATTTTATTGTGAAATGTCGAAATATTTAATTAATTATCAAAAAATATGAATTTAATATCAGTATCAACTTTCCACGTAAATTAAACGTCAATCCACAGGAAGTATATAATCAGAATCAGGATTACAAAGTAATCAAGAAGTAAAAATGAAGTTTTTCAGTGTTTATCATTTATTTTTCGCTGTTATCATGATATTTTTGATTAATTTTGGTAATACTCAAGGTAAAAATACAATTTCTTTCATTTATTATTTTTTATGATACTACAATGTATTTTAGAACCTTGTGGTCCTAATGAGACATTTGAAGCTTGCCCTTGTTTGGTGACTTGCGCTGATCCAGCTCCAAATTGTACCGAAATCGATTGCAGACCCGGCTGTCAATGTAAACCAGGATTTGCTTTCTTCGAAACTGAATGTATTAACGCCACAGAGTGTCCTTCAACTGCATCAGTATAAATAAACACATTGAGACGAATTGTTTACATTATTTTATTTTATTCACAAACAGAATATCTAACGCCATCTACTGAACATATTTCCAACTAATATTTATGTATTGCTTGTGTTTCGAATAACAATGTTTTTCAATCGCATGCGGTTTACTCCTGCGGTGGTGTCGGGCAGTCCTGCCGCAGGACACAGCTGCTGTTTAAGTATACATACCCCTGGACGCATTCGCATCCCGGTCGGCAGTCGATGCACAGCGAGCTGAATTGATAACATGACTCCGGGCAGGCGCAATCTACGTAGATCGCGTTCGCGCCGCACGGCCCTGTAATCGATAACGGCAAATATGAATATTTATTCCATCAATATTTGATGCGATTGCAACTGGTACCTGACTCAGTGACATTCTGCGCGCCAATCAAGCCTATGACAAGCAATGCAGCGATGATTTTCACCAATCGATGCATTGTTAAAGTGTTTAAAACAAAAATAGCAATAATTTGGTTTTATACTTGTATTTTTATGCTTGGATGAGTAATCAACTTACAAAAGAATTAAATATTCATTTATTTTTGTATTACGAAATATTTTTATCAATTTTACGTTGTTTTTGATTAAAAAAATCAAGTTTTATTTTTTGATACAAAATTTAAACGATTTTTAATGTATTTTCACCAATTAAATGTTTGTTTTGTGTTTGATAGGTTGGATTTAAATAAACTGGACTTCAGTGATTTATTTTAATAGAGATAGCGAACGGTTAATTGCCTCAATTAATAGTTAAACGAGTTGAACTAACGCACATCGATTGCCTGGAAACTCAGTCAGCTGTGAAACAAAGCAAAATGAATAAATAATCAAACTAAAAATTTTCAACTTTATTTTCTATTTATTTATAATTGATGTAAATTTTCACATTCGTCATAAGTCTGACACAAACCGGTGAATATATTACGAGCATAACCGGGTTTACAATAACATTTCGCGTGGATTTCACAATCAAAATGGCAGCTGGTGAGTTCTCCAGGAGCGCAAGTTTCGTCACAGCCACATTTTTTCAATTCTTCGTTTTCTGGACATTCTATGATTAAAAAAACAATTAAAAAATGATTTTTTGTTGATTTTTAAGTAAAAAACTTACGTGTATTGTAGTTTTTTGCTTTTTTAGCCGAAACTACACTTAGTATAATTAATAAAACAATAAAAATCGTCCCACGCATTGTTTTAGTTGTTTAATTTAAAATTTAGTAATTTTTTGAGTTTATATAGCAGTGAAATATCTGTTTTTATCTTAAACTGGTTCATAATTAATTATAATTAAAGTTTGTTGACGTTTTGACCTTTTTTAAACCAACATTTGACCTGGCCGTTAATTATTTGCATTATTTACCATCCTGCTGAATTCAATTCTATTCGATTTGCTTTGTTCCGTCGCATCCGCGAAAAAGAAAAAGGATTCCACAGCAAACACGACAGAATCTACTCGACCAAGATAAACACAGTCGAAAAGTAAATAATCTTATAAACCAACAGCGCAGAGTGCACTCTTACGCGTACGAGTAGCCAATGTAAAGAAATCAATCTATACTCTGTCCGTGTACAGTGAACATGTGAACATGTGTAATGTTGGTTGCCTATAGTTATTCTTTCAAGTTGGGTTAAAGTGAAAGAATTTGAAAAGCAAGTATTTGACCATCAATCAGCTTGGAAACACACGTGTATTGTCCGCTGTCTGCGGCAGAATATCTCCTGGCGGCGGTGGCTGTGGTGGTGGCGGCGCGCTGTCTCGTCCACTCGTGTGTTTCATCCACGCGTCGCCATGACGACACGAAATAGGTCTATAATCGATTCGCTTATTACCTATAGCCGCCACTCTCTTACGCGTACCAGCGTATGTCCAGCCGCCCCCGGTGATACCTGTTGGGCACAATGAGTGCACACCGCGCGTATTTTGCGGTTTTTCATCCCTCCACTTTGCAAATTGTCATCCATTGCGCTCCACCGAAAAAAAAAACACTCGCTTACCTCAAAGGCTCGTCCGTAATTAATTTGTGCGCTGCCCTCGCCCTCGCTGGCATCGATTTATTTATTTATAAACTCGCCACGTACTCCAGGCAGCACGCTCTATAAATATACATAATGACGTGGCAGGAATTCGAAACACACATGAATTGACGCCCGAAAATATACAAATTTATTATTAACCTCAGACAATTCCAAGCGTATACGAAAAGAACTAGAGAAAGGACGTGCTAAAAACCGTGTTTGAAATTTATACGAAAAACGCTCTCCGCCCCTAATCACGCAGCGTGCGGGTGAATTTCGTGCGCACGCAACCCCGATTACCTACTTGATGTAATCGTGGAAAAGAACCCACTTTGACATTTTCTGCACGAGCGCCACCCCACGCCGAAAACAACCAACAAACTTCTTTTCATGTCAAACCCGTAATTGCGATGCCAATCAGCACAAAAAAAAACATACACCGCATACAGTTTGTCGTTGTAACCCAATCCTAATCATGATTAATGTCCCACGAAGTGATTTATTGAGTGAAAATTGAGCACACAACATGTATGCAACCCAATATACAAAAGTTTTCTTATTACTTTAATGTGTGTAATTGCAGATTGTTCGAAGAGCACGCCGAGCTCCTGGAACTGTTTGAGAAGTTCCGCGACATGCGCACGAAGGAGGACCAAGCAAATAGTCTCGAACTGGCTGAACACGCCGGCACGGTGATGAACACCCTCGACGAGGGTATTCGCGGCATGAGCAGCGAGAACCTCGACTCATTCTTCGACTATCTGCATCAGATCGGCGCCTCGCATCGGAAAATACCCGGCTTTCACGTCGAATATTTCTGGGTAAGTAAATACACCAAATGGCGGACGTATCTAACCTCGAAAAACTTTCCAACTTGATTATTTCGCAGACGAGTAATCAAAACAAAGTTATTCATGCGATGCACAACTTTACTAATTTACTAATCTAGCTAATTTATTTATGACTAATTAAATAATTTTATTTTTATGTTAAACATGATTTTTTGTAGATATTATTGGAAATATCGGCGTGTTTAACATTTAAATTACACTTCCGTCAAACGGAGGCGAAAACCTTTTGCGACGCAAAAGAAAAAAAAGCTTTTAACTCGGCACTTTTCTTTACTTTGGGGTTCCATGCTGTGCGAGACGCCTTTTCCAAGTTTTCCTCCTTGTTAACTGACATTTCATACATTCTCTTTCAAGCTCCACGCTTCGGGATCTAAAATTTGCGAATTCCGGCGTAGATTGAAATAAATTATTTCTCTGTCCACTCTCGGCACATCTACACTACGTGATGTGACTGATAGACTCGAAAAGTACTTAAATATTATAATTTGAATATTTAATTCACCTTAAAACATAAATTTCTATGAATTTACAAAAGTAATAGTCATAAATAACCCGGTGACTTGTAAAGTAATATAAAATTCAAGATGGCGTCGTAAATCATGATTTCTTATTACCATTTGTCACATCATTCTTTTTCTCTTATTTTTATTATTTCTTTGACGTCACTGAGTCCTAATAAACAACAAATCTGAAAACGTGACTGTAATGCAATATCTTGTTAGTACGTAACTTGTTTTTAGTTTCGTCAGTCTCATGTTCCGCCGTTATCTGCTACTTCCTGTTTCTCGAGTAGATTGCACACATACACTGTGTCCGCAAACAATTGAAATTAATTCGAGTGGCATAATATTGTTCTGCGAGTCATGCTGATGTCTCGGTAATCCTCTAATGTCTAATGCAACATATAATTTAATAGTTTTAATGTGCGCCATGTTGTTTCGGGGCGCACGTCGCTTATCGTCCTCCCATCTGTATTTAGGTGTCATATCGTAATTTCATGTCTGGCGTGCGCGCTACGTGCACAATGGCATCGGGGGCGCGTCTGTCCCCGCAGGGCAGCTCGCAAACTTAATGAGACAAGTTTCCTCGAGAACGGAAACAATCTGTCAAATGCAAGTTACAATAATATGCTTAGGATGATCATATTGGAATAAAGATGTCGAGGAAGATTTGTTTTCTTGGGGTTTTCTTTTGTGGGGATAAGTAGGATTGAAAAAGGTGAAAGTGGAGGGGGTAGGGGGTTTGAATTTACTAATAAAAAGGGTTAGGAGTTGAATTTTGAGGTTAGGCCACGATTTTTAACCTTTAAATGCCTAAAATGTATTTAGGAGCACCTGAAATTGAGCAATATCCGCAAATAGTAGTGGGGTAAGATCTTACTGTTTTTTATCTAAGTACTACCAACGCCTGACGGTGCTTAATTTTTGTAATACCTGGAAAGGGTAAAAACTTGAATTTTTGGGGTTAGGATTTGATTTTTAACCTTTAAATGACCAAAACATGTTTAGGAACTCTAGAAATTCACCAATACCTGCAAATAGTAGTGGTGGTAAGACCATCAGTTTCCTATCCAAGTACTACCACTTCCCAACGTTGTTTAACTTCAGTAATAGCTGGAATCTTTGGTTATGTATCATATTACGACCATTGCCGTAATTTACTAATAATATTTGATATATAGTTTCCTACGAATGTTAATTGACGGGTGCACGGTGGTATTTGAGTGACCATTAACGGTGTACATTATGAAATGAATAATTCAGTGATTTTCACACGCGCAAACATGAAACTGCGTTCACAGTCCGGCCCGGAACCCCGGCAACCCAAAATACGCCCCAGTCGGCACCTAAATAATAAATGGCGTCGACCTCTTACCGACCACGTGGAAATAACTACATTTTCACGCTTTCCACGTGTTACAAGTTGAATAAACCACCGAAACACTTCAAAAACTTTCACCAGATGCACGAAAATTCAATTCCTGGACGCTTTGTTCGAATATTGATAAAGTTTCAAGCAAAACTATAAAGTTTTATGCGAATTATTAGTACGAAACGCAATATAAACTTAAATTTAATAATTTTATTGCGTTTCTGAATGTATTTATTGATTATCCACTAAATAATTACATCTATGTGTTTTAGAAAATCGAAAAACCTTTCCTGGAAGCCGTGAAGACAACTCTCGGCGACCGCTACACCGAAAACGTCGAGAACATCTATCAGATAACGATAAAGTTCATGATCGAGACACTAGTGACCGGCTACAATAATGCAAACGCGGGTGCGTGAAGCTAACTCCCAAACCCGCAGCATACAAATGGCGTCGTGCGTATCACAACGCCCTCTACAGACGACCAGCTGACGCATTGTACCTCCCATAGTACACACGCAGCGGCCGCGCATTGTAAATAAAATAGAACACAATTACACTGAAATTATTGTAAACATGAAATATACAAAACCAAACAACAACACGGAACAAGAAAGTATTTATTTTGTATAAAAGCAATTTGTCGACTGAAAACTTAAAAAAAAAAAAAACGAACTCGATACAATTATAAGAGCTCTAGGCTTTATATAGCTAAACAAAACACAACTAAAAATAAATATTTAATGTACCTTTACGAATATATAAGAATATATATATATATACATATACAATTTGCTAAATGTAACTTTAATGTACATATTTATTATTTACGTCTAGTCGACGAATGAATGATTGTTACGACTGGAATGATAACACACTGCACCAAAACCAAAAAATTGCAACTCCAGAAAATTCGAGATTCCATAAGAAATTATCATAAATGTATTTCGTTGAATTCTCCATCGATGTGTTTGTTTAATTGAATCATTAGACGTGTAGGTAAAGAATGACATGATTGTTGTGTAGTTTGCTAAAACTAAGACTAAGAGAATCACGTGTTGTGTTATATTCGTTAGAAATTCGGTAAAAAACCTAAAAAAAACAACAAAAACACTTTTAAACAAGGGGAAAACGTTAAGCTTCATAATGAAATTACACGCAAAACTTAAAACGCAATGCAAACTGTTAAGTAACGAGCACGGGTTGCAGTTATTGCGCCAGTAACGCCATCTATCGGCGAACGGCTTATAATAACTGCAAATTGTGCTCAAATGTATGTAATTAACTAATTTATGTAATAAAAATAAATATATTTATGTTTTTCGTAATAAACAAATGGAAAAAAGCATTCGTTCGTGTGAGAAACCAAAAAAAAAAAAAAGAAATATTATACGATAAATACAAGTAATAACAATATGATACTTTACAATGTAATCGGTATCGTATTCGAGCGCGGTATAATTGCATCAATTGTGTACATTTATTTGTTTATAATCGTATACCTAATACTCGTGTTTGTATTATGTAGGCGGACAAACAGCGCACGCGCAAATTTCAATTGGTATTGTGTAAACGTGTACCTAATATCATATATAGGTGGCAGCAGTGGGTACGTGAAAAGATTTTACATGCACCGTGATAATTGTTGTAATTATCGTTGGTCAATTGATTGTCAATTTATACAAAATTAGAAACTCTGTAAAATTATTCCTAAAAATTCCCAAAAAAAATTAATTTTATGATTTTTTAACCTAACTTTTTAACCTTCAAACCTAAAACATGATTTCTCTGCGATTATCACTGCCTGTTTTGGTTTTATTCAGAAATTTATCTTTAAAAATATGATTTTAAAGCTTATTGTACATAAAAAATGGAATTAATGTATCAGCAGAAAGAATAACAATGTTTAGCTTTGTGTACAATAGTTAACGTTTAGTAACAGTCGAGAAACAATGCGCTAAAGGAAAGATAAACACAAATTAAACGTTTGTTAATGAATAATGATAAATTATGGTTGATGAGCGGTCGTAACGTGCAGAAACAGAAACAAAACGTAGTATTTTGTTTATAAACTACAAAAATATCTAGAAAAAAACAAGTTTTCTTTGATTATTTGTTTAAATACACGTCGTAACACACATCACACACATTTATAACACTTAAACATGAAACAAGGTATAAAATCGATGAAAACGCAAATGTTTGGCATTATTATTGTTATTTGTGAACTGAGATGAGTATATAATCTAAATAGACGTAAAGGATAATTATTATAATGTGGTTTTATTATCTAGTTGTTGGATTAATTACAAATCGGTTTTTCCGTCAACGTCAAGTTTTGTGTATTTTGTACGTTGGGTTGCCTATATTAAAATTGGAAAGCGCGCATAATTCAAAATGGCTTCGCCTGCGGCACAATTATACAGCTAATGATCCAACAAGTTGTCGTAAGCTTGACTGACCTGACTCACAGCACATTCCGCTTCATTGGCTCATTCGCATTATCGCTTTCAAAACCCAAGCGTTATTTGTAACCGTACAGCCGTTGTGTACTGACTCAAAAGCGTTTTTCTCCGAGTGCGTCGATAGTGATCGGGTGTGAGCGTCGATAATCGAAAGTTCGATTTGTTTACACGCCAACCATCGAAAAGCGATAATATTTTTGGTTTCAGTCCACGTCCGATAATCGTGCAAACTTGTGTGTCTACTATGTAAACTGTGAAAACAAATTTCAAACAAAATGTGTTCCTAAACTAATTTTATATTAAAAAAAAAGTGCGTAAAATAAAATTTAAAATGTTTCCAAGACTAAAAAGCTTCGTATTATGTGTTATTTTATTTCAAATATCAGGTATGTATATATTTTTACGTATAAATTGTCTCATCAAAGTAATTTCGAAATTATTTGTTTTCCTCAACCTTCAACAAGTTGCTAATATGATTAAGTGTGCGCAAACATCAATTCTCTTAATTGCCTGCGCCCTACTGCCCCTAATCAATCTAATGAATATCATACCCCGCATATTTCTTCATCCAAACAATCAATAAATGTATTTCTGTATCAAAACACAAAAGAATCACTTATAACCTTGTAGTTTTAAAGTCAAAATCGAGTAATGTGAAGGTGAGCGTCATCATGACTTAACTTAAGTCAGATATACTAAGAGCAGCGATGTTGCAACGCGTTGTGCATAAAACTATGACTAACCCAATGAATTATTCAACGTTTAAAGAAACTTTACGCGCGTGTGATTATCCATCTCATACCTGAGTGTTGACACTCGCGCCTGACTTAAGTCTACTCGTAAGTAGAGGTGATGCGAGCACCGCGCCTCGTTGGAAAGCAAATAAAATAAACGATAATGTTTTGATCGGTGTGTGTTTACAGCCAAGTTAAACAATTTTTACATTTCCAACATTATCTCCGATGATATACTTAAGTTTAATTATCGCTGTCTGTAAACCTACTCAGCGTAATCTAAGACTGGATTTTGTTCGCCTGAGATATTGTCAATATCAATGCGTAAAATCCCACGATTTAAAAGATATAATATTTTTTATTTGAATACAATTGTAGGCATTTTCCTCATGCACCGCAAGATGTTTCCGATCTTTTACGCGAATTATGAATATGCATCACTGTAAATTACACCACTTGGCAATAATATTTACTTAAGCTAGTTAGCTATCGTCATAGCGCACAGCTTGTGTCAGAGAATTTTGATTCTCAAAATAAATCATTCTGCAAATATTGCCACTCATCATTTGCTTTGGAATAGAAAACATGCAAACTGCAATACTTTTAGCAAACATTCAGCTTCCATTTTTATGTTTATCGTGATTGAGTGACATTCTATTTATATAAAATGGCTGCCAGTGGATGATAACATTGATACATTGCAGTATCTCTGGTTGCATTCTTCTACACATCAAAAAATGCGTTTTAGACTTCATTTTCATCGTGTTAACATTAATTCATATCTGAAACTTCTGATTGTGATTAACATGTGGGATGTATCCTGCTTGAGATAAATTTAATTCTGAAAGGAAATTGTGCTTTTAAACACAAATTTAGTTAAATCTAGAATATAATCTTTCCGCAAATAAATCTCAGGGAAATTTCGATGTTTTGTGCAGTTTATTCCATGATTAACTTAACGTCAAGTCGAAAACTCAATCGTAAGTTACGACTTGCTTATTGCTTATCGTACAATAACATTCATGCGTTTCAGGAAGCGGTCTTCCGGTCACTTTTACGCGTTCATGTAAACTGTTAAAATATTCCGTTTAGAAATATATTTATTCATCATAATTCAATGGAAATACAAATTTTTATTTTTTCTCTGATCACATCGATACTCAACCAACTGCTATCGTACAAACACCTCGTGTGTTTACCGAGATATCATCATTGGAATAACAAACACACATCACACCAGAAAACTGCTTTATAATGAATTTTATCGAATAATACTTATTCGGTTATTTATTTGGTGCGCATTGTGAAAGTGAAAGCGACTTTCGAATGTGCATCGCAACGTTTCCATCATGTGTAACCTTGTCGGCCATTTTGTACACAGTTAAATGACCTTAAATTACTTTAAATTTCAGACACGTATGGATATTCACCACCATACATCGACCTTGCTTCCGAATATGTCTTATCTTCTGGTGACAACTTTAACATCACGTGTACAACACGTGCCAAACCATTATGGTCATACCCTTCGCGGAACACCATCAAATCCATGTCTAACATTAGCACTGCAGTTGAGAAGTTACACAATGATTTGAACTACAAATTCAAAGCTATTTTGATGATCCGCAATGCTTCCTATATGGATACCGGATATTTTTATTGTCATGAATTCGGGAGTACCTTTGACAATAAACAGAATTCATCAAAAATTTACCTTTATGTTAAAGGTATACCTGAATATCAATTTAAGAGAAAAAAAATTTAAATTAAATTTTTATAGATGATACTCATTTATCTGTGGATGATGAAATGACCACTGTGCAAGCAAAAGCAAAGGTTTCCGAAGTGGTCCTACCATGTAGACCTACCTCACCTGATGTCCACGTAGAACTACAATACGCCGGCGAAAACATGGTACCTTTTTAACTTAGCTTCTTAAAATTATTTTGTGCTGTTGTAAAAGGCTTAACTTGCGGCTTAATGTGTAATTAGGTAACCTACCTTCTTCCATTCAGGGTTCTAAAAGGTTCTGATGTAATTAATTTCTGGAATAACACCCCACCTTCATTTGGTGATGTACAGTACTAACAGGTTGCTTATTGTGTTGTGTGGCATGTTATTAATAGGATACTTGGATGATGGTTCAGGTGGTGTTAGATAAAGAAGATGAAAATGGTATGCTATTCACCTATCACCCGCACATAGGTTTCACAATTCATCGGAGCATCTCCGCGGTGGAGTTTGATGATTTCGCTGAAATTTTCATCTGTTATCTACGACTAAACGATGTTGAAGTACAGGAGCATTATAATATTCATTATATACGTATGTGTTTTTCGTTTTATTGTTTTCATACTAACTGTTACTAATTTTGTGGGTACCATCAAAATTTGTGGTTTTTGCTGACTGGGCTTGTGTTGATCAATGTTTCTAAGAATATTTTCGTGTGATATCAATGAATAATACTTACAGAATCGTCCGTTAAATAAAAGAATTGGGTTTACCTTCAAACCTCTGAAACTAAATGATACCGGGATATATAAATGCATATTTGTGCATCCGTCACCAGATATTAAAAAGGAAGAGATTGATGTGTATTTGGTGGTGCACCGTAAGTATGGGATATCAATTATCTTGGTGTCTAGTTTAATACAAATAAATTCACTTGGTGGTATTCTTCAAATCAATGAATTCACTAACATATTAACTACTGCTTTGAATGGCACACCTGAAAACCAATTTTTAAACCAAATTTGTTTTATATTAGCTGACACATCCTCCATTAGGACACCTGAATTAAAGGATCATAGTGATGGTCATACCATTGAAGGACAAATTCTAACTCTCAACTGTAGCCTAGGAGAAACAAATATTCCCTATAATTTTTCATGGGATTACCCTAAAGGAATAGAGGTAAACCATTATTAACCGAAATATAACATTTTCTATAAACCAGTTTTACATTAGATGGAGAGAGTTAAAGAAACAACGCATGTAATCAAATTCGGTCATTACTCCCTGTTGACCATCACAAACACAACCAAAGCTGATACTGGTTTATATCAGTGCCACGTCAAAGACTTCAACGACAACGAAAGCAACGCAAAAATGAATATAAGCATACATGGTATTGATGAATCGTTTATAAAAATCACTGAAGAAAACGAATTGAACAAAGAAGATGAAATCATAGAATATGCCGGGAATAATGTTTACATCAACGTGGATATCGAAGCACACCCCTTGGAGGATCTAGTGCTAAGGTGGTACCATGATGGTACCTTAATCTCCGAATGGGCTTACAATACCGAAGGGGGTACCAACACTATCTATCCAGACTCCAATAAACATTCTACGAATTATACTCAGCATTATTCTCTGATAGAAGTTAAAAATGTTTCCATATATGATTCTGGAATGTATACTATCGAAGCAAGGAATAAGAAGACTCGTGTTGATATGACATTTCCTTTTAGTATTCATGGTACCCATCTGTAAATCTAAAAAAAAACATTTTTTTTTAAATTTTTTTTGTTTTTTAGATAAACCACATGTCCAATTGAATGTGAGCAGGTTTAATTTGGTTAATAATATCAGCCGTGTTATTTGTATTACTAATACTAACCCACCAGCAAGTATTACCTGGAATTTAACTTGTTTGGATGAGGGTTGCGACCTTAGTAATAAAATGAATACAACATTTACGAGAAAATTTCAGACGTATTCTGAACTTGAAGTTGTCGCTTTAGGTCGTGGAATTGTAGAATGCGAAGCCAAAAACTACCTGGGAACTGATACACTTATCAAAACCTTTAATGTTACAGGTACCTTTAATTAATACCCAACCAGAGACAAAAAAACTAAAAATTTTAATAAATTCCAGATGTCCCCAATGGTTTTGAACTGATTCCATCTGAAAACCTGATTCTAAACCCAAACGGTAGTAAAAATGATTACCTGGTACCCCAAGGTGACCAGGTAGTCCTCACCTGCAGAGCTTCCAAGGATACTTTCAAAGATATAAAATGGACCTTTAATAATGAAGAAATCTTTGAAAGTAATGATTACAAAATTGAATCAAGTTTCACTCAGTATTCAACAAAGAGTACCTTAACAATCAGTAACACCAGAAATGGACAATACAATTGTACCGTCACCAGATTCTGGTCTAAAGTGAACAATGTTTACAGGAATAAAACAGATTCACTTAATTTGTTAGTGGTACCATTGGTACCTGCTCGTATAGCAAATTCCAGTCTACAAGAGGTTCTCTACATGGACTACCCGGATGCGTTGAGTATGACCTGCTACTATGAAGGTATTCCACGTCCAGAAATCATGTGGTTGCACAATGATGTGGTAATACCTTTGAGTAATCGTACTGAAATGACTGAAGGTGGTCAAAGGTTAACTTTTAAGAAGACTTTTGATGATGATGATGGTATATACACTTGTATAGTTCAGAATACACAAGGTGAAGATCGATTGTCCATGGAGGTAGTCTTCAACAGTACGTAAAACTCATCAAAAACAATTTATAACCATATTATACTAAGTAAATGTTTACAGATAAACCATTTTCGGTTATACTTTTGGTAGTGATCATCTGTGTGCTGTTTGTGACGGTTATCGTGATTGGAACTTATTCAGTCATTCAATATCGCAAGGAACAAGCCCGGATGAAGAAACTGAAAGCTTTGGGACTTGATAATTTCAGAAAGGGAGACATTGATAAGATTAACCCGGATCATGGTCTTGCCGAGCAAGCAAGTTGGTTACCATATGATATGGAAACATGGGAGTTTCCTTTTGATAAGTTGAAAATGGGCAAACAACTTGGTTCCGGAGCATTTGGAGTTGTTATCAAAGCAGAAGCACGTGGTATCCTCCCAAATGAAGAGACTACCATTGTTGCAGTGAAAACAATCAAACCGGATGCTGATGATATGCATCTAAGGGCTTTGGGTTCAGAGTTGAAGATCATGGGTCAAATTGGGAAGCATCTAAATGTGGTTAACCTCCTTGGGGCTTGCACCAAAAATTTATCCAAAAGTAAAGTATTCTAAAAATTTGTTTCCGGTTTTTATATGAAATTGTTTTGCAAAACAGGAGAACTTCATGTTATTGTTGAATACTGCCGGTATGGTAACATGCAGTCATACCTCCTGAAACACCGCAGGCGTTTCGTTGACCAAATTGATAAAACAACCCAAAAGTTTGATTTTTCCATCGGAAGTGAAGCCTTGGAACGATCATTGTCTGTATCCAGCTATGGCAGGTAATTATTAGTGTTTATATTGATGGTAATGGTTACTAATTGGTGCTGGTGTGTTTCTATCAGTCCCTCAATAACAAGCTACAACCGTAGTGTCTCAAAATCCTCAAATTCTGCTTATCCTTTAAAATCATATCCTCGCAGGCACGAATACAACCAAAGTGATGATTGTACCGGACAAACCCAGAATACAGATACCACTGCATTATCTACAGGTATACCACTTTCCAAATTAACTATTGCTTTTATTTTACTAAGAAAACTTTTTAGAGAATACAATTACAAGCAGTGGAAGTGGTAGTGCCCCAAAATGGAGGTTAAACTACCGTGGGGATTACACAGATGACCAGGAACTGGTCTACAGTAAAGACCTCATTGTATACTCCTGGCAGGTAGCCAGAGGGATGGAATATTTAGTCTCCCGAAAAGTTCTACATCGGGATCTAGCAGCGAGGAATATTTTGCTAGCTGATGATAAAGTTGTGAAAATCTGCGACTTTGGTCTTGCAAAGGAGACTTTGGACTACGAGAAGAAGCAAAATGATGTAGGTCCATGAAATATGACTTAAAACATGACTTAATTTGAGTTTTATTATTATAGACACCATTGCCCATCAAATGGATGGCAGTGGAATCAATCTGTGACAAGGTATTCTCAACCCAATCAGACGTCTGGTCCTACGGGGTTGTTTTATGGGAGTTCTTCTCCTTAGCCATGACCCCCTACCCAGGGATATCAGTGGATGACAATTTTTACGTCAATATCATCAAGGGTATTCGAATGGACAAACCCAAATTTGCCACGGATGAAATCTATCAGATTATGATGGAATGTTGGGAGCATGATCCCATAAGTAGACCTGGGTTTGGGGAACTAGCAAGTCGACTAGGAGAGATTATAAGTCTTAGTGATAAACAGGTAAGGACCTACCATCAATTATTCTCCAAAAAAATTAATTTTTTCCAAAAAAAATTTCAGCACTACATTGATCTAGATGATCCCTACCTGGTTGCAAACACAAGACCTCAAGGAGAATACCTCCCCATGTTCGCCCCACCAGATTTCGAACACATCACAGCAGTACCAAAATACATCAATGACCCATCCCCACCACCCTCACATCGCATCAACATCAACCCTGGGAATACCTCAGCGTATTTAGAAATGAAATCCCCGATGCCTTTCAGTCCTCGTCCCGAAGGATATCAAACCAACGCTTTTGTGTTTGACAAAGGTAACAGGGACAGTGGTGTGGAACTACAGCCGATGTTATCTCCGAAAGCATCAAATCAATACTCTGACCGAAGTCCAACCAGTCCGGAGGTGGATCTGACCAACAGTATTTCAAATCCAATGTATCACAAGTTCAACTTTGAAGACCAGCAGTATCAGAACATTGGTGCACCTGATAATTATATAAACATGAGTGAAAAAAAGAAAGTGGAGCAGAACAGAGTGAAATCACAGATTCCTACTGGGGAAGCATGTTCTCCGAAAGTACCTCTAGCGTTTAATAGTGTAGAAGGAATGCCAAATAGTTTGCCAAATATTTACGACAAACAGAACAATACTGAGGAAGTGCCATATGTGAATTCGTCAACACGAGATTGGGACCGAGTGGGGAATTGTGTAAAATAACGTGATCTCTGAATATGTTTCAAAAGTGTACTGTATAAATTCTACGATTAAGTTTTCCAGTATATCTCATGCTATTACGACACGATACCTTTTTATTTTATAAAAGATTTTTGTCTAAATATATTATTTTCGAAAATCCATGGTTACGATATGAAATTTATGAACATAAACTTCAAAACTTGGGTGAAACCTTTTTGGTTGGGTGGATTTTTTGGATTTTTATGATCAAAAACCTAAATTTAGAAAAAAAAGAGCTATTTTTGAATTTATCAAAGGGTTTTTATTGAGTAAATCCAAAAACGGGGTTTAAACCAACAACACAATGGACACCGGGGACCCTACCGTTAAAAGCACGCGGCAGAAGCTCTTGCTTCGCATGAAGTTCAAATACTGCGTAAGGCGTGTCATTGCGAATATTTTCTGGTTGGAAGACGAGGGACGGGTAGTTCGAAGGAAAAGTGAAGCTATGGACAAGCGGCCATATTTAAACTTTGAAGTATATAACCTAAAATAACCTATTAATACCACACACATTAAAATATCCATTTTATAGACTAGAGTTTCCCTATGCCAGAAACCCGAAGGGCGTAGTTCCACAGATATCGACAACATCGTAAATCTTTTAATGCAAATCAAAGATTTTCGAAGATTTTCAGTACATAACCTAAAAATTTTCACGAAAAAAGCAAAAAATTAAAAAATATCTTTTTAGTTTAATTTTACTAAGTTGGCTAGACACGTCGAATACCAAACCGTACAAAGTCAACGAATAATCATCCGAGAAAAACACATCGCGGACGCATTGTATGTTATTTTATCAGGCGACGTGGTTGTTACCGCCACATCCAACGATACTCAAAGAGTTCGGTCCACTCTACACGCTGGAACCATGTTTGGTGACTTTGCCTTGATATATGACCAACCAAGATCTGTTTCTATAACAGCTATAAGTACATAATAATTTTTTTCATAAAATTTTCCCAAAATTAAAAAAAAAAATTTTAATTTCAGCAAATGTAGAACTTTTGGTGATAACAAAAGCAATCTTCAACCGTTTCATCAGAGAGACCTTACGCTCCCACTATTACCTCATAAACAAAGCACTTCTAAAGTTTCAATACTTCAGCAGTTTTGATCATCGTGATATCGCCGAAATAAGTTTCTACGGCCGAGTCCAGCAATACAAAAAAGGCGAAGTGATTTATTCCAGCCGAACAAACGAAGACATGACTTGTTTCATCCTGGATGGCACCTGTGACATCATGGAAGTGCTTCGTGTCACACGTAAAGTCGACGTCAAAGGCAAAGATCACTTCAGTCACTGCCGAAGTGAGAGTTATGGCAGATCCACCGTTTCGGAAGATCAACCCACCGGACTAGTGGGCGCTCCAATTCAACGCTCAAGCAGTGTGAAAACCAAATTTTATCATAGAGCAACCGTAAACGAAGATAACTGGCAATTGTCACAATTAGGAGCCAATCAGAAACGAGTTAGTTCTCCGGAGAGTTTCATCGGAATGTTTCAGGATGCGAATCGATTTTCCCAACGGAAATCCATGTCGGTTTATCGGGGAAGTATGGTGTCCAATAGCGAGAAAAAAACATCTTATGAATTGTATAAAATGCGCAGGAGTTACGTTCGTAATAGTGTAACCAATGTAGAACCGCACTATATGAATATCGGAACATTCTTCGAAGCTTCCTGTTTCAACATCGGCGAGAATCTGGACAGTCGATGTATAGTCGCTAATGTAAACATGAAAGTCTTAGAAATACCACGAAAAGTCTTGCTTAGACAACAGTCTATTGTATGGGAAGAAGTAAAACGTATGTTAAACTATTACGTACCTACGAGTCAGCAAGTTTTCACTAAATTCCTCAAAGATCGCGCGTATCGCGAGTGGAAACGTAAATTATTATCTGAAATAGTCACACCACAAATCCTCCGGAAGTCAGGGAATCACTTAAGTAATGTTCCGTATTCAATCCGAATTCGGAATGACTTTGACCTGACCGATTACTACCACAAGATGCGTTTTTCCACGTACTGATGTAATAAATTTATGCAAAATTTAACTGCCAAGCGTTTTAATGAGTGTGCTTGTCGTAATTGCTGATTGCAGTAAAACTGCACACGTTTCAAATTATCCTGCCGATATTGGCATGTGCGCTGTGTCGCCTGCGACAAAGGTGCTTGAGAGTTTTGTTCCGTGGAGAAAAGCGCGGAAAACCGCACGGATTCAAGCACTTCTTGAGTGATGAGTCCTCGAGGCCTTTGCGTCACACACAGGCGCACGTGGCACGCCACATACATGCATATACACGTGGTAATCATGTCGCGGATCACATTCTCGCATTTTTTCGCCAACTAGTCGCTTGGATTGCGCCACCGACTGCAGTTGAATACAGAAAATGTGGTTTATATTTAATCACATCCGGGCGTTCATCATATCACTGGCCATGTTGTCTACAATCGTCGAAAAACATCCTGAAATTATAAAAGTTGTAAATAATACAAATTTATCTTTAAGTGAAAATAAAACCAATGAAATTGTGACGAATTTAACAAAACCAAGTGAAAATGTTGTGAAAGACTTAAAATTACGCAATAAAAAATACCGTGATTTTATCCTGGCGAATAGCACGCAGTACTTCGATGGGAAGATTTACATTTTGGGACTGTTCGAGCTGTCTACTCAATATGGCCGCCGCAAACAAGGGTATTCCGAGGTGGCAGCCGCACGACTCGCCATTGAACACATCAACAAAATGGATTACGTTCGTGGATACAAATTGGAACTGCTCATCAACGACACGATGGTCCGAAAACAATGTCAATACATTTAATTTCGTAATTTATCATTTCCTAACCTAAAAAACCAAAAAAAACGTCCCAGCTAAAAAATACCAACTTAACCGATGAAATTCCAACGGAGACATTATTAAATTCCAATTTTACGTGTTCCACGCTAGATTAAACATGTGTATGCATGTGATTGATGTGTATTTGCATTGTATTTCGGTTTCAGTGCGACCCGGGTGCCGGAATCGATCGGTATTTCCACGCGCTTTATTCTAAGAAAATCGTCACGATGCTGTTGGGTACTGCGTGCTCGAATGTCACCGAAAGCCTGGCGAGCATTGTTCCATATTGGAATATTCTGCAGGTACAATGCGAAATTGTTTATATTAACGTTTTTTTTTATATTAAACTCTGTAGATATATTGCTGTATCCGCAATTGTGGGACATAAAACACTCAAGATGTCGCCGAATGTCTGCACTCATGACAATTAATTAATTATCTGCTATTGTAGCTTGTGTTTGAGGCTTTTTTCGACTTCTATGCTTTAATATACGACCTAATGGTAATTTACGATATCCTTTGACATCTTCAGCGTCTACGATTTGCTTAAAAGCCGTGCATTAGCGAGCTCTAAGTGAGACATTCAATTTTCTGAATGAAAATCTTTACTTTTTTCTCTCCCAACCACTTTTTCAGCGTTTTCTTCTCTTTTTTCATTCAATTTGCTTGTTTCTGTCGTGAATCCTTTATTCTCTTGAAATGTCTTCGGTTTTTATTGGTTTTTAAAGCGGGTTTTTCGAACATTTAAACACTTTTGCTTGTTTTCAGCTGAAACCAAATGAATTTTAAACTGTTTTTGATCTGACTTAGTAAATATTTCCGTCTGCTTTTGTTTCATTAGGTCTCATTCGGTTCGACATCGCCGGGTTTATCCGACCGCCGAAAGTTTCCATTGTTTTTCCGCACGGTGACCCCCGACTCGTCATTAAACGACGCCCGCATTGCTCTAATCAAGTATTTCGGCTGGAATACGATTGCGACGTTCGCCCAGCGTGAAAACGCCTATATGTTGCCTCTGAATGGACTTGTGGCTGGTCTGGAAGCTGCCAATGTTGACTGCTCAACGTCCATCACGTTTTCTCTTGAGAACTATAAAGACCAATTGCGGCAATTGAAGGTAAAAGTAAATTTGCGCAAATCTTGCTCTTTTTTAGTTCTTTTGTGTGGTTGATGATTACAGCAATCGGACGTGCGAATTGTCGTCGCTAGTTTTTCACCAGCGTTAATGGAAGCCATTTTTTGTGAGGTTAAGTTTCAATATGGGAAATTTCTACGAAAAAAAAATGATTTTTTGATTTTTAGGTTTACGAGTTGAAAATGTACAGATCTGATTATGTTTGGTTACTCCCCGAGCGAAAATTGCATTTTCCCAATACGACAATTTGCCAAAAAGGTCACGTCTCGAAAACTCTGGAAGGTATCATCACTGTTTCGCATTACAATAAAATGCCGTACGATCAGAAATCAATTTCAGGCTTGGTAAGGCTCCCCATCTGAAAAAACATAACACAAATCAAAAAATTCATATTTCAGACAAACAAAGACTTCTCCAAACTGCTCAACGACACTCAATATTCAAAATTTACCTACGACGCAGTCTGGACAATGGCGGTGCTTCTTCGTCAATTACAAAAGTCCCAACATCTCAACCTGAGCACATTTTATTACGACCAGGACGATTTCGTTGAACACATGCTGGAGGAAATGAAGATTCTCCGATTCATGGGCGCATCAGTTGAGTCCGCACACATTTTATTTACGAGTATTGAATTGGAAACAATTTCAGGGTCCTGTGAGCTTCGCGGGATCCGATCGTGTCGGCGATGTGCACGTGAGACAACTGCAAGAGGGTAAAAATCGAGTCATCGCTTACTATGACTCAACAGCCGAACGCCTCACATTCAAATGCGATGAATGCATTCGCGTCCGTTGGCAGGGCGATGCAAAACCAATTGCCAAGCGTGTTCTCAAGCTGCGTCTCGAAACGATTTCGAAGTATGCGTTCTACGTGATCGGCGTCTATTCCACGATGGGGTTGGTTGTGTGTGTGTTATTCTTCTACTTCAACTTCCACTATAGACGCATTAAAGTCGTCAAGCTTTCCAGTCCACGTTTGAATAATATCGCCGTGTTGGGCTGCGCGCTGGTCTTCATCGCTGTTATTCTACTGGGTGTTGATTCGGGGACTTTGATAAATATTCAATATTTTTCACAGTTATGCACTGTAAGTCCATTAAAAACAAATTTTGATAAAAAATTTTAATATTTTTATATTCAGGCAAGAGTTTTTCTATTATCCGCTGGTATTTCAATGGCTTTTGGTTCAATTTTCGCAAAAACCTACAGAGTACATCGTATTTTCACCTACAGCTGTACAACACGTGATAAACTCCTACAAGACTGGCGTTTAATCATCATGGTATTGATGCTGGTGGTTATCGATGGCTTTGTGGTTACTCTGTGGATATTCGTTGACCCTCTGCAGCGCAGGTTGCATAATCTCACGATTGAGGTTAGCGCGACTGATCGCGCTGTCCTCTATCAACCGCAAGTAAAATAACCTCTAAACCCAAACAAAATAAATCCAAAATTCATCAAAATATTAATTTTAGGTGGAAGTCTGTCGTTGTGTGAACACAACAAGATGGTTCCTGGCAATGTACGGCTACAAAGGTTTTCTTTTAATAATGGGTGTGTACATGGCATGGGAAACACGGCATATTAAAGTGGAAGCGCTCAATGATTCACAATACATCAACATTTGTGTGTACAGCGCTGTGTTTTCATCAATAATGGTCCTCCTGAGTAATTATCTCACCGAATACACAATCATTTCATACTTGACAAGAACACTCAGTATACTTGGCACTACAACATTAACTCTTCTACTTTTATTCGTACCTAAACTAAAAGCCGTTTTTGGGATGGACAACAGGAACCTATGGTACCAGGACTTAGAATTGAATCAAACACAAGAAGATTAGACGCAGAAGATCCCAATGAATTGACTTACAGAATGTTAGTCCAGAATAAAGTCTACAGATGTGAATTACAAGCTTTGGACAAAGAAATCGCACGTTTAGAAGACCTCCTCTTGAAAACCAAGGACTACAAATCAGAACGCTCTAGTATTACAAGAGCTTCATGGCCATGTGTTCAGATATACAACGTTTCATCCCGATTCATGTCTCAAAGTCAATTAAATCAGCTGGATGAGGAGACACTGCCTGCTGAAGACATTATCGATGATAACGACTATGAATATGAATTATCGGAAGCACCTGGCGAGACGAAATCATTCGGGAAGTTTCTACGTGGTATTTTCGGCCGGATGTACTCGATAAGTGACCGTGGTGAGCCAATGGATGAATCCATGCCGGAATCCACGCCGAACGATGAATTCGATGCGCACTTTGAGCGCAGTAGATTAGACGACAAACACCGGTGTCGCATTGATATCGAAGAGCATATTTAATGAGCTTCTCCATTACCTAACGATGCAGGAAGAGGAGCGCGTATTGTGTAGCCATAGGAACCGAGCGAACTTAACCTAGATCGAATAGCTATCGTAATTAATTAATAAACAATGGCGGATGGGGGATACATGAAGCTTTCTGTAATTATCTGGAAAGCTCGAGGGAGTGTGCAAGTTGTGAAGTGCAGTTTGATTGCAATTACATTTACAGAAATCAAAAAATTTGATTTTTATGTTTTTTGTTTAAAAATGAGAGAATTTAACATGTCAGCTTCCGGTTTATAATTGGCATGTTATTGAAACATCGGAAATAATATTTGTCTGTGCAAATAGTGAGGGGTAACTTAAATACGCAACAATAATAAACTACTAATAATTTCAAATTTCAGTTATTAATAGAATTTCATAACAAACTTTTTGTTTTTTTAATATTTTTGATGAATATTCATATTTTCTTCATTTTAAAGCATCAAATGTATTATTTTCATTAAGATTTGAGTTGTTGTTTGCGAGTTTTAATGAATTGCAGGCAGATATAATGACATTAAATAATGACTTGAAGTTTGCCGACTTCCATGCGAGCAGTTGCAAGCAGTATCGATTCCACGACTTGAATGCGAACTTTGTAGAAAATCTAGATTTTAACGCTTCGATTGCGACGGATTTTAATTAAAGTAGAAAATAGATTATAATGAAATTATGCCTGATGAGATCTGGCGTGTTATCAAACTACAATTACTGAAAACTATGAAATTATGCTTATAACTATGATAATAACATGACGTTGTGTACATGTATCACACGAATTGCTAATAAATTTCGTTTCTCATCTGATACACACGTTCGCTGGCTGATAAAAACATGTTATCTGCTGTGTGTAGCGCGCGAGTTCGAGTTTATCACGATGTAAACACACTACTACCAGGAAACTATTGTAGAGAAGTAAATAAACAAGGTGGAAGTGATTTTAGGTGGATAAGTGCATTGTAGCGACATCTAGCGGCGCGTCAGGGAGTTATATTTAAGTAAGATGCACATGCATCACGTAAACTCACACAGACGCGACTTATTTCAATAAAATTCAACGTAAAATCACTTCTACACGAACAAAATGGATTACAGGTGTGAAAAAACGTTTAAATTTGTCATTTCGTGACTTGTATCACTAGTATTTTCACAATAAACACCAAATCCCTACTTAATATTATAAATGCGAAAGTCCTGATGTTTGTTACACTTTCACGTAAAAACTGCTTAACCGATCATTATGAAAATTTGTACACATTTTCTTAGTGGTCCCCGAATGGTTATAGGCTACTTTTTATTTAATAAAAATAACTATTTTTAAAATAAAATAAAGAAATTGTTTAGCCAATAATACCTCTGCATATGGCTATTTGGCTACTTTAACGCCATCTAGCATTCCAGCAATGAAGCTCAAACCTAAGTACTATAGTACCATCACACTGTATTATCACACTGTATTACCGACAGCTACGTCAACATCAAATCCAATTGACTACACTATGGAGACTGAACACTATACTTCCATAGACTATACTTTCAGCCATTTTAAACTTCCCGCCATTCTACTTCATTGTTACTTCTTCTGTGACTACAGACGCGTACGGAAGCAACTTCATTGATTTAGATATTCGCGAGTGAAGCCGCGAGTTAAAGCAAGTAAATAATAAAGTCACTAAATTTCACGTTTTTTGTAGTAAAACACTGATTTTTATGTTTAAATATACGTTTAAAAGCAATTAAATACTTCTAAACCACGTAATAATTAAAAAATCATATTTTCCCAACAAAAACATCAAATTTTTCTTCTTAAATCAACGAAAATCAACAAAAAATACACAAATTTATAACAATAACTTAGGCAACATAATATTCATTAAAATTTATACCGAAATTTACACAGTTAAATATAATCCCATTGCGTGTTGCTTATTACTATTCCTGCGGTAGTTAAATGTTCGGAAAGTTTGTCTTGGCAGTTTCGCAACAAGTTACAATAAAGCCTGCACTAATTGCGAGGATTGCAGGAACTCACACAAACCGATGTGCTATATTTATTACATTCGTAACTACAAACCATCTGAAGTAAGTTACAGTAATGTACAATATCAATTTACTCTTGTACCTCACGCACTGATACAACGCGCAAATAAAGCAAAAAATACGATTTTCGGTGTTTATGTTGGTTTATTTATAGATTTAGATCAATAAATAATATCCGCAAAGATCCATTAGATCAGAATTTTATCCAGAAGTTATTTTTAGTATTTGTACATTATATTAATTGTTCCGTGACGTGAAAACGCCAAAAATACACGTGTTTAATTTAATTGTTTTGTGTTTAATGTTAATTGTAACAAAGGCAGAGTCCACATGAAATCCCAATCGACAAATGTTTTAATTTGAACACGCGTGAGTTCAACGATTACGAAATAGTGACAGCAGCAGGTAAACATTGCAGTTTCAAACAAATAAACATCGTTAATTTAATTAAGCTCGTAGATAATTGCCAACAGCGCACTTAAATCGCGCCGAATCCAATTCCCGAACAAATAATTTTAATCATTAACACACATTCGGTCCGAAATGGAAATTTAACCAAATCGACTAATTAATGTATCAGCCATGGGTATTTGTCGAAATTTTAATCGAAAAAATAATAAAGTTAGCGTTTGTTTTCGGCGGATTTAAAACTTTCGATCTAAGCTTATAGGAAAACAATTTTTTATTTTTTTGTATTTTTGATATATTTATACATGGAGCGCGGGTGTGTTTAATTTTTGCTTTGCTTTTTGCTTTGCTTTGGTGTGTTTCAGATTGAAATTTGAAAGCATAGGAACATTGGAAACAAGTGAGAGTGCGATTATATCGCTTGCTATTGTTTGTGCGGGTGGAAAAGCACAATGAGCGGGTGAAAATCCAGCCTGGGGTCGGAATAAAGTTTGTTGGAGCGGACGCAAAGTTGAAAGTCATTTGCATTTCTCCCACTGGATTTATATTTATAGCTGTGTATTACTAATTGAAAAACGGTCATATTTCACGCACTTTATTAGTACATATAAATCATATTATAAATTAGAATTAATAAAATAGAAATAAACGTAAATTATGAAAATTTTGACAGAAAAATTAGTTTTCTTAAGATTTTCGTGATTTTCGTTAATATTTTTTGTTATTTTTATTAGAAATTGATGAGAAATTGATAATTATCATAGATATTTGAACATTAAACTAAATTGCATTAATATTTTACTTGTTTTTGGGTAAAAATAACACAAAAATCGATTTTGAAACATTTTTTATTAGCTTTAAAGCAACATAACCTTAAAAATAGGTTATTTTACGATAATTGTAAAAATTGTTGTAATTTTTATGGAAAAAATAGTGTTAACCCAATAATTATAAGAGATATTTAAAGATTAAACAAATTACAGTTGAATATTAATTGTTTTTAGACAAGAAACAACCTAAAAATCAATTTTAAACAGTTTTTAGAAAACTTAAAGCAACATAACCTGCAAAAATAGGTTATGTTATAATTTTACTAATTTTTCATTTAATTTTAAGCAAAAATAACCTAAAAATCAATTTTTTATTGAACCTAGAGCAACATAACCTCAAAAAGTAAATTTTAGGTTAATTTTTGTCTATATTCAGGAATTTTTCTGTTAAATAAGTAATTATAACAAATATTTAACCACAAAACAAATTATTTTAATGTTTTATTCAACACCTCATCTAAAAAATCCAATTCCAACCGTTTTTATTTACCCCAAAGTCCACATAACCTTTTATTCTAATTAAACTTTTAATTAAAAACTATTTACAAACAAATCTAAATCGCTGGCTAGCATCACTCTAAGTTTGTGCTTATTTTCGCGTTAATTTTTTACCGGCTTGCGTTGTGTTTGCATTGGATGAATGGCACAGATTTCGGTTTGCATACATGACGCCGCCGTCAGTGGGGCGGCAATGAGGTTGAATGGAAATGCGGTGTGTGCTCGTAACACGCCGCCGTCACACACACACACACACACACACCCACATCGGATAGGTGCGCGCGGGCGTAACGTGTATCCTGGCAGGAGCAGGAGCAAAAGCAGGAGCCGACAGTGTTACGCTCGGGATCTTTTACAGTCGGTCCTGGTACGGCGTCTTGCGCACATCGCGGACGCGCTCAATCCGATTCTCGCAGTGAGGAACTCGTAAACTTTACCAAACTATCATAAAATTACCAATAAAACAAAAAAAAGTGAAATAACTTAAATTAAAAAAATAATAATTTTAAATAAAATTAGTGAGTGTTTTACTAAAAATAAAAATATTTAAAAAAATAATTAGTGTAGAGTATAGATTTTCACGCGAGTCATAAATAAAGTTTGAAAAAAAACCTCGGCGACAGTTTGGCACCAGTCATAGAATGAAGGTCGCATCCTGGCTGGACGCCAGGACTTTTCTCTGCCAATGCCATCGTCATTCCACGGCCATTGCATGCATGACCCAAGACAGACGCCTCTCTGTCTACGAAAACTATAAAATAAATTTATATACCAACTAAACATCAAAAAAACTTCAAAAAAACACAAAAAAAACATTTTTTTTAATTTCAAAAAGTGTGAATATGAACGAAAGCGATTTCAACTTCAACATCATGTCGAACTTGACCGTCTGCGACCACACTTCACCGGATTACGACGTATGGCTATGCCTGCAGATAGAAATGGGCCCACAAACACTCAGCCTGCAAACGGCCGTCCCGCTAACAATTCTCAACGTAATCATCTTTGTCACCGGCCTGGTGGGCAACATCTCCGTATGCTTGGTCATCGTCAAGCACTCCAATCTGCACACGGTCACTAATTACTATCTCTTCAATCTGGCGATCTCAGATTTAACTCTATTAATTTTTGGTGAGTTTTTTGTGCTTTTCTGAAACACCCTGTATAAAAATTAACATTTATTGTATACAATTATAACACGCCTTATCAGTTAATCGCAATCAACGTCAATTAAGTTTTATTGCGCGCCTAATGTGCAAAGACACGACTCATGCGTCTATTAACAAATTAAAGACAAATTGTGTCATTCATTGTAAAGTGTAAACAGTGAAAAAGTCACACGCTGCACTAATCAGTACTTTATTAGCGTAATTAGTCTACGAGCATAAATTCAGCTTAATTAAACACAATATTATAGAGGTATTCATCCAAATGAAAGAAGAAAATGGAAGAAAACATGCAATTTAATTAATTTTTCATGTTTTTGTGTATATTTGGTTGTCTAGTTTCGGGCGTCATGGCAACCCGTGGCTTTTGTCTAACTTCACCAAACGCAATTTGTTTACACGCGCTGTTTTGCGGTTTCTTCGCCGCTGCTCTGTCATTGCCTACCGCATGATTTTTCTTTCTGCAACTCGCCTGAAACCCGCTCGACCGCGATAAAACTTACTGCAAACACTGCAGGATGCCTGCCTGCAGACGTAGAACAATGCGAAAGTGATAATGCTCGCTTTATTATCTCGTATTCGAAGGTTTTGGGTTTATGTGTTTACTAAAAATATGCTCTTTGCGAGGGATATTTGATATGGTGAAAAATAGCAATGACGGCTAGTTCGTTAATCATAATAAACGACCTCGTGCGGAAAGTGGAGGCGCCGGGCGACCGCAAAAGAAAATTATAGGTTCATCCGATGAGCATATTACAATAGGGTAGGCATTGGATCCTATGTCACAGGGAGGAAACTGAAAGCACTAAATCACGCTCAGATAATTATTACTTTCTTATCGGGTGTGTTTAGGGGATGGCCTGGTGATACTTAAAAAATGTGTATATTGGGTTGCCTATGTTGAAAAAATATATATTTTTAGAAATTTGTATAAAAAAGGTTTTTAGATGGAAATATAAATAATTTAATTAATTTTGTATTAAATAAAATTGATTGTGTTTAGAAAAAGACCTAGTGACACTTAGGAAATGTGTATATCGGGTTGCCGATGTTAAAAAAAACTTATTTTTAGAAATTCGCGAATAAAAAACGTTTTTTTATGTTTTTAAAAGGAAATATAAATAAATTAACTTATTTTATATTAATTAAAATTGATTGTGTTTAAAAGAAGACCTAGTGACACTTAGAACATGTGTATATTGGGTTGCAGATGTCAAAAAAAATTATTTTTTGAAATTTTACAAAAAAACGTTTTAAAAACCTTTTAAAAGACAATATAAGTAAATTAACTGATTTTGTATTAACTAAAATTGATATTTGATGTTCTATAATCACGTTAATTTAATTTCTCTGTGTATATAACAATTAATTAATACAATATTGTCTTACTTAATAGAATGGTATAGAATTCGAGGTGCCTAAAGCGGTTTGAGTTTCACACAGCGTTCTGTATCTAAAACCAATTAAATTCAATTACCGGAAATCAATTAAACACAATTTATTGCACCCATCGCGCAGATTTCCGCATTTCTGTCATTTCTAAATTGATCACTCATCCACAAAAAACAAACGAGCACTTCAATCATTCCTCTTCACTTATTTTATTCTATTTTCGTTTATCGATCACATGCATATACATCATGCACATATTACACATTCCAAGCAATGTTCTGCAAGAAGCGCGTCTCATAAAAGTAATATTGTCCGATGGTGCAGCAAAGTGGCATGTATGCAATCCGTATTCATATGTAAAACTAATGTTGGACGCCAGATCAACTCACCGAGAACGCATATTTCCGTCGTTGTCGTTGTCGACCACTTCAATTCTTTCGATTGCATTTCTCTGTTTAGATTGGCGTCGCGCGTGACGTTTATTGAAGCGACATTTAAAGTGGTAGGCGTTCGTGTTGACAAAAGAAAGGATTACGCTACCAAAATATTATCTTGCGTCATCGAAAGCCATCAGAAAACAGTTTAGGATGATATTTTATGAATTTACTGCTTTTTCGTTAATTTTCGTAACTTTAAGGCATGAAAATGGCGATTGTAATTAACCGGGAATTGTTGACGGTGAAACTGTGTTTGTATTTCATTTTCTTCCCGCTTGTTTGCTTCTTTATCTCAAATCAGTGGGGTATTTACAAAACCGCACGCAATACCAACTCTTTTATGACGCTGCGAAAGCTCCTTTTTAACGAAAAAGCTCATAAAGCGCTTGAGACGCTTTTATTAAATACGCTGGAATGAACAAGAATATAACACATAAAATTAATCAGTTTAATAGACAATTGAGTAGAACTTTGTAGTATACAAAGTAAAATTACAGGTTTCTGTATTTTTACCACGTAAAATTACAGTTTTCTACACTTTCACTGTCAATTAAACCATTATAACCTAAGATAATGCAGTGTCCAACATAAAATTACAGTTTCCTACATCTCCACCTGTCAAAAACCCACCAGAACCTAAAATAACTAACCTACAAAAATTTTAACGCAATATTTTCATTTATAGACCATAAAAATATCTCTTACAAGAAAATTGCTTGCCAGTTTATTAAACTCCTTCAAATTTTCCATTGTTAGTTGTAAAACATAAAAATTTCATGTAGTAAAACGAAAAATTCCAAGTAATATCCGCGCACATAGCTTTATTATCAATTGTGATGCAAATTGAAACACGTTTCATGCGCACGCACGAAAATAATGACTTGTTGTCAAATATGCAAAACATGGCGAAAAACAATCATCACGTTTTCGGGTGTACGTTGTGTTGCAGGGCTGCCATACGACGTGGCTGTCTATTGGCATCAATATCCCTGGGTGCTCGGCAACGCGTTCTGCAAGTTTCGCGCATTGTTATCCGAATGGTGAGTGTTTCCTGCAATAACACACACTCTGTGAACATTCGGAGTACTTGCTTTACAACCTCGCAAGATATATTATCTTGCATAACATAAGCCTGGGCTTATGTTTGCTATTGTCGTAGATATTTTGACAGCCTTTTCGTAACGAAAATGTTTCTTTTTGATGTCCTGCAGGGCGTCTTACGTCTCCGTGCTGACAATTGTCGCCTTCTCGACGGAGCGCTACTTCTCCATTTGCTATCCGCTCTATCTGTACAAGATGGGCGGGTTGCAGCGCGCCATTAGGATAATTAGTGGCATTTGGTTTCTTAGCTTCTTTGCAGCGTTGCCATTTTCTTTTTATACCAGAGTGGAATATATACAAATCAACAATTATTTTATCGAGGTGAGTAAAATTGATTTTTTTCTTTTTTGTGCGTGTTTCTTGATTTTGATGAATTAAAAATGTTGCACGTCGATCAAATGGTGTTGTGAAAGCTTTCACATGGATTAAAAATTCTGTTTTATGTGATTTCCATGAATTTTAAGCAAAAAAAACAGCGCAGTTTGATGAAACTAATTTTAATTTCAACTGAGCGCGTTTAAATCAAACTTTTTAATGATAACTTCACTGAAATATGTAATTTTAGTTTAATTGGGTTTACTTTTATAAAAAAATCACGCGTTCTGTTTAATAAAACTGAAATCATTCACATTTTTCTGATTTTAAATTTTTAAATTTTAAATTCAGGAATCTGCATTTTGTGGCATGTTGAGCCATCCACCGATTCCACTCGCCGCCCTCAGCACGATCATCTTCTTCCTCATCCCGATGGTGATCATCATCTTCGAGTACTCGATGATGGGCTATAAAATCGCACATCGCTCTAATTTGCAGTTCGGTGATATTCGCAACGTGAACAACGTGCACCGCGACCGCACGCGTGCGCAAAGCCATAAAGCCATCGTCCGCATGTTGGGTAAGTCGCAAAAAAATCAAATTTTCCTCTAGTTATTTCTTGAATTAAACTTTGGCGAAGGTGTTAAAAGAGTTTTGATCTAATCGATGACGGCGAGGAATTGAAAGCCGTAAAAAAGTACATTAAAATGTTCGCTCGGATTTTCCAAGCATCCATTATGAATTTCTCGTGCGCGCAAGTGACTTCGACATAAATTTACGCGTGCAATTTCAGCGGAGTAATAAAATTAAAAAAGAACTTGATGTAGAACGTGTTTTAACGCGTAAACAACAACAATAACGTAGATAGGGTTGCATACATTAAATACGTAAGCAATTTTAACTTTTACTTCACATAAAGTGTTTTTAAATGTAACACGGGTTGCCTATAGTGTTTTTACGTAACTTACCGTAACTTTCATTTAAAAACGTCAAAAAAACAACAACGTAACACTGGTTGCCTATAGTTATCTTACGTAAAATATTCTTTCCTCTACCTGTCACTTAGCCGTCGTCGTGGTGGCGTTTTTCATCTGCTGGGCGCCATTCCACGCACAACGCCTCAACTACAAATACGGCATGGGCTCACCATACTTCAGCATTATCAATGAATGGATGTACTTTATCACCGGCCTCCTCTACTACTTCTCATCAACACTCAATCCCATCCTGTACAACGTGATGTCGAATCGTTATCGGTGCGCGTTTCGCGAGATTCTCTGCGGCGCTGCGCCCAGCACCAATAACTCAGTAGTGCGCAACTCGACAATTCGCGAAACACGATTGCCTTCGGGCAACATGACTGAACGTCTTAGTACGACAACCAGCCGCAATGGACATGCAAATAATGTCGCTACAAAAGAAGATGACCCGATGGTGGTGCAAAACCGAGAGATTAAACTCGGTAAGAACACGCAGCTCATTTGCGAATTGAATTATTCGGTGATTAAGCCAAACAGCGAGACGTGCATATAGGAGAAGATCTGCATGGTCGAGCTCGTCATCAAATAATGGACAATAATCACGTGCGCCATTTGCAATGAACACACAGCTCAACCATTCGCAATCAACTTTTATTCAGGCTAAAACATTCCGGACGTGTTTCATTTAATTTCAAACTTTCAGCCATGCAGAACGCAAGGAAATTGAATTAAATATCAATCACTACTACTGCATTCCATTATATATTGTGAATTGTGACTGAAATTGAATAATACACACCCAGATGGCGCTAGTATTCAATACATACACTGTGTTGCCATCTTGTAATCGAAATTTTCATTAGAATTTCATGTTTCACGTCGGATTAAATATCCTACACACATTTTTGCTTTTCTGACGGTTTTAATGCATAAAATTTCTCAACGCAACTATTTCTTATCAAAATAACTAAAATTTGGTGTTTTTTTTGGGGGGGGTAAAACCCGCCGATATTTACCCGGCGGAGTTTGTGTAGCACTGATTTAACATTGATGGAACGATCTGGCTTAAACGAAAAATGTGATGAAAGCAAAACACACAATGAAGAATTTATTTATGAAACTTCATAAAAACTGATGTGCGCGATTTAAATAAGCTTCGAATGCTTTTCATGCACAATACGCAAACAAAACGGATGATGTTAAATAAGCAGCCAACGCATTAAAATGTATTCTAGTGAAATATTTCAAAGAACAAAGTAAAACATAAAAAAAACATGAAAAAACTCACATTTATTAAAATAATGATTGATTACGACTGTTTTTCCAGTGATTTGGTTGCTGATTATGCGCACAGTGAATGTATAAATGTAAAAAATATAATTTCGTATTAAATTAATTAAAATACATTAAGTCTGGCTGTGATACGAAGCGAAGATGGAAGAAAACGTTGCACGCGCACTCCGATACTTAATAATACAATTAATCCAGCGAAATTTGTTGTAAAACAAGCGAAATTTACCCAAAGTTGCTCACGATTAATTTATCCGATGGCTAAAAATTGACCCGTGCAGCGTTTGTGAAGGCAAAACCTAATTAATTTCGACGTAATTTGTATTTTTTGTTATTGCGTTCCTTGCCCCCTAGGGGGCGCGAGGTCGACGGGTCGAAGAAACCGGGTAACTTTTAATGAATAATTATCGACGTCAAAATACAACACCTCGGATCACAAACAAGCCCGCAAGATGCCCGAAAGCTTGTGAGAAAGAGACGAAAAAAACTGACAATGAATTTCAGCTTCTTTTGTATTTTGCTTAATTACTTTAATCAAGTAAAAACCCGCAAACATCAAAAAGTCCCAAAATTCATTCAGGTGTAATTAAACAAATCGTTTATTTAAATTAATTACGACGTCATTCAATGTCGTGTCGTTGTATGATGATGTATAATTAATGTTCCAACATGTTTTTTACATAAATATAAATATTCGCTAAATCTACTTAAAATTTACATTTTTTATGTTTTCCTTTTGAGTTTTATACTTAAAGGAAAACAAGAAATGCCACGGTAAGTATTCAAATACATAGTCTGGTTATAAATAATCACGAAATAATATAAATAATAAGATATTATGTTTTGTGCGTTGGGTTGCATACAGTTTTATTCGTCTGACGTCGATTTTTAATGCGAGTCTGGAGCGTGGTGAGCAACCCAGCGAGCACGTCATGATTCGGCAGTTTTTTCGCAAACAGCAATCGTTTCACCGAGTCATCATAAGTGAGCAACGCGACCATATTCTGTAAGAGAAAACCTTGACAGTATTCAAGCAGTTGAACAGCGTTGTAGACTTTGGCGTGGATGTACATCGAGACGACGTTGTCCAAGGAAACGATCGCAGCGCACCGTGACTCGCAGTAACGCAAAAGTCCATCGAGTTGGAAAAAATTGGCAGCCGCCATTAATTCGAGAATATCCTCAGGCGCAGGTTCCAGTGTTTGACAGCCGCCTTGATAGAGGAATTGCATTACAATCTGTAATCAAGTAAAGCAAATAACACGCCACCTGTGAGTAAATTTATAAATATAAATGAATATAATATCAGGTTATGTTTACCTGAAAAATATGATATCGAATATCATTAATCTGCACGGTAGGTAATCCACCCTCACACAACTTGGAGCTGAGCATAGCCCTTAGGCGCGGACTGGCGGTGACGAGAACAATCTTATGCGCGTAGAACAACCGCCCCTCAACGCGGAACGTCACATCGCTGAGCTCGGGGTTATTCACGTACTTGGGGTCGATGCGAGACGCACTGTTTCCGGTAAGTACGCAATCCTTGATGGCTTTGATGGCTTCCCAGCCGAAACACGTCGAGAAAATATCGGCCAACAACAGTGTGGTCCCTTCTTTCTATACCAACACAACGTAAAAAATCCAATAAAAACCCTAAATCCGAGCCTTAATACTCACTTTACTATAGCGAAAAATATTGAACAACAGAGGTAAACACTCCTGCACCAGCTGCGAGCTGTAATCATCCGGGCAAACCTGCAAGAAATCCTGCAGGAGTTGATCAATGACACAATCCAGGCGTGCTTCATGCGCCGCCCCCAATGAATGCATCCAACAATGTAAAGTCCAAGGAACACCCAACGAGCGGATCTCAACCGTGATATCCAAGTGATTGTTTTCCGCACTGTGGTACATGGCTTCCTGCAGGGTTTTCACTTGACTCTTACTGAATTGCGGCGCGGAATTACCACCCTCGTGTGAATGGGTACTCGCAGCGCCTTCGGCCAACATCTCTTCCAATGAGAGGACTTCTTTGTTTGCGGAGGCAACAGGTTGCGCTAGTAATTTCTGCAGTAAACCTCGTTGTCCATGCGCGGCAGCAACCGAAACCGCACTGTAACAACCCCGTTGAGCTGCAGCGGAATAACACAACGAGTCTTTGATCAACGTGGAGAGAAACGGATGGGCATCATGCGCGAGTAGTAATTGAACCATTTCGATGTTACCCATTCCGCAAGCTACCTGTGTTTGATCACAAATTGCTTTAAAAAATTATTGATTTAGTCGGGGATGTGTGTCTACCTGCAATGGGGTTAATGTGCACTTTTCCTCGGAGAGCTGCGCGCCCCCTTCTACATTCGCACCGCGTTCCAGTAAAATCCGAGCGCATTTGCAATGCCCTTTGGCGGCGGCGTGGGTGAGTGCGGTCCAGTGTTGCGTCTCGCCGTTTACAGCCGGGTGGGCGGCACTGCTGGGGGGTGTTTCGATATCTACACCTGCGCCAGCATCTAACAATGCCTTTGCAACACCAATCATTAAATTATAATCGTCTATTCTTGGCGTTAAATTAAGTTTAAGTGATCTATGATAATGATGCAAAGTGGGTGGTGAAATTAAAGCGCGCGCGGGGGCGGAAAATGATTTTTAAGTGGATTATACAACATGAAAACGCACTTAATATCGGTAATATTCAGAAACGGAAATAAAAATGGGATTATTTTGTAACTAGCACTTACTGTTAGTGCAACATCGTCATTGTTGAGCGCTGCAAGCATTAGGGCGCTGTGGCCTTGCTGATCCAGTGTGTCTAATTTTGTTGCGGGTGGGAGCAATTGAATTGCTTGCTGGATTAACTCCGGACGACCTGTCATCATCAGACGGAAAGCTAATTCGACCTGAAATGTTATCAAAACGGGGTTTTATTTGATAAAATACACGATTTAAGGTTTTTGAGGTTAGATTACAATAGATTACGTTAAGTTATGTTAGGTTAGGACGAAAAACACGTCAAAAACATGTTAAAATATACGTTTATCATTTTTTGAGGTTAAGTTAGGTTAAATTATGTCGAAATAAACGTTTAACGGCATTTTAAGGTTAAATTAGGTTAGGGAGAAGATTAGAATAGGTTAGGAAAGAGGCTAAGTCTAATAAAGTTAAAAAATGTCAAAATAAACATTTTAAAAGTAAATCGGAGGTTAGGTTTGGTAATTTTCTAGAAGAAGTTAGGTTAAATTAAGTAAAATTAGATAATATTAGGTTATGTTAAGAAAATAATTGTTTTTTGCCATTTTAAAGCTAAAAAAACCTCAAAAACTCAAATTTCTCACTTGTATTTGTCTTGTGGCTTCAACATGATCCTCATCGCCACCTGTTTGACGCTTGATCCGCATGGCTTCCTCCCCCAAAGGCCTCACCGGACAATCAACACCGGGCAGAAGCAAACGCGCCGCTTGCATAACATCGTCCTTGTCGAGGATCGCAGCAAACCGATGCTCGCCGTGAGCGGTAGCTACGCGCAGCCATTCCACAAGCGGCGGCAACACAACGTACGCGCGCTCGTAACATAACTCCTGTGAACACGAATATTTTCCACGATATAAAAAAAGCCGTTGAATATTTAATTAATAATCCCGTCGAGGTGGTTTATAAATATTCGCACATTTTCCACATATTTGTAGCTATTTAAAGCATTAGAGTAATGCAGTAAAGTAGGATGATTGAAATTACCTGAATTGCACTTCCTGGCTGCTCCCCGTGCTCCAATTGCGAACAGCGCATAAAGTAAAAGAGGGCGCGCACGGCACGTGCACACAGCGGGATGCGCGGGTGCATGCGACTAATTATTTCCTGCAATTCCTGCAGCGAGCCAACGCAAGTCGTCATCAATGATGGTTCCGGAGGGCCGGATCCTCGCCCTGAATCCCTCGAACTCAGACTGGACACGGATACCCATCGAGGTAATGCTAAAGCTCCTTTATTTACAAAAACAAAACAATTAACAATTTAATCCACAAAGCATAAATAAATTTACCGGATGCAATCCGACCGGCGTTCAAATGCGCGTACGGTTGCAGCAGGCCCCATAAATCACCATTATTGGCAATTGCGTGCTCCAGAAGGGTTGCCGTGAGAGTCACTTCGGAATCACTCGGTAAACACTGCAATAAAATCTCTTCGAGGAGATTTTCCATTCCGGCGCATAAATAAACCGCTGCATATCTTCAAAAAAATCATTTTTTGCATTTTTATAACCTACAATTAATAATTTACTCACTCATGAACAAATCGTGCTAATTTCACATCTGTCATCCATCGATGAAACCGCCCTACATGTAATTGCAACCCTGCTCTACTAGACTTACTCTGCCTCAATGTACAGTCACCCGCCATAGCCAACATGGCCGCCGCTCTCAGACAAGCTTTAATACAGGAATCTGCTAATGGCGGACACAACACAATACGAAACGACGCCATTAAATCATGTTTTGTGCATATTCCAAGATTCGAAGACAATCTTTGTGTTTCCCTCCCGATGCGCACCAACGCACGTTGCAGGAGGTACGATAATCGTGGTATAGTTTCAACACTGACACGATTCATGTGCTCACGACACCTTCCGGTTTGTAAAACACGCAGGATGCAATGATTAGACCATGGTAAGTGTTGTAATTCAACCAGACTACATAAAAATATAAAAAATAGTAAAAAATTGAGGTTATGTGTGGTTTTGTGGTTATGTAACTAACCGATTGTGTGAATCCACCCAAACAAATTCATCAGCATTGGTTATGTTGGTATTAATGGTTTCCAGGGATGAATGTCTCATGAGTCTGCGCATGGCAGGCTCAGAACTTTCAGAACCTGCGCTGACAGATGAATAAGTACTTGTGGAGGTGTGCGAACGCATTGTCAACTGCTGCAGGGCGAGTTTTATGTCTTCGAGGCCACCGCCACCTGTCCATGGCACTTGTAACTACAGAAAACATTTTATTTTATTTTTATGTAAAAAAGGTTATGTTTGTTTTACTTTTGCTGGTGTAGCTCGATGTCTACTCCGTTGATGTTGGGAATTTGTCCGGGCACGAACAGGTTTCTGAATGACTCCGACACTTCCGCTTCCGGTAAGACGTTCAGGGACATTTGACAGCGCTCTTGGGGAACTATTACCTGTATCTGACATACTCGCATGTCCTGATGATCTGTTTTCATCCGAGGATGAATTTCCATGATGTCCACGTTGCTAATTATCAATAATTTTTATTAATTTTTAATTTTTTATTTTTATTTTTTTTTTTTTTACCTGAATGCGTAGTTCTTGCACGCTTGCATGATGATGCGGTCGTGATGCCATGCGATGCGCATCATCAGCGGCGTTCTGCAGCTGCCGATACGCGTTCTGCGTCGAGGGCAACTTCAGCGGACACGAGTTGGAGGTTTTGTTCGTGTCACGTTCGGGGACCATGCTCACGGGAGTCGTTGATGCCGGATACTTATCGCCATTGCGATGGTGTAGCTTCGGGTTGAGGTTAGTACCGTTATTAATGTCGGAGTGCTCGCTGAACGTGGACGTCTTTACGTTATTCGCCACGTACAACTGCGGGAAGTGGTCTATCTTGCGTTTTGGGGATACCATACGCTCCTGGCCAGTTTCAGGAATGTACGGGGGGTCATTATTTCGTCCATTTGTTAATAACCTGGAATAATGATATAGAAAATGTAATTTGGGTTGCATATGTTAAAATATGACATATTTGACTTAAACGTTATATTTTAACCTATGCAACCCTCTTTACACAAAAATTTACATAGGCATAAGTCAATATGTGATATTTTGACCTATGCAACCCACAATACATTAAAAATAATGTCATAATGACATAATGTCATTTATCAAGCTTCTAAAAAGTAATATTTTGCTAGATTTTGCTCGATGTTTGTCAATAAATCGTAAATATATATCGAAAATCATAAATCACAGTCGATAATACTTATAGTTACTTTCCTGTTGACTGAAAATGATAAATTTCTTATTAATGATGCGATTTTTTTCTGTAAGTATTAGAGGAATTCGAAATTAAACTTTTTTTGCCTCCTACATCTTCCGAATTTCGCGCAAAACATTCTAACAAGACGCCCGGGCATCACAATAACATTAAATATTAAATTGTTATCGTGCGCAGAACGGAAATATCGGCGGAAGTTATCCGCTTCGCAAATTTTTTCTCTTTCGGTATTTGGAAACACGCTCTGTCAGATGAGAAGCTGGATTTTATTTTGATGAAATTTTTGATTGATTTCGCTCGCTTACCACGCTCGATTCGTGTGCTGTTTATTGAAATAATGCGCTTCGATGCCAAGCGGAAAATCATCCGACTCCACATCCGAATTGCAATCTTCCGGCACGTTCAAATCGTTCAAAATTTGTGAGGCGTATGCAAACGTGTCCTTGAATACCACATTAACTACATTGCTGTCCTGTACGGTGTCCAGCTGCGTCACCTCATCGACTTTTTCATTCAGAACCACATTTTGCGTATCGTTATTATTCTCATCACACGTTAGTAAATCATTTACGTAGATGACACTTTTATGTAAACTTTCAGTGATTAATTCCCCTTCGATTTTACTCTCGACGATTTGATGTATATTATCAGCTGAAGAATTTATCATTGAGAATTTTTCGGCGCGTTTTGCTTTTTCCGCGCTGCGTGTCAAATCAAAATCACTGCCGCTTCCACCAAAGAAAGTGAACTTCTTCGGACGCATCGCGTTTCGCACCAATGCTGAAGATCTGGTCAGGATAAAATTATTCGAGATGATTGGAGGTGCTTCATTGAAGCGTTTCTCGCAGCCGTGCAACTCCAGGCATAGGATACACTTGCAGTTTTTCGTGCAGCGCATTTTGCAACGAAATTAAATCACGTTTTCATTTTAGAATTTCCAAGTTTTCGTTTAGTTTTAGTTTACACTTCAAAGTTTTCCTAGTTTTGTATGCGCGCACTATGATACAATTAAAATGAACTCCAAGTTGGTTAATTTTTGTTTTGTCTGTTGGTGATTTTGATGTCTTGATGAAAGGCGAACGCGACGTACGCGCACTCAAGAACGGATGCCAACTAACTGAATAGCTAATGAAACAATCATGCCAGCTTCTGCACACACACCGGCCACCGATATCTAGTACATTTCCCACTATTGTTTTCAATTTCCTTTCAAGATCAACAAAACGTAACGATGTTATTGTCTATGGTTCTCCTTTTTTGCAGACGCGACTTTCAAACAATATTTGCACACTTAAGGCGATTTGTTTAGGCGGAGAAAAGAAATGCGTGGAAAAATGGATAACATTGATAATTTTAATATCAACCTAGATATTAATTTATTGCATAAATTAGGGGAGAGAGAAGGTATATTTCCAATGTAAATTTTATTTATTTAATTATTTCCGTAGAAAATTGTTTTCATTGAGGAATTTTCTTTTCTCTTGCGGATTTTTTACATAGAGAAGTAAATATGTCATTGTGGATGAGAAAATGGAAAATATAGAAAAGGAAAACGTATACAATTAAAAGTTGTACTCATATTAAACTTATTTATATTAACTTTTGACATTAAATTGTCTTGATATTCGCAAAAAAAATCTTTTTACTTTTTTTGAAAATTCTATAAAAATTTGAAAAAATTAACCCTAATAATTATCCAAGGCCAACATAATGGCACATTTTTAAGTTGTCAAATAGAGAATTTTCCAAAGACTCAGAATCTTCAATCCGTTCATCTCTATCGCTTTTAGTTTACGAGATATTCGCAATCGAAATATTGATGCAAAATGCAAGAACGCAAATTTTTGCATTTTTTTGTTATAAATTTTTACCAATCCCTCCTAATTTCCCTATTTAAATGTTTTATCTTATCTTATACAGAATTTGACGTAGATTCTGAATTTTCAATCCGTTGGTCTCTATCGCTTTTAGTTTACGAGATATACGCAATCAAAATATCAATGAAAACTGCAAAGACGCAAAACTTGACATTTCTTGTGTTATAAATTATTATATTACCAATTCCTTTTATATTTTCGGTTTGAATGTTTCGTCTTATCTTATAGAGAATTTAACGAAGATTATTAATCTTCAATCCGTTTGTCTCTATATTTTTTAGTTTACGAGATATTCGAAATCGATATATCGATGCAAAATGCAAGAAAGCTAATTTTTGCAATTCTTTGTTTTAAATTATTACCAGTCCCTCCTAAATTCCCCATTTATATGTTTCATCGTATCTTATAGAGAATTTGACGTAGATTCAGAATTTTCAATCCGTTGATCCCTTTCTTTTTTAGTTTCCGAAATATCAAAATATCGATAAAAATGCAAAAACACTGAATTTTGCATTTTTTTGTTATTGATTATTACCGATCATTCATATTTTCCCAATATAAATATTTAATCATATCTTATTGAGAATTTAACGAAGATTCAGAATCGTTTGCCTCTATATTTTTTAGTTTTTGAGATAATCGCAACTAAAACTTACGTAAAAAATGCAATATTACAAAATTAATGAGAAAATATTTAAATTCAAATTTTAATTTTAATCATTTTTATACCAAAAATAATATAAATTTATGTCAAGGATAACAAAATGAAATACAATTTTGTTATTTAGTTGACTTAATTCTAATTGTCATTAAATTGTCTTGACAATCCCTAAAAATAATTCATTTCCTTTTATTTTTACTTTATTTTTATTCCTCCGCATCCTGCGTTTCGATTACAAGGCCGATTTCGGAAATTATACGTTTTATTTACCAAACAAGAAACTGTGATTTACGAAAGAAGAAAAACATCCATAGCAATGCTCCAAAAAAAAAAACTCGCCTCAAGATATATCGACAAAAAAAAGTTTCCTAACGACAGACTTTTTTATTTACCGAAAATCAGACGTCTCAAGAACAGATTTATTTTTATTTTCCATCATTGGCTTCAACTTCAATTGAAATATTACTAAATTATAACAAATTATCACGATTGTCGCATTGAAATATTAAGACACATAAATCTCGTATTTTAACTTAAGTGCTGTGCTTGCGCACAGAATGAAATCTCATATCATCGTCGCGGAGTGAATGGGAGGCGAGTGAAGACAATAGACACGCTTATAATGCGAGCATAATTTCAGACTCACATACTTTCTTCCGAATTGATGCGCGCGGCATTTCGCAGATTTATACTTTCTATCAATGTCAGCCGCAGTGAGTTTTCATCCGCGTGTGTGCGCACGCAGATTGTATTAAAATACAAGCCGCGTTCTCACATTACAATTAATACGAGGCGCACAGCCACACTCTCGCGATTAGAAATGATGGGAACGCGCGATTGTCTCGGCGGCTAATTTTTATTTTTATTTTCATCAAGACAAGCATCGCGGTAATCTAGTTTGCTGCGTGTGCATCGGGTCTCCCACTCGTTTAAATCGAAATTATTCAGGAACGGGTATATGTATATTTTTAATGCAAAATATATGGCTAATAAATTTTTATTTTTTTAATGTTAATATTTTATCTTATAGAGAATTTTATGAAAAGTAAGAATCTTTAATTTGTTCTTTTCTATCGCGTTTAGTTTCCGAGATATTTGCAATTTTGTTTGCATTTTCGATAAAAAATGCAAAACGCAAATCTTTGCATTTTTTTGTTATTAATTATTACCGATTACTCTTATATTCCCAATATTAATGTTTAATCTAATCTTGTAGAGGATTAAACGATGATTAAGAATCTTTAATCCGCTGGTCGCTATCGCTTTTAGTTTCCGAGATATTTGCAATTGAAATATCGATTAAAAATGTAAAGACGCAAATCTTAGCATTTTTTCTCTTATGAATTATTACCGATTCCTCTTATATTTTCGATGTAAATATTTAATCTAATCTTATAGAGAATTTTTCGAAGATGACGAATCTTCAATCTGTTGGTCGCTATCGCTTTTAGTTTACGAGATATTCGCAATTGAAAAATCGATTAAAAATGTAAAAACTAATTTTTGCATTTTTTTGTTATGAATTATTACCGATCCTTCTTATTTTCCACATGAATATTTTATTTTATCTTATAGAGATTTTCACGCAGATTAAGAATCTGCAATTCGTTCCTTTTTATCACTTTTAGTTCACGAGATAATCGCTATCAAAATGTCAAAAATAAGAAAATTATTGAAATTTTAACGAAAAATATGTTTAAATATAAATAGACAATTTATTTCTTAATATTTTCTAATAAAAAAAAACATTTTCCACATTTATACTTTTCAAATTAATTAATAAAATACAAAATCCGCGACAATTCATCAATTTTCTATTTTTTTCTTTCATCATTATTAACTATACCTATAAACTTTACCGTGGCGGTTTTAATTTCTCCTCGACTAATCCAGCGTGCATCTTAATCACACACCTTGTAAGTAGCAAGCAGCAAGTACTCCTTGTTAGCTTCCATCCGGAGACAATCGATGCCGCCGGCGTATGAATTGTTCGATCGAATCGATGCCAGCGGCGAAAAAATGGAACATCGGTGACGCTCGAATTAATTGGTTGTAGTCTAGCGCGGCGCGAACAAGTGACACGAATGCAAACAAACAAACAAAGTGTCATAAATGTACGCCATGGAACTTCCGAACAAATTATTCGGGTATAACAACAATAATGTGTTATAGAAAGCGTCAACAATAGAATTTTTACTGCTTTAATAATTTAATACACAATAATAAAAAAGAGAAGAGAGAAATAAAAATTTGAACACACACAAAACGTGATAAATTTTTAATTAATTAGAGAAATATTTCTACAAGTTTATATTATGATAGGTAATGGGAATCGAAATATTGATTAAAAATGCAAAGACGCTAATTTTTCGTGTTTTTTTTTTGTTATGAATTATTACCAATCCTTCTTTTGTTACCAATTTGAATAATAACTTTATCTTATAGAGAATTAAACGAAGATTAAGAATCTTAAATCGGTTCCTCCCTATCTTTTTTAGTTTACGAGATATTCGCAATTAAAAAAAAAAACTGAGAAAAAACGAAAAAGTTCAGAATTTGCGTTTTTAGTCCCAATTTTTAAACTTTTACCTCACGAAACTAATATATGTTATTATTTAACCTTACAGACAATTTTTCTGTCTTTCATATGTTTCGAGTCGTTGGTCTCTATCGCTTTTAGTTTACGAGATATTCACAATTAAAAAATATGTAAAAAACAAAACAACAGAAAATTGCACTTTTTAGCATTTTTTATCACGTTAGAGAAATTTAATTATTTTGCTTTTTTATCATATAGAGAATTTTCCAAACTTTCATTATCATCCTTTCGTTGGTCGATAGCACTTTTAGTTGAGAAGATATTCGCTACCAAAAATACTCGAAAAAAAATGACGCAACAACCCTCTTCGCTCATTTTTGCTATAAATAAATATTTCTTTTTTTAGATTTCCAATTTAACAAGCTTATCTCATAGAGAATTTCCCGTAGATTTATATTCCTCAAACCATTCCTCCTTATCGCTTTACTAATGTTATAGAAAGCGTCAACAATAGAATTTTTATTGCTTTAACAATTAAACACAAAATAAAATAAAAAAAGAGAAGAAAAAAATAAAAACTCAACACACAAAAAACATGATAAATCTGAAATTAATTATAAAAATATTTTATAGGTTATGTATATAAATAATACGAGCATAACCTAAATTCATCAAAATTCAATATGTCGTGTTGCATAAATATATCAATTTGTTTGATTTTGTGCAGCAGAGCAAATAAAAGCACACGCGGAAATTGTGCATCAGGTTAAAGTTAACAAGCGATAAATTGCATGCAAACTGCCGCCTCCAACCCATTCTACACCCAACTAACACATCGTATTTTTCAACGAATAAAATTATTTTTTAGCAACAAACAAAAAAAATACACAACACAACACAAATTTAAATTCATCAAAACGATGAGGTAAACCGGATAGAAATCGAACACGAAATTATTATTCGATTATGTTTCCTGTGTGCATCAATTTTTTCCTTTGCATGCGTGCATCGTAAACGTAAACA